GAGACACAAGCTCTTTGTTTACACTATGCTTAAATCACCAAAGTAGTTTTTCTTTGTCCAAATTCAGCTGCTCGAGATTTTGTGAAGAAATTGAGGCCAGAAAGAACCCTTCAAAATCGCAGCTGTGGATCTAAGGAAAATTTTGAATTTTGAGTTGTTCAAAAAAAACCCTTCACTCTCGATAAATTTTCGAAACATTTCAAGCGTAAAGTTTGTCTCTCTTTACGTTTTTTTTTTAATTATTATTTTATTTTTTTCACAAGCGGTGGAATAGCATAGTCATAGTGGCTTGAAGAAATGTTTCTTAACTCTGATAAAAAGGTGTTTACTTGGCTGTACAATATTTTGCGGCCGCCTTCGTTTAATTGCAAGTAGGTTATCAAAGGAAGTGTATGGTAACATGATAAATCTCTTATATGAGATTTTGAAGGGTTTAAAGATTGCGGGAACATTCTGAGGATGTGGTAATTTCTTCTTTTGAAATCAATCAATTGCATCTAATTTTTAAAAAAAATTTTAGATATGAATTTTTTGGATGTAAATGATAATCCATCTTGCGTGATTTCATGTTACTATGGGTCTGTTACAAGTTAATTAAAAAAATTTACATAGTTTATTTATGACCAAGTAAAAGGGTTTATTTGTGAACAGTAGGATAGAATAATTCACAAAAGATTTTGTCTGTATGGATCCAGTTTATTTGCAGTATTATGTTCATTTTATTGTTCAAAAGGATGTCTTTCGTTAAGGCAAAATTAAAACAACATTTTGTGTTCCAAACGTTTAGATGTCAATTGTGTTTATTAACACAGATGTCATGCTTTCTTTCAAAATGCATCCTAAATCGTGTTCACTTATGAAAGTCTTTTTTCATAACTCAGACCAAACAGGATATTCAAGAAAGTTCCTTCGATTTCACAACTTTCAGTAATTTCATTTACTCGGACCTGATGGTGGGATTCCTAGTTCAAGTGATCAAGGTAAAAACGGTTTAAGGCCAGAATTTCATTGCAGATGAAATAGAATGATCAGTAAAACGGAACTTTTTCAGTGTATGGGAATCGAAATCAACCCACTGTAAGGTTCTTGTGTTATTAAACTTGCCTCAATCGGTCCAGAAGTGCCTCATCAATTATTCTACTTTAGCCAAGAGAACTTCACTCTCATGGCAATTAAACAGACCCAGGAGGCCGATTCACCTGTCGTGTACACATGAATTCAATTTCGCCCAAGTTCTCTTATTATTCGTGACAGCATTTGTCTTGTGTGTTCTTTCAAGAATAGTAATTGTCAATTTCATCTCGCAACCGAAGTGGGCACAAAACTTATGTATTGAAATAGCTCATGTTTGTAATCGATTTGATCGACATATGCAAAAATAAAGCCTTCAATTGAAGGTATTATTCAATTCTAGATGAAAGCATTCTATTAAAATTGGACAAGGCTTGGACTGTTTTTTGCAGCTGGAAATTTCCCTCGCAAAGTATTTTTATCGTTTTCAATTTTCAATGCGACCAATCGATCGGGTATCAGTTTGAAGACCTCAAATTCAGAGTTTTATTATTGGCCTCAGTTAACAGTGTTGTGAATCTGTTCGTAATTTTGATGTCTTTCAAAGGTGTCGAGGTAGAGAATCATTGATATTTGGCCATTTTGCAAGAAATTAAAATCACCCGAAGGCACAAAATGGTTATGCATGATTATACAGTGTAATGATGAATCTTAAAGCTGTGTTTAGAATGGCGCTTAGAAAACAAATGGAACTAAAAAAGCCCGGGGTTATGCGTTCGAACATGCCGTTAGCAACCAGTTGTTTGTTTCAACGAAGGTGACAAAATATTCTTAGCAAGCAAACAAGAAACAGTTTGATTAGTTTCTACAGCCCGAATGAAGTGAATTAATTCCATAGTATCTTTGTGCGTAGCCGGAATAAACTGCGAAAAGGAAACCGGTAAAAAGAAAAGATTAAGTAACATATCAGAAGGGCGGCTGCCACAAGAGAAGTATTTTTCTTTTCACTTTAAATAAATAAAATAAACTGATAGATAAATAAAATACTAAGGCAGGAAGGAATACCAAAATAGGATTGGAGTGCAAATAAGTGACGAATATTTAGGATTAACATTAAGCTTTCCTTTGATTCACATCGAAAAAATCGGCACACTAACTACATTCAATTGAGAAAAACTTTGCCAATTTTAAGCCAAGATGGGTTTTCGTTGTTCGTCTTTTTTGTAATCCTATTCAAAAATTTCTAACATTTTGAGGCCATGTTAATGTCAACAGTAAATTGTTCTTATCGTCCAAGCTAATAGCTGGAAGTTCACCGGAGGCGAATCTTCAACAACCAATCATAAGGCCTCAAAGTTCCTTTGTAAACTTTTTATTTGTATGAATCCTATTTAGAATGACAGAAAAAGTGATTTCTTTAATGAAATGACCAAATTAATTATTTTCCTTCCTGTGACAATTGCCAAGTTCTCGTGCAATCGGTCAAAGCCACAAGCACGGTGCGTTTCGCAAGCTCGCGATGTTGTCATCAATATCGATAATCGTAATATTCCTTGGAGTTCTTATTTTTGTCGTGGCGGCGTTAGTTCTGTGTTGCCTTTGCTGCCATCTTCGTTCGCGACCAAAAAACCAACAAGGGAAATCTGTCAACTACATGGCTCACAACAGAGGAAGAAGCGAGAAGGAAACGTCAGTTACTGAGCTGTAAAATAAACGCCTTGTGGACTCACTTGACACAACACAGAGAGACCGGCAAAGTACAATCGACCCGTGATACACAGAAAGATGAAAATGCTTCGCTTGAATTTGCTTGGAAATCAGTCCGTGTCTTCGTCACAGATGACAAGCGAAAAGACAGGAAAAAAATCCTCGATTTCAAATAACTGTTAAAACTGATCAAGGATTTGAAACCTTCCGCAAACATTAATAAATAGATTTTTATCATCTATTCCACTCCTACCACCGATCGGCTTCGTTTCAACAAAAGAGAGTGTTGGGAACATGGTTTTTGTCATTGCTTACGTTCGACTACTGAGAGCTTTTGAGGAAACAAACTTTAAAACATTCGTGTTGAGATAACATAGAAACTCACAGATGCGGTCATTGGATTCAACTCACTATAAATACAGTAGTTCATGGGACTTAACATTTAGATGGCAGCATGATAACTTTTACTATGCACTTCAGATTCATCAAGCGGATGGCAATATTGCTCGCTTGCTTTATTTGTTTGTTATATGACAAACACCAACTCTACGGTCGCTGAAAACAAAAAAAATATTCAAGTCATACAGTCGACGAAGTAACATGATGACTTGTTTAGTTTTTTTTTCCATCGGAAAATTATCAGAGTCGTTATCAATCCCTGAGACCATACAATAAAATGGTAATGTTGACTCAGCTTGGATATATTTTAAAATTTACCACAGGCTTTTGTGTGTCAGTCACGTATTTTTCTTTTCTACATAACAGAGTCGCAGTTTTAATAATGATTCTTGCCGTGTATCTGTCCTTTTCTTTTACTTTCAGTATTCTGTTTAATTACATCAGATGGAGGAAAGATTCTCATACCTCAGGGCATCTTAAAATTGGAAGTACTACTAGCGTTATCGCTGCGGTAAAAGCGAACTACAGACTTACTAAACCAAGCTGCTTGATGTCTCGTTCAAATTGTGCTTCACAACATTTATTTCTATCATGAAATAATCTTAAAAAATTATCTGTATCAGTATTTTTAATTCACCACATGATTTTAATCACAGGGAAGCTAAGAGGTTGCACATGATAAACTAGAAAGTTTAACAGAGAAATTAAATTTTTAAGCCAGGCGTACTTTGTGTCTTTAATCAATTTTGGACAAGTGATGTCTCCTAAGTGAAATTCTACGTCAGAAACAAAATGATAGAGGAGGAAGCCATTGCGAACCCCAAAGCTGCATCGCACTTCCTATTATAAATTATTTTGAATAATGGTAATCCTCTTAAGGACAATAAATGGTCACTTGCTTTCTTTGTCATAGACAAAGTTGTATTTGGTAGCAAGTCATCTGTTGAGGTCTTCACAAAACAATAAAAAAGGGTGCTTTAATCAACTCAAGCGCCATCTGCAATTTATTCTCATCCATTGTTGATATTTGAATGGAGGGAGCATTAAAATAGCACATTTCCTGTCTAAGGCCTTATTCATTTTCAGGTTTCTTTCATGCAATTTTAAATTTGCGTGTCACTGAGTTGTTTGTGAATTATTTCAAGTCGTCATCGCGTTCAAATTAATTCTACTCATCAACCCGTGCTTTGCTAGTCATTATCAAGATCTCTCAGGACTTTCCACACAGTTAAATACTCGCTAGGGATTTATGGTCCAAAGATGGATGATGCTGGATAACAAATCAAGATGTGCGACTGGTAAAGTAATGGTGAAATTGATTTCAGTCCAGCGTTGTATAACGTATGTTTGCGGCGCTTTGTAACAGCGCACAAATGGTTTAAAATAGTAAGAACTCCCAACTAGGCCGCGTTCGCCGGTATGGACAGTGACCCATGTAACCATCAAAATGTGAAGCCAAGGTGGTACCTTTCAGGTTTAAACTAGCTACAACGGGATTCATGTAGAACAGTTGTTGGCACTTTGGAAAAATGGTTCCCCATCAAGAGAATATAAACTGTTTATATTCTCTTGTCCCCCATGTATGAGAGGGTAAGGAGGACAGATTCTACCGATGTGTTTGCGGACCAGTCTCCCCGATTTTCCTGCTTCTTTCTGGTTAATTTCAGTGCAGAGCCACGCAAATAATAGCATTATTACATCGCTGAACCCGTCTTGTCGCTAAAGACTGGGAACTAGTAGACGGAAGACGGTTGCATCATGAGATCGAGGCGGGAGGAAGAGTAAATTTAAGGAAAACAAATTGCTGTCATATCTTTTGCAAGGCTTAAAAGAAAAGCAATTTGACTTTGGAGGAAACTACTGCTATAAAGTGCATTTGTAAAATGTCAAACGAGCGGCGAGATCGACGGCTACGGGAGAATGAGCGGGAGTCTCGAACACATAGGTCTTCCTCGCACAGACATCGTTCAAATGAAACCCATAAACATGATCATGATCGAAGACATCGAAGACATCGTCACCGACGCAAAATACCTCATCCAGAAACGGAGCCTCGGTCTTCCACACACATATACTTTAATGGATCAGCAAGCAATGTGCCTTCCGTTTCAGTTCACACTGATCATGTTACCTTGGCTTCCAGTTTCAACTCGTTTAATGAAGGAATGGACACATTGCTTGATAATTGCTTTGAGCTACTGGGTCGTCTGCGAAAGAATCCCATTGTTTATTCCGGGAATTCACAACAAACCAGTTCTAATGGGAAACGTGGGGTTAACCATTCTAATTTAGCAGCCGTGCCGACATCTCAAAAACCAAAACCAGTGAGGTAAATTTAATAGTTCGTTACAGAACAAATTTATATTCAGCCATGTCCAGGCGGGACTTTCCCAGACTATTACGTAAACCACTCAACTATGAGCTTAAAATAAAACTTATCTGAAGTTTGACTAAAAGTTTGTCGACTCCTCATGCAGCCATTCAAAAATATGTGCGAACTTCAGAAACGCAGAACCTATCAATGAGTTAGTATAACAAGGTAATTTGGTATTATTAACTGAGTTGATAACGTAAATTTGCTTTCGTAAAGAGTTTTCATGGTGACGTTTTGAGCGTAACCCTTTGATCTGAAGAAGGGCCAACAATTTGAACGTCAACTTTGAAAACTCTTCACGGTGGCCAATTTATGTTATCAATTCAGTTGACAATATCAAATTGCCTCGTTACGCTCTCTCGCCAACGTAGCACCAGTTTCTTTAGAATATTACCCCCTTTATTCATAAGCAAGTATAGTTCATTAGACTTTGTATGAAAAGTCTATGATAATTTTTTGTGTAAGAACATTGTTTTTGTCTCATGGGGAGAAACTGACCCACAGAAATAAAAGAATTGAAGATGACAGTGGGAAAAGAGGGCAAAATTTAGAGCAAGCTATCACTTATCCCATTAGTTACTACTAAAAGGAATTACCTTCATAGACAACCAGCTCCAAGAACAAAAACTTAAATGCGTCTCAGGGGTTTCTATTTAAGATAACTTCTATGGTAGTCTTCAGACTTCTACCAATGTTTTTTACCACATGGGTTACTAGTTTTAAAACTCATCTCAAGACCTATCTTTTTAGTCTTGCGTATACTTAATAGAGATTTTATTAGCATGTTATTAGCATTTTCTCTTTTTACATAATATATACTTAAGTTTCTTCAATTCTCTTTTATATAATATATACTTTAGGAATGTGCATCTGATTATAGTCATGTAAAGATGTGCACTAGAAATTAATAAATTATTATTATTATAATTATTATTGTAAAGACACCACTTTGAAAAGATGGTTAAGAATGGTAGAACTGGCCAGAAATATGCTTAATGTAGGTTTACATTTGGAAATTTTTCTATCATCACATATTTAACCTTATCACCACATTAACATCTTTTATTCCAAAAGTTACTTGAAGTCCAGTCCTATCCTTATTTTACACCCCTGACACTTGTTTACCATCAAAACGGAATTTCCATGGTATTATGGTGGTTTGTTTTAACAAACCAATATAAAGTATTTTTCTTTTTTCTCTAGTTTTAGTGGGATATTGGAAACCTTCAAGACATGTAGTACTGTCCCTGCAACAGAAACTAAAGCACAGTTAATACAGAGCTTAGTTTCTCACACTGAAGCAAAACTAGATGTAATTGACATTTCACTGACATGCCCCCTTACACGCTCACGAATGGTAACTCCAGTGCGTGGAAGGAACTGTGCACATGTGAGCTGTTTTGATGGAGAAGCATATCTTCGGCTTATGTGGGAAAAGCGAGTTGAAAAGTGGAAATGCCCGGTAAGTGGGTTTGGAATTTGATTCTTTGCCTGCTTTATTATGATTTTGAAAATTATTTTGGAAGAAGTTAGATCTTAACACAGAACTACCTGCAACTTGGTACAGATTATTTATGAATTTTCTCACTCAAGGTTAGATGAATATTGTTTGATAATCCCTAAGATAGTTACAGGATTGTTGGGCAATATTTGCGAAGTATGAAGCAAATAATTGTTAGAGTGTGATAAACATGGAAAATATTTTTTGTTTTTTATTCATCAGAAACATCAAAAACTTCTGAAGTGGCCATACTACAATTAGTGCCTCTCTGTCAGTATTATTATCACTTTACACAGGGTGGAAACACTTGGCTAAACATAATTTATGCATTAAGTAAAGCAGATTTGAATTAAATGGTCACAATCTTTGAAATTCAAGTTTCAATTTAGAGGGGCAACCAACAGAATCCATAGTGTTACTCTTAAAAACCCTGCCCATATTATTGGAGTTCCCTAAGTTAATATTCTTCAATTTTGAAATTGTCATTGAGAATTTTTAGATGGTGAAGATGAATGATATTCAGCTTGCCTCACCAATCCAATATGGAGGCTTTATAGAATAATTAGTACTCACTCTCTCTCACTCACTCTCCAGAGAGCATGCCTGCTAAGTGGGCTAATTTTCAGCGTGCTCTCTATTTTCAGATTTGCAAAACCCTTACACCCCTCTCTGAGTTGGTAATAGATGGATTTATCCAGGGGATTTTAGAATCAGTGCCTGAAGATGTGAAGAGTGTGGAGTTTACTCCTGAAGGCTTCTGGAGAATCAAAGAGGGTAGTGAAACATTTTTGCTGATAAAAAAGTCTTCTGTTGACTGTTACAGTGACCCCAATCAACAAAATACTGTTATTGATCTGACATTTGATACACCAAAAAAAATTGTACCCAAGAAGATTTCTAATGGTGATGAAAATTGTGGTGGAAGTAATCCACAAATTCAAGTCATAGATCTCACAGTGTCTCCTTAACCCTATAACTCCCGTGAGTGACCAAGAAAGAATTTCTCCTTACTATATCTGTAGAATATCATGCAGACAAGTAACGAGAATAAAGAAAAATGTTAATTATATGATTACCAATTGATTCAATACCAAATTCTCCAAACTAACATAATGAGAATCATTTGACAGACAGTAAGGAGAATTACTAATGAGATCTTGGGAGTTAAAGGGTTAAAATACAGTCAAGTACCTTTATTTTGCTCCTTTCAACTTATTTGCTGAGACGACAGCAACTTACAGATTTGCCTTGTAGAAATAATAATTTTTACATGTACCATCATGTAACAAATATTTTGTGGTTTGCAATGTTTGCAGATTTGGTGAATTGTCACTGATTGCCAAAAACCAACTTCATTTTACATTGTTATTAAGTTCAGAATATTATGTTTTGTTGGATGTTAATGTGGTGCTTCTTGTAAAGTATATGCAAAAATAAAAACCAAGCAAAAATATCTGTCATGTTGAACTATGTAAGTGATGTAAATTCTTGCCAGGTACAAAGATTGCCTTTGTGTAAAATGACACTCCTGCTGTAAACTTTTATGCTACAAGATATTTGTATATATTGGTGGTAGAATTTTTCTCTTTTGTAGCTCCCTTCTTCAATTGTTTTGTTTAAATAAAGATGCAGAAATCTTAGTAGCTCAGGAGGGCTGCATGGTGATCTTTAATCTGGCTGTGCCTTAGATTCCCCTTGTTTGCAAACCACTGTAACATTTGTGATTGTGTTCTTGGAAGTTTAACCTAGTGTTGGCTGGGTTCTAGTTTCTCTTTCATCTCAATGTTTTAAAATAGATTTCCATCATTCCTGGGACTAAATCAAATATCAGCTGATTTCTCCTGGAACAGAATTATATACAGTTGATATCCTTGGTTGTCTGCCTGCAGACACTTTTTTTCAACATATGCTTTGCAACTCTATCTCGCAAGAAACTACTTGGGTATCATTCAAATCATCATGGTTAACCCATTAACCCATAAGAGTGTTAAGCATCTAATTTCTCCTAACAGTATCACCACTGAATCAAACATAAGGGTCAGGACAGTAAAGGAAATAATTGCAAACTTAAGAAGCTCTTGATGGTAAGACAAATTCTCCTTGAAAGTATCATAGGAAATTTATAGAGAACAGTATGGAGAACTGCATACTGATTTTAGGGTGTTAAGGGAAGATGGTTCTGATTTAACCTACCCTGTTATTACATATATTACAGCAAACAGGTAATGAGAGAGACAGGCTTATTACTAGAAGGGTTTTATCCTGTTGTAACGACATTTCCCTCACTATTTCCTAAGCAAATTGAAAGGGGAATGAGGTATCATGTCCTAGGAGTTGAACAGTTCATAGAAAATAATTCTTGATTTGCTGTGTACATGGTGCTTAGTAGAGACCATGTTGCGCAATACCTACCCAATTGTTTTTTGTAAAATCCTGCCACTATATTTAAATGCCACCATAAAACCATTATTTGGTAAATTCATCAAGTACTATAGCATTTTTGGGATGACTCTATTTCCATAGTCTTAAAAACTCATTAATTCATTCAGAAATTCTCTCTTTTAATTGGATCAACAATTGATTCCTTAAAGAACATTCATCTCTTGTAAAACTTTTATGATTTTATTACTTATCAGCAGCTCTATCTAGTACATTTACTTGTTTTTGTGGAAAATTTTCTCTGATGTATAATTGGTGTTTTTCAGGACTTAAATGATGGACAGTTAGACTGTAATTTTATGATATTCAATAAATCTCAGATATTTTGTTATTATAGTGTGTAGAGTCTTGAATTTCTTAGAAAGTTAGGGCAATTTGATATTGATCTTCAAAACAAAAAAAGACCTAAATAATCTGAGGGGTCTGGAGATATCCAGTCACAACAGATGTCAAATTCATGGATAAATCTCTGCTAACATAGATGAATTCATGTCAACTAATTTGGCCAAATATTATATCAGGGCAGTCAAGGAATTTTCAATTTTGTAGCAGACTCTTAGCAACTACAATTTGTCTCAGGCCTCTTGATTGGACTTAAACTTGAATCTAAAAAATGGATATTAGCTTGACAATATGAGAAAAAGTGTGAAATTGCGGGTAGAGAATGTGTTCCTCACCTCCTTGCTTAAGAAAAAATAGATTCCTTCCCTCTGCACTTTTGTTTAGTGGAAATGTGGGAAGAACATCAATGAGACACTCGACTGCTTCCTACATACCACTCTTTTGTTCTTACTGTATTTTGACGTCTGTCTGTGATCTGTTACTGATTATATAGTAAGCTCAGTTATGCACACATTCTGATTGGTTGTTACTTATGATCTATTGGAGGACAGACATATAGATGATGTCATCATTAAAACTTTTTTTAATTCTTTATTATATAAAACAAATAGATTCCAAGTTGCTGTGTGTCTGTTCAGTGATAGATATGGACAGGCTGCGCCTCGTGTGCCACTTTTTTGTTCTTACCACATTTTGACGTCATCTGTGATCTATTACTGAACAGACGCACGGCAACTTGGAATCTGTTAAATAAACATCCTGTAATATGAAATCTATTGGATAGAGGGTATGTAAACCCCTAAAACGTACATTTTCTTTCCAAATAGCTGTTTAATAATTATATCAAGTACACCTAAGGTACCATTCGTTTTTTTTTTCAAAAGCCCATTTTCACTTTGTTAAAGCTCTTCCAAATTCAAAACTTCCGCCATCTTGAGTGGCCCTGTCTTTCCTGTGACGTCACGGACGTTGTTAAATTAGAAAAATTAATTGCAAATTCGTTTTCTATGCCACTCTTTACATAGTATAAGAAAAACATGTATTTACATACCCATTACATGCCCTTTAATCTGAACCATCCTTGACCCAGTCTCACTCTCTTCCACGCTCAGCACAATTACATAGTTCGCGTTCTAAGGAGTGTCGTTCTCTTGCGTGCTACGTAAAAGTAACAGAAGTTATGGCGTTACTTTACTTCTTCGATTCCACGACGAAACCTTTTTCAGAGGTGGATTATGGTATCTCATGTCGCTATTTCTATGGCGCCTTCTACCATGCAAGAGCGGACTTTGCTAGAAGAGCCATTAAACAAGCCTGGAAGGTCTGATACTGAATAATTTAATTTTGAGCCCTAGAACTCTCTTCAGGTTGTTATTTCCATATTTTTTGTTTGTTTGACCCAGTGAAAGTAGAGATGCTCCCTCGGTGAATGACAATGAGATATTATCTTCATTACATGATGGCCGCTTCATAGAGGAAGCTTTCGTAGCAAGCGAAAACACCTGGTTAAATATATGAATTATGATCAGAGTATTACTCTAAAATCTACCGACCTTTGCAGAATTTTTAAGTCAAGCGCAAATGTATGCCTATGCAACAACTAAAAGAGTTGCAATTTGACCGAATTTTTCAAAATCCGATATACGAAAGATATGCTATTAAGTTAAAGGGGAGTTGCTGCATCACGGGCGTCAAGTGGGGGAAGAAGAAAATACCGAAATACGAGTGGTCAGCGGGGAAACAAATTTAATACTTCATATAGAGACAGCTGCAGAAAACAATAGTGTTGTAAAGCCGAAATGTTAACGGTGTACTTCGCTAAATGAAATGTTAAGCAATTTTTCAAAAGTGTTGATGACACATATATCTTTTACTACTGTATTAAACAATGGAGGCATCGGTGGCATTCGGAAAAGCACCAAGAAGAATTATATTTACGTTTCGTAACTTGCAAAAAAGAATCGTGTTGTAAAGCCAAAATGTTACCAGGTTATACTTCGCTACTTAAAAAGTTGAGCAATTTTCCAAACGCTTTGACTGGAATAATATTTTTACTGCTATATTAACCAACGGAGGCATCGTGAAAGGCATCGGTGACACCGGGAAAGGCATCAAGAAGAATGATATTTACGACATGTAACTTGTTGTATGACGAAAAAAAGTATCTTGACTTATTTAAGGCGTTAATCACAGTTGGTTTGCTTTTCACTTGAATTTTGAAATCTCGAATTTCGATTCCGGAAAAATGAAAAGCAAAGCAACTCTAAAAAAATTTCGTTCTAGATTTTTATATTTTTAGAGTCATTAATAAGTTTGTATCCACAGCCTTTAGATAAGAAAATTAAATTTCCATCAGCTGTAGTTCTTTCAGTGTTTATTATATATATTCAATCGCCTCATTTCACGTGAAAAAGGCATGTAAGAAAACACTGAGCTTCGAGAAACAGCCAAGTTAAGGCTAATGTCTTTACCATGCTTAAATATTTATAATCAGGGCCATTCGTTTAAAAGACCTTTTTTCAAAAGATCCAGACGTTAAAATAATTCTGTTTTCCGTTCGAAGTGTTTTTTTTTTCCTATTGAATATAACAAATGAACTCGGGATGAAAACTTACCTTTCGAACCAAACGGCAGTTGAAATGTTGTGTTGGTGTCTCTGTCCCCCCCACGTTCCTGCGAAAGATATATCCAGACAACCTGCATGGAAAAAGTGACCACAACTATCGCACCAAATATAGGTTTTGGTTTTCTTTTTCGTCATGCACGTCACGCAGCAAGTTACAAAACGTGAATATAATTCTTCTTGGTACCTTTCCGGATGCCACCGATGCCTTTTCCGATGCCTCCATTGTTTATTACAGCGGTAAAAGATGTATGTACCATCGACACTTTTGAAAAATTGCTTAACATTTTATTTAGCGAAGTATACTGTTGATATTTCGGCTTTACAACACTATATTGGTTTCCGCAACTCTAACTGATATGTCTCTATATGAAATGGTAAATCTATTTCCCCGCTGACCACTCGTATTTTGGTCTTCTCTTCTTCCCCCACTCGTCGCTCGTGATATAGTAACTCTCTGTAACTCCCAAGTTAAACTGAAAGTAAGGCGTGATGGGTAATTGAGAGCGAGTGACAAGAGACTGTTGACGCCGATTGAGAAAGGCCTGGATACGAGACAAAGTTATTCCTTTTTCCTGAACTTTTTTTGAAAAGTTTGAGGAAATTATCAATGATGGCTTGTAAGTACCTTTCTAAATCAACGAAAAAAGTGGATATTAGTGTTTAAATTATAAGTATGGATCCAAAGAATTAGCTACGCATCTAACGGAATTACTAAGGATGACTACATCAAGGGACAAATTAAAGAGTCTTATATGACATAATCTTTGATTCCAGATTTCTGGGGAACCTAGACTGATTGGGGGTAAGTAACAACGTATGTGGATTTTAAGAGTTTGAAAACTTTTTCCAGTGCCACGACCATTACTATGTTAAAGAATTTAATGTAACTACTCTTTTTTGTTTACGATATTTGAAGAACAATCTGATCTTTCTTTTTTCTGAACATTTAGGATAACAAACAAAGTATAACTGTAGATCATGTTTGCGAAGTTTTGTAGATCACTATAAGAAGATTCTTTTGGGTTTATTTAATTTATTTTCCGCTTTGGAGTTTGCTCCACATTTCCACATGCTGATCGCTTTTCCGAACAATTCTTTTGTCCCTTTTAGTTGTCGGTGTGGAGACCCCAAGAGAGCTGGATGCCTTTGAAAAGTCAGGTGCATTTTGCCAAAGTGTTGGCATCAATGTTGCTACCGTTTTTACCCCTCTTAGGGCATATGAAGATTTTGCTGCTACTATTGAGGACAGGCTTGAAGGGAACACTAATATCAGTGTAGTAGAGTGTGCACCAAGAACTGGCCTGCATTATTTTCTCACATTTACTGTGGAATATGAAGGTAAAGGTGTTGGCAGAATTGTATTTATGTAAAAGAAGTCTTTCGACGTCACGAAACATCTGAGCACATCGATTCTTTTCTCACTCAAACCTCTTTCAGGGGGGAAATCTCTGTTACTTGCGATTTTAACCATATTTCACTCCCAAAGCAACACCTTCGCTGCTCAAGCATGCAAGGTATAGATTTTGATAACGCTATTCTTCGTATATGGTGTGACCATGTCGGTTTGGCTAGTCCTATTGCTAACTGATATAGCTTGATAACCTCACACCTGTTTTGTCGTTTGATCTTTCGTAGACCTGATGCCACCTAGATCTGCTACTTTACGGCTGGCACAATGGTGACTCGTTATGATGAGTTCCAAGCAACGCATCCATAAAATATTGCAACGCTTGATAAAGCAAATCAGTTTTCATTTTATTTTCTTCAAAAGCAAGGGACTCGTTTAACTAGTTTCGACTGTGATTTATTGTGGCCATCTTCAGTTCGTTTTGTGTTTAAGCAATCACTTCTCCTTTGAATCAATATTTACCTGGCCAGTTCCTTGATGTGCTAGAAAGCGTTTTGTTTCCTTAAGAGAGACTTGTCTCAGTTGTTTAGCCTTAGTTTGAACTGGGATTGGTTTTCTGAACTTTTTTTCTTCTGCAGGTATGACTCAGGAAGACCTCTTCAGAATCTGGAGCGAAGAAGCAAAGGCTGCTTTGGAAGCTAAAAGATCTGGAACTGTGTTGGACTTGTGGAAAGTGGTGGCACAACGAAAGGTGTGTTAATCCGTCTTGCTGTCCGAGATAGATGGATTGATAGATAGATAGTTAATTGAAGTTTCAGAATTACCGCTCTAAAGCTGAATTTAAAAAAAACTTAACAAGGGTTAAAAAAATTACCCAATAAAATAACTGATTAAAATCGTCCATACACAATTGCTGTACTAGAAACTGGTCTCAAGTTCAGTCTATTCGTTTTGCAAATAGGGACGTGATATCTACGACTACTCCTCAGATTTAAACTCATTTATTTTCTCTAGCAAAAATCTTTATAGTTTGTGATCAGGATTGTTATTGATGTCTTGAAACGTTTGAGCCTGTCAGTCTGATCAAAAGATGTCTCTAAGCGAGCCTTTATTAATGCCCCTCGATAGGTAACATGCGGGAAGATAATTCATATAGCGTGCTTCTGTAACTCTCCAGTTGGTCTGACATGTAGCTTGGGAGTGAATTGTGAAAAACTTGAGAAGTGCACTCTATGATGCATGTTGAGCATAAGGTTAGAAGGTCCTTAGTTGCAACGTTTTGTCGATTTGAGGAAATGTAAGGGAGCGGGTTAAGACTTTCCATAGGCCGTTAACTTGCAATCCAAACGCACAAACCACCTTCCAAGGCAAGTTGAACTAGTTTTACCAAACACTGAAATTCTCCGAAACCAAAAATTCAGTCCCATTTTTGTTTTTGTACAAGTGAAATGATTGGCTTTAAACTGCTCCAGGGCGATCGCTTAAGCCTGGTTTTCGCTGGCGCATCAGCACGTGTTTATTGATAATGGTAATAGGACCATCATACGAGTGACTAACAAAATTGGACGACCGCGAAGCGGGAGTCCGATTTGTCAATAACGAGTATGATTACAGACAGAATTGGACAACGCGAAGTCCTGTTACCAATTAATCATAACCATTACAATTCCCGAAAAAAAATACATTTTAGGCAAACATCTCCAGTAGGGACAATGGCTGAAGCAAAAAATTTGGAAATTTCCCAGTCTTTTTTTCAGAGTAAACGGTTGTTGCTATGGTTATCGTAAACAATTCTGTGGTTGGTGGATTTAGCTGAGTGGACTTAGTATGATTGACTGCTTCAACTGTCCGATTACAGATGTCCCATTGCAGCCAACTGTCCGATTACACTGTCTGATTACAACTGTACAGAGAGATAAGTGAAATACAAAGCAGCTGATGCTCCAATTACATTTGAGGAAATTGTGATGGTTATGATTAGTCTTATTAGCACATAATCCCCACAGTAAATTTATTATTGCGGAATCGACTAAACAACATTGCTATTATTTCGCAGGTGTTTGCCATTGTGTGTGTTTCCAAACCAGGGGATCTGGACGCGATATCATTTGACCTGCCGATCATGAAGAGAATGGGAGACAAAGTCCATATCACATGCAAGTCGATTCGCCGAGCTGATGAATGGATCGGAGACGTCAACTCTCACAGGCTTGACTCATTTGAGCCTCACTTTAATTAAATTTTATTTCACCTACAGATGAAAATCAAGTAGTGATCCTCGAAGGTAAACTAAAATCTTAGCAATATTGTAAAAAAGAAGCCTGAACGGATTTGCGTAGTTCAGGGAAGCTTATATGTGAGGAAGTTTTGGCTCTCCAAATGAAGAGTGTAATGATAAAATACAGTAAAATGAGAAAAGCGAACTTTACAAAGTCTTTGTTTATTCAACGTACTTTCTTCCTCTCAATGTGTTTGCTGCGCGATCACCGTTTCCACAGTAGGCACCCGCATGAAAGAAAAATGGCCGTGATTACCGTACAAGGGCGCTATATGTATATGAGTGATGGCTACAGCTCGCCTCTTACCAGCAGCGTCTACCACGCTCATTCTCGAAAAGGCACTCCCAGTGTTAGCCCAAAACGGGTTTTGCCGCCAAACAGCAAAAGAAATGGAGAGGACTACAATATAGGCTAATATAAAGTTAGATAAAACTAATGTGTTAAGAAGGTCACTTATTGAATCAGTGGTAAAGCCACAATGACTGTTGCCTGAGCAGTCTGGATTCAGAGGCTAATTGTGCATGATAAAATTCGGCACAGCTCTCTGGAACCAGTAAATTAACTCCAGTAGGGGAGCAGGCATGGCACTTGCCTCCCACCATAGTGGCCTGAGTTCGATTCATGGACCCGGCATAAATGTAGTTGTGTTCTCGTCCTTGCTCTAAGGGTTTTTTTTTCCGGTCCCTCGATTTTCTTCTCTACACAAAAACCAACATTCTAAATTACAATTCGGCCTGTAACAACAGACAAGAAGAGCTACTTCGTGGAATGTCCACTGCTAAATCCCATTTTATTAATTTAACTCTATGTTTAACACGTGGTTTAATATCTGATGACGTTTTGCCATAGGACCTTCACTATTAGACTTGTAAAATTGCTATACATATAAATGTTATTTTTCAACTTATTCGCTACTACCTAGGTTCCTATATTTTTTCGGTTACGTGTCATGGAGAGTAACAAAAAGAATTGAAGAAAGGAGCTTGTAGTAATCAAAACATATTCAAGCGTTACACCGCACTTTTTATCGGTTTATCGGGAAAATAAACTACTTCGCATGTCAGTGGTCACGAGAAAAGTTTGTAAAATACCTTGCTTTCGGCTGGTAATTAAGAAGCTTTTCTGTGGTCTAATATCCTGGTAAAACGATAGAACTGGCTACCTAATGACGTCATAAGAAAGCAATGGGTTTCTCTTAACAATAGATAATGGCTTTTCAACCAACCGGAGCGAGTATATTGGCTTAGCTTTTTCATAAAAGCAAATATAGAGTAATGTTTTTCTTTTTGATCACTTTTGATTACGAAACTGGAAAAAAACACACGTGGAAAAAGATATGTTAAGATTTTGGCAAGATCTGAGCTGCAAATCACGAAGAAACAGAAACAAAAAAAGCAAAAATATTTTCAGAACGGAACACAAATATTGCTCTATTCTTTTTTGGCCGAATAGAATAGCAAGCCTACCGACTCATACGTAATTAACAATAAACGATGGCGTAAAGAAATTATAATTAGCCCACATAGTAATTAGCAAGCAAAACTACGTATATTTAACAGGTTAAACTGGACGTGATGATAAAAATTCAGCATTCAAAATACTAATTTTGGTGCGGGCTTATCTAAGTGTTAGTGTCGAACTTGGGATCACTACTTTTTGCTCCAATTCCTGCATACGAACCTGTGCGGAGTGATATTCTTTGTAACCGAAATTCCACCACAGAAGTAATGGGGTTGCTCTATTTTTTTGAATCTACTGCGAAGCTCAATGAACAGGGATATGTTCATTCGTGTCTTTCTCTCTATAATGCTCTCAAGGGCTCGCGCTCGCTATCCATCAGAGAGATTTGGAAGGTCAGTTTATACTTTTAACTTGATCTCTCTTTCGTGTTTGTTTATTTGCATATCGTCTCTGCTGAGCCCATAGTCATATAGGCTAAGATATTAAATCAAAGATATGCAGCATATAAAATTAAGCCTTTTGTGACGAGCATCACGCAACGTGCGGCACACTGTGCCTGTAACGTCTCATTTACTTGTTTTTCTTTATGGTTACAGATTCCTGGCGAACACAAACTGATAGGAGGTGAGAATATAAGACTGCGAATCGATGCCAGAGTGCTCGATTGCCTACGTGAAGTTTTTTATTAACGCTGCGGCGCGAGTGATGAACATGCACACCGGTCAAACCTATGGCATGCGTAGGGGGGATCAATTTTAGCCGGTTGCTCGCCAATTTCCCGCGCAAAATTTCAAAGAGGAACATAAGAAACAACTGCTGTCACGAAAAGCACGGCTTATTTACTAATGGGTATCCCTATAGGTTTCTTTCTTTGGAATTTCATCTAATTTTTTCACTTGCTGATCGATCGCTCTTCTGAACAATGCGTCTCGTCATTTTTCTGCAGTCATCACTGTGGATTCGCCAGGAGAGCTGGATTCTTGGGTTGCGTCTTCTTATGAACACTTGGCAAACGGAATCTCTACTGTGTTCACCCCATTGAGACCTTATGAAGATTTTGCCGCCAATGTTGGAGACTGGCTGGAGGAAGATACCAATATCAGCCCTGTGCATTGTGTACCAAAAAATGGTCTACATTACTTTCTCACTTTTACAGTGGAATATGAAGGTAAAGATAAAACTTTCTGTACTGAAAGTCTGCTGTTGACGAGCATTTCCCATCTTTGCCGTTCATCGCTTTAGCGCACCTAACTGAAATCGCCAACTGCAAAGGCTACCGCGCAGTCAGTAAGTCAGTCATTCAGTCAGGCGGTTAAAGAGGATAGGTCTTCCTTTGATTTTAAACTGGGTTCCACGCAGCGACAGAGGTCCTCTTACTTGTGTCAAGGATGATTTTGAAGCCTTGATTTGATTATGAAATTTAGTTTTTGTTCCTTCTCCAGGCATGACTCAAGAAGACCTCTTCAAAGTCTGGTTTGAAGAAGGGAAAGCTGCTTTAGGAGCGAAGAAATCTGGAATTGTAAGGGACTTGTGGAAAGTGGTAGCACAACGAAAGGTAATATCAATTTGACTTCCATAATTGGCTCTAAATTTTGCCTTTTCCTCTTTTTTTTTTTTCCAAAAAGGAGGATTGCTTATAATGGTAGTTAGGCTTTGGATGGGTTTCAGAGTTGTTTCAGATGATGCAACCTTTAAATGCATGAACTCAACCGAACAGTTCGATTGCAGGTTTTGCTTACTACATAATACAGCTGCAGTCCGCTAAAGCGTTGCTAAAGTCTTCTAAACTTTCCTAGGACTTATGCTCATTTATTTGTTTATTTATCTATTTTTTATTAACCTTTATGCGTATTGATTAAAAATGACTTGGCAAGATTGGTGGCTAAAAGATCTGATCTGCTATTTATAGGTTTTTGCCATTGTGTGTGTTGAAAAACCAGGAGATTTGGACAAGATATCATTTGAATTGCCTGTCATGAAAAAGATGGGTGACAAAGTCCAGATCACATGCAAGTCTATTCGCCAGGCTGACGACTGGATGAGAGAAGTCAGGGAAATAGAGAAAGAACAATTTCGAATGTCTTCCTCGCGGCTAAGTACTGCGGAAAACAGATAACTAATCTGAAAACATGTGTTTCATGACATAGATTTGTTTGGATCAATATCAGTATCTAGGCAACTGCCCACCTACCCCTCCCCTAACCCAACATTAACCCTAACTTATTATCAATAGACTGTTGTTGGGTTAGGGTAGGGGTAGGTGGGCAGTTGCCCAGATTATTTTTTTTACCCCATTCATATTTGGCTTATTCCGGCACAATGATCTTTCCTTCCTCTGATTAATGTGAAAACTCCGCTGTTCTAACAAATATGATTTATTTGATTCAAAGAATAAATTAAACTGAATGATTCAATTTTATTCTTAAGTTTTCACAAGTGTGTATTTGGGGTCACTATTGACTTGGTCTCATCGTTCGCCGGTCGCGCTTTTCAGATGTCAACGCTTTTGCAATCGAGTGTATAAAATACTACTCCGTGACTTATGCTTTGATTCACATTTGGCGAGTTAAGCATGGGATCACTTCTGGTGACGAAACTTCAAACCATGCAAAATTGAAATGAAAATCCATTCGATTCAAGGTAATCATTTACATAAGTTGTTTCCAGTGAACTGCACTTTACGGTTTTTTTTTTGCCCCATTTCAGCTTTTGGCTCTCTTTGGGATTAGCCAGCGCTCGGCCGTTGGACATGCCAGAATCATGGCATGATAGGCTCGCGTGCGATTTTTCAAAACCGCCTTGTTGTGCATTCAATCAGGGCTCTTCGCATTAAGCTTACATCAGTGGACACTAAAAGGAAGATTACAAGCTGTACTGAAACCGAAATAACCTTTAAATAGAAACTTGAAAGATAAAAACTCAGTAAAACAAACTCCATGAGAACACAGATCCGGGTGGCGACCTAACGTTAAAAGTACGGCCCGTCTTGCAAGTTCAGAGAGCAAATCTGGATAGCGCTCAGCCGTGATCGTTGTCGGAATACATTAAGACAAAATATAATTAAATGGTCCACGCAAATGTTTCTTTGCTTCTAAAGAACGGCCTGTAAAGAGCATCGAGCGGTGAGAGTTTTTGAAACGTTTCCGTGTGTTTATTGTGAAACAAAACGTTCACTGTTAAGGTGGTAAGGAAAGTGGTTGCGTAATAAGCGGTCTTTACTAGAGAGTTGACCTTATCATTATTCATGTGCGATACTTTCTTTCAACATTGTAATTCAGTATTTTCAAATTGCTATAAATTTTGTCCTCTCCCACCCCCTCTTGCTTCCCGAAAAACAAAAAGAAAATTGTTGATTGGACATGCCGCTCTCACGCAAAATTGCCAGGTTACTCAAGGCCTATTATACAGCTTGTCAAGTTACTGCAAATGCTTACACCCTTCACCCCGGTTTCCCGTAGAGAAGTCGTTAGCTTACAGGCAGCACCATGGGACTGCTCTACTACTTTGAGACCACCATTGACTTCCATGGAGAACACTCGCAGAATGTGTTTCGAAAATGGCTTAATATAGCCGAGGAGTTTATTGCATATCCATCGAAAACGACGGGAGTGGAAATCAAGCAGCTCTGGAAGGTAATTAACAAAAGCGCAGAGTTTCGACAACCGAGCAATTTTATAGCATGCAGAAGCTCGGAAAATTTGTACATTGCTGAGAACCAAAATAATTTTTAGAATCGCTTGACATTTCTCAACAAACATCTGATACTCTTGACAAGTTTTAAAGAACCTTTCAGTAGAAATTCAGTGAAAATTTCAGACTGTCAAGCATTTAGCGACCGCCTTAATCGGCATTAATCAATAGCTGACATTGCGGTCACAAAATGTAAATTAGCTTATTACAATGCCAGACTTACAAAAGGCAACTGAAATATTTTCAATGTCAAATTAAGTATATTTTAACGCCCCTTTCGATCGGTTCGCGTAGGTTAAGAATTTGCGATCCAAAGAAGGGTAAGCCGACGTTCCGTTCATCCGTGCAAAGTAAGGAAGGCGTCTCGAGCAACGCGAGTTGGTGAGAGATCTAGCTGGTGGTCAAGCTAGTAAAATCAATGCCGTACGCCTCGAATATCCTTATCGTGCACGCTTGTGACGTCAGCAAGCAACTGCCTCGCGCAAAAAATATTACCTCCGCGATTCGAAAGTTCATGTTCAGTTTGGCCGCGAGTTTTGAGGTTTGCAGGTTTTTCCTTTCCATCCCCATCTGAAGTTCAAAATAGAAAGTAAGTATGTTAAAGGATACTCGATTTTGGAAAACAATGGACTTCTAAGCGCAACATAGCCACGTAATCCTTCACCGTCCTGCTTTAGGTAACGGTCATGATATATGCGCGTTATTAACCAAGCGTGGTGTCATAGAACAAAGCATGCACTTCATATGATTGTTCGCTAATGAAGCCTGTCGTGTTAAAAACAACTTTAAAACCTCGGGCACCACTCTTATTCTTCATGATTCCTTAACAATGTCAGTGTCCCAGAAGATTGCACGCGCTCAAACGGGAGACGCCCATTTAACAAAATAAGGATGACTTTCTTTTTCATTTGATCTTATATTTTCAGATATGCGGAGAAAATAAACTGATAGGAGGTGAGTGCGTTGAAGTGGTCTTTGTCACTTTGTAGCAAAGGGAAACTATGTCATGTATACCTCTTGGCGGCTGGACTTCATTATATCACAAAAAGATTTATCAACAGTAACAGAACTATTTAGAAAAAAAAAGAGTGTCGTGCAATAGTAATGCTTTAGCTCAAAGGTTACACTAAAGTTATTACGCAAGAAAGCTGTGAAATTAAGTTCTCAGGTCACACAAAACAGACGCTAAATCGAGTTGCATTAAATTACTGTACTCTTCAACCAACCTAACGTCACTGTCACGCAACATTATATTCTCCAACAAGCTTTTTCAAATGATTCCTAACTAGTATTTTTTTAATTGTATTTGGCTCTGCTTCGATTTGTTCTGTTATTCATAAACAGTCAGATTCTGAAATGAGGGCAATTTCTGAATACTGAATAATCCTTCTTTGCCTTGAGTGGCTGGATGAGATCGATATACCACAACCTGTCACAGTTTGTCCTTAAATGAGATAATTTGTTTTTGTCAACTAAGTCGTTTATCGTGTAAATTGGTAACCAGACTTTTCGAGCGTTAGCCCTTCGTCTGACGAATTTAAATCATCAACTCGGTTGATAAAAACCAAAAAAAGAAAACCCCACCGACGCAGCACCACAATTTTTTTCGGAAACCTACCTCCTAAATCTGTTCATTTGTCCTTAAATAGCTCAGTAAAATGAAAGGATATCTTCGTAAAAAGGGTCTGTCAGGGTTTCACAGCCAGCGAAACACACCTCTACCCGTACTTCTTCTCCTCCTCCTCCTCCCCCCCCACCACCCTTCGCTTTCAGGGTGGTTCATCTTTCATCTTATACATTGCCAGGAGCCCATGACGTTACTTAAAATTAAAATTTTATCCTTGCGAATCTAATTTCCCTCTTTTATTTTGTATCATTCCAGTTCTCAGTGTGGAGTCACCAGGACAACTGGACATTTGCTTTGCGACTCTGTTAAAGCAACAATCAGCGGACGTTCGCATCACAACCGAGGTGAAACCTTTTAGACCCTATGAGGATTTCGCTGGAACTGTTGCCGAGAGATGTAATCGGAGCCTGGACGCGACTCATGTGGAAAGCGTGACCAAAGAGGGATTGTATTACTTCCTGTGGTCTCGAGTCGAGTATATGGGTATGTTTATATCACATTAAGAGATAACGTTTTACTCTTTTCACCAGTCTGTTTGAAGCCAATATTTGACCGGTCATGCGTCACGAAACGCACTTGCAGACGTTCCAAGAAAATTCATATAACACCAGTACAGTGGTTTCTCTGCTCATGGTGTTTTGTCAATTCCCTTTAGGTGCTTTAAGAATGTACATAATGGTTGGTTTGCCTCAAATTTTTTCTCTTATAAAGAACCGTCCATGTACCTCTGTGATCTACCCAGCGCTGCACCTGTTGTCCTCTTATTCAGACTGAAAGGACCTAAAATCGGGGCTATCCACAATATGCTCTAAAGTGTTAAAAAGATACTCGAATTTACCGAGAATGTTGCGCAAAATTGTTTAAATACGGAAAGTTTTTCCAGTCACCATAATTAACTGCATTGCCGTTTTTCATGGTCACTATTGGAGGTTTGTAATTATCTCGTCAAACGAAGACCAATGAACGTTTTCCAGTGTTCCTTAGCTCGCTCCTAATGTATCAATGTTATTTTCTCCCACAGAAAAATCAATTTCCCTAGAGAAATTTATTGAACCAGGAACCGGTTTCTTTTTTCACTGACACTTACGCATGCGTGTAATTCAATTCATGAGCCACAGGACTACTACCATTTTCTTTCATAACATTTTGCATGTCACAGGACAGACTTTGTTCGTCGATTGTATAGTCCTATGACTGACTCTTTGTCTCTGAATCAGGCATAACGCAACTGGATCTTTGCAACACTTGGACTGACGAAGCAGTATGTGCTATAGAAGCAAAGAAACTAGGAGACATTGTGGACTTGTGGAAAGTGGTGGCAGAACGACAGGTAAGAATCAGGCGTCGAGTACTACAAAGTTCATTTCCAGTCAGTTTCACAAAAGCTTCAAATTCAATTTCATGTCCAATCGGTGTGCAGAGCTTTTTTTTTTTTTATATAAAACCCGCTACCCTGAGTCTTGCAGAGCCTCAGTCGTAGAGCATCCCTCGGGGGGTCAAAAGTTCATGTTCGCTTGACTGAACTTGGATTTTCCCCCTTTTTTTTTTGTCCTTTTTTTTTTTGATCAGTTTGCTTGTATCAATGATTGAGAAACATACCAGGAAAAAAATCCTCTGACAACGAAACAACCCAATGGACGCATTTTTTATTTGAATGACCGGGCGAACGACACTGAAAGGGCGCAGTGTTGCCTTAAATACTTATAAATTACGTCGATTAGTTGTAAGGTTTGAGCCTTTCTGTCTAGTTTTTCGGTTTCAAAGTTCAATCTTTATGTTCTCAGATAAAGAGTTCAACAGGGTATGAAACTCCGCCGAGATCACTCCTTTTGTCATGGCAAGTGTCTTCCAGCCTTCTTCTCTGCGGAATGATTCGTTGATTAAGATCATTTTTGCACAGTTAAAGCGACTAAACAAAATCATGTTTGGGTTTTTTTTCCCCGGGAGAGTTTTCCGGTTGAATTAAGTTTCTGTTTTTGAACAACAAGCAGAGCATACCTCCCAGTCTGGACAACAGGCTCAACTCACGGAGAAAATTCAATCGTCATCTTGGCATTGATTATGACTGAAGTGTTGACATCCAAAGCGGAAGCCATCATCAGAGTCGCCGACCCAGCTGTCTTTTCTCATTTCATTTAAAAAACCGTAGGACTAACCCCCCCCCCCCCCAACACCTCTTATGCTCCAGTTTTCTTTCATTCCTCTCTCGTCATCTCAACGTATTTGATCATCTCTAAATTCATGTTATCAAACATCCTACAGGTTTGGGTGATTGTGCGCATGAACAGCCTGAAGGACGCGGATGAGCTTCTTACATTTGATCTTCCGATCTTAAAGAAAATGGGAGCTCAGGTGTACACCAAGTGCAAGTCTATACGGCCAGTCAACCATTGGATCGAAGATCTTCAGACACTGGTTTAATATTTGCTTGCTTAGATAAATGGTGTAATCCTGTAATTTTTAGGGTTAGATTAAGGTGAGATATTTTACCGTGAACAGTTCCTCTTTGTAGTATTTGGGACATCAAGACATCGTTGACATTTTTAACAGGGAATACAACCCTTTCGTATACCTTCCATTGAAAAATTATATTCCTTCCACACTGATTTCTTTTCGAAACCCAGAGAATGGAGCTATGAACTGTGTTACGGAAAAACATCACAGTCCCCCTTTAAATACATTCACGAGGCATAATCTACCATTTCCTACCATTTCCGGCTTCCCACAGGCCATTGTTATCGAGAACACGGGGTATACTTCCACCCTTGAGGGGCTTGATGGAACTCGGGAGGACAGAACTTAACTACTCTAGGTAATAAGGCGACAGCTTGTGTTTCGTTCAGAAACGTTTTCCCTTCCCCCACCCCCTCCCGCACTAGTTTTGCACTGAACTCACGGTTGTATTATCCGAGACTCCGTGACTCTACCATGAAACGCATGAATGGCGCATAGCGCTGAAATAAAGAGTGACTGTTCACAGACAAGCGTGATACAGGTGTTAGGATTAAGCGACATTTGGATCCAGGGGTGTAAATCACATTATGAATGTATCAGCTCCATAGGTAATAAAGAAAGGCTTTAAGCTATTAATTACTATAGAACTTCAGAAAGTTTGAATTTGTAGTAACAATTAATACAGCAGATGTCTTGCTGCAGAAAAAATTTCTCAGCTTCTGTTATTTACAAAAAATAAACAAAAAGTTGGTGATGGAAATAAATCCATGTTTTTCTTTTCACATATGCAACGAACATTCCAGTCGATTGCGTGTGTTTTGTTCAAAGTTTAAATTTCCGGCTGTAACTTAGTGGGTTCCCACTGATTGAAGATTATTTCGATGGCGGTTATTTACTCGAGTGATCTATGTGTCACACTTTGCCTCAAGTGGGATACAAAATTGGCAGATTTCCTATGTCTTTATTTTTGCCGATAATTACCCCTGTGGGGTAAAGGAACAACATTAAGTTTTGAGCCAATTCTACGTTTTGTTCCAAAGGGATATTTGAATGACAAACCTTCGACTGATGACGATTTTCACCGACAGAGAGAGAGCACAAACAGAATTGACTGCTATATTACATTTAGGTCCTCGGTCCTGTCTACTTAATAGTTAGGTCCTAGGTTTTGACAAAGCAGTATCGGAAGAAAGAGGAGGCTAGCGAAGATTATAATTTTTCTTATTGTCATCTTTTGCTAGTTTGTGCTCCCTAGACCTCAAAAACAAAACCTGCTTGTAATCATAATTACAACTCTACAACTTCCAGGTGAAAGAATGTTGGCAAATTATTTAACGCCTGTTCAGGTGTTCCCGGAACTGACTGAATCCGTTCTTGAAAAGAAGACGCAATTCAAGAGGTTTAGCCGGCAGGCGTTGCCTCCGGAAGGTTGATATTTATAGGTAATGAATGTTACCTTGTCAAATTGTTGGTATCGCAAATTTTTCTGTTCGAAATCTCAAAAATTTCGTCAGCCTTTGCGAAGAGATTCGAAGTTCTGTTTTAAGTGCATTTTGTTTCGGTCCCCGTCCAATTCTCGCATTTATTTCAACGCTATGTCTGGGATTTGTATTTATAGTCGAGAGCCTCCATCAAAAGGTGGCGAGAGAAGTTTAAAGTTGTCGTTGTGAGGGACAGATTTCTGTGTTTGATCGCTGCCGTTTGAAAGTACTGCGATGAACAAGCTGAAGTCTTGTAAATTGAGAAAAGTTATCAAAATATAAGAACTGCATCCACAGCTGAGATTCTCTGAAAGCCATCATTATTTTTTTAAAGTGAGCCCAGTGAAAAGAATGATTACTGATAAAATTAACAAATGCGTAGTTCATTGCCAAAATGTGATGTTGCAATCTTTTTGGCTGTTCACAAATTGTGAATGAATGGAATCATGCAAAATGACCGTTGTAAGATAGCTGACCGTTGTTGTGCGCTTATAAATAGCACATGGTTAACACTTACACGACCCACCCAAATTACTGTATCATTAAATAATTTGTTTGACACCTTATCACTTCATTCGTAGAGTGCCGTTTTCTGCGATATAATTTTCCGCCCGGGAATTGCTAAGCTCATGAGGCAGTGCGCGATTTCAGGTGATTTCGTTTCCTTCCGTTTCTAAGGTGATATAGAGCGAGGAAAGGTGAACTTCGATGCGATGAAGTCAGTTTTGGGATTTAAATTATATAAAAAAATAAACGGTTTAATATACCGTTCAAAACGGCTTTTGCAATAGTTGAAAAATTGCTTAAAACGAGGTCAAAACATTCGATTTCTTCGTTCATTACATGGTTTTAAATAAACGACGAAAGATTTTCTTAATCGGATTTATTGCAACATTATCCTTGCAGTTGCATGTTCAATGTTTCTACCTCTCATTGACCTAACGTATTAAGTGATTAGCTTGTGATTCATCCCAGGGCCCTGGCGCACTTTCTCAATCTCGGCCCATTTTTTTAAACGCCCGTGAAAGGCTAACATGATCTTGTGTGCTCAACAGCTCTGCTTCTCCAACATCCCGCTCGGTTTCCCCCCCTCGAATGTAGCTCCTCAAGTATTTAAAGCCTGCGGTGCCACCTTTAATGTTTGGTCGTAACGTGAGCGTATGATAGCTATTCAGTCCATGGGTGAGACAGTGACGAGAGAAATCTTGGCCTTTGAACTGATGACGACACATCACAGTCAAAAACATGCAAATTTTGGCACAAGCTTATGTTTCTCTCCTGCTTTCCCTCCTTTTACGTCATCAAAATGAGGAATCCAGTTTTCTTTTCCAGAGCATTCAATACATTTTTTTTTCTCGAAAAAGCGACTCTGAGTACAATGCAGAAGACGCAACAATCATCTTTGACAAGGACTAATTTGTTATGCTTTGTTCGTGTAACCTATTTATATTAGAGCCAGACATTTCTCAAGTGGCTAACGTTTACCTTACTGGATGCGGGCAGATGTTTTTCTGCACTCTAGCCATTATTCAACCCAAACCGCCAATATCACATGAAGAATGCTCTGTATGTGGTTTCAGAATTTCTTCTTAAAATTCCGTTTATTAGATTCGCGCACCGCGAATGAAGATTAGAAATTTTACCAAGTAAATCTCATAAAGCATTCTTAAGAAGCTTTCCGCAGAAACCATTTATGAAGACATAAAATACATGCCGTTTTACCCTTGTGCATTTTCTCAACAACAACAACAACAAGAACAATACAGCAATTTACCTCAGATCAATACAACTCATCGTTTAAGGTATTTATAGCTGCTATAACTATCAGCCTGGAAAAAGAAAAACCCACAAATACACTTGACAATATTTTGTAACCTTTGGTAAATGCTTTGAAGTAGCAACGGCTGTAGACGAAGTGCAGTGCATTGTACCGGATCTGTGACCTGGCGCACGTACAAGAAAAAACTAAGAACGCGTTTTTGTCTTTACGAAAAGAAAAGAAGCTACTTAACAATGAACGGAACCCGATAGTGAGAACATAATTGGGTGATTACCTTCTTTACCGATATATATCAGTCTTATTAAGTGTTGAAAACTTGTCAGAGTAGATTTGCGTGGTTAGTTAAATCAATAAGATTTATCATTTGATCAACAACTCATTGCCCAGGTATTTCGTGTGTAGAGGCCGTTCGTTTTAAACTTCATTCTTGTGAGGAGCACGCCAGCTTGTTACAAGAAAAAGTAACAAAATAACGGCGAGCCAGATGAATCTGAACGATGATTGAACTTATTTTGGGGGCCAAGTTTAATTCATCTGCCGGCCATGAGCCAACATAATCCTAGGATTTTTTTTCCGCTTTACAAGGAAATAAACTTTAAGAGCTCTATTTACCGACACAATTATTAAAATAAGAGTGTTTCTATTCCAAGGCCAACAACTCAGTATGATATCGATCGATAATGAAGCTCAGAAGGAAACTTGTGTCAAAATGGCCGGATCAAAAAACGATTAAGAAAATAAATGACTGGAACTTAGATAAATTATATTATGGCGAGGGAAGAGTAACAAAGAAACTAAAAAAATCTTCTATAAGATTGAAAATGCCATAAAGTTCCACCTGTCGATGCCCACGCCGTAAGCATAGAATGTAAATCTTACAAGAAATTTAACAGGCGTGACTCAAAGGTGTTTCTCGGTCAAATTCCAAGTGTATCAACTTTCAGACGCGCGCAATCTATACTGACGAAAATAGCGCAAGTGACGTCTGGCTTTCTCTTCAATTTGTTAGCCATTAAAAGATAACGTAATTTAAAACAGATTTGAGTTAAAGACTGATAAAAGTAAACTATTGCTAATCTGGATTTTCTGAATAGAAATTAGTTTTAAAAACAACTCGATTAAAATAATTTCAAACTACCGTGTCGTTTTAAGAGTGGGTACATGTCTGTGTCACGTTGTGGGTGGCAAAATACCGAATTGTGGTTTAGGGTATGTTCATTTTATTCATGCGAAATTTTGACAAGTGTCATCTGAAGTCTGAAAGCAACTGGTGGGTGGTAGATCGAAAAAATAAACGACGTCTGAAGGATTCAAGGGCGTGCGAAAAAATGTACATACAGATTTACTTGGACTTAAGTCGCTTTGAGTCCCTAAGGGAACTTCGGATCTTTCTCTGGAATTTCTTTGCACAAAGGGTCAGAGATTTTGCCGGTACATAAAATATTACTGGGGTGTTCTGAAAGAAAATTGATCACATTTTGATAGTTAATGATATTTGGCGCGCATCACTAGAAACTGAGCTGGCGGTGTGTGTACCCAGCTCTAATGCAATTTTATCAGTGATCTACCTGCACGCAATACAGAGCTGAAGTACTTGAAAGAAAGCCACATCTGGATTTATTCTATCAAAGGCTTTTCCTGAACGCTTGCTCAAAGTGGACGACTTTGATATTTTAAATGGACGCGCCCGGTGATCTCATCAAAGAGATTCGAATTATTAATTGCCGCAGGAAACGACGTTAATAATATCACTCATTGTTATTTGCAAGTCACGCATCAAATAAAATTGTAATTTAAACTTACATGTTGCAAGCTTTTGTTCTTGGTTCTACTTTACGATTTTATTGTTCACACGAGGATTTAAGATCCCGGCCGCAACTGTCATTAGTAAAATACCGGTTATCCAAGTGGGCGCCATACCGGAAACTAACTCCGCACGTGACGAAAGAGAAATGCTCATTACACAAGTATTAGGTTAAATATCCTATACGTTATTGGAATACTGACAGTTGGGGGTGAGCCATCGTTAAACGTACACGGTTCGTGCTAGAATTTGAGAGACAGAGTTTCCGAACAATCATTGTTATCGAGGAATCGTCGCAATGGAAGACCCCGTAAATGTTTCAACCAGCCCATCTACAACACAGCCTTGCCAGTTGTCTGAAGGCCATATCAGTGGATTGTTGTCCGTAAACATCTTATCAATGATTATTGGCACAATTGGTAATTTATTGGTGATCGGAACAGTTTTCACGAATGCCAGTTTACAGATCATTTCCAATTACTGGTTAGCAAGTATGGCTGTGGCTGATTTGATGGTAACTGCACTCAGTCAACCATTGTTTTCAGTTTTCCTTGGCCTACAGTTACGCGACGAATGCCACGAATTTGTTTCCCAGGCGTTCCGTCTGATCGCCAACATGTCATGCTCTGCGTCTGTTCTTCATCTCTGCCTAATAAGCATTGATCGGTGCTTGGTGATTCTGCGGCCGCATGATTTTCGAAGCTACCGCACGAAAAAACGATTCAAAATCGCCCTGGTTTTCTCGTGGACTTTGCCGGTAATCTATGGGATCTTACGTCTGACAGTGAGCAAGAAAGGTACTTCTTATTTCACAGTCGCAGCTGTTGGCATCTGTTATCTGATTATCATTTTGTGTTACAGTTTAATCATTTTTAGAGTCCGAAAACAAGGTTCGGCGACTCTCAAGCGGTTGCGTGGACAGTCACTTAGGGGTACACCTTCTGAGCACATGGTTGAGCGTCGCGTGACGGTCACAATAGCCATAGTTGTCGTTATTTTCACGATTTGTTGGTTTCCACTCCTTTACCTGCGCTCTGTGTTTGCAGAAGCAAATTTTGGCGTGTCTTATAACTGGGCTAGGACACTGGCTTTGAGCAACTCTTCAATGAATCCCTGGATATATTGTTTTCGTATCGCCGAGTTTCGTGACGCTTACAGAAGATTATTAAAATGTCAGTGGAAACCAGGCACAGTGTGTCGCGGTGGAGTAGGAGACCGAGATCAGAACGATCTAGAAACAACAAAATCCAGTGAGTTAGACACTCAAAATGCAGTTTGATCTGACTACTTCATGTCTGAGCTTCTCGCTTAAAATAACTATGAGAACTATAAGATATTCTATGGTGGTTGAGGTAAAAACTTTATACGACATTCTCTTCAGTCAGAGTGTAGTTTAAAAACAACATTTCGGTTTTGAGTTATATTTTGATGATATTATGTGATCACTTTGTACAAACGTAACAGAAGTAGTTGAATTTTTGAACAATTTGTAACCATGAAAAGAATATGACGATAGCATCCTTCCAGATTAATATTCTTTTCAGATGACTGTTTATTATATATTAGTTGTTCTCTGCTGTCACGAAATGATAATCACAAGCAAGGGTGTGCCTAAAGCTTTCCAAAAAAAACTAACGAACGAGACAACAATCGGTTTATTTTTTCCGCGTCGTCTCGATTGGGATTTTAACAAGTTACTTTTTTCGTTTTGTGTTGGGATTTATGTCCCCTTACAGTTGTATTAAGTTCGGAAAGCTACCCTTTTACAGAATATTGACTGTTTGTTTTGTTATTTTGGTGAATAAAGAAAATATGATATTAATCTCACTAAAGATCCTTTCAGTCTCAACACGAATTAAATGTGATAAACGATCCACTGTGAAAATTCCGTTTATTTACTCAGCTAAACTACCTTTCCCGCTTTAAAAACAGCAGCAGAATATGGTCTGCACTTATGATGAATCTTTAGTCATCTTACGTGATTTCTTTGTTTTCGTTGAAAGAACTGAAAACAAAGTTTGTTATCTTTGTTTGCAAAGTCCAAATATTCTTGACGTCATTGAACCACAAAAGACCCATAGGATTAACATTTCAACAAACTGCTACAAAACAAACAACCAAGCATTTCCGCGCCTTGTGCTCCTCTCGCATGTTCGGTTCCCGGCCCCACTCTTATATAGATCAATAACTCTTAATACAGAGTAGTGACCGTGAGTATAGCACTCGCTCGTGGAGTTAAGCAGCATATATATCATAGAAAAAATCAAAGGAAAAAGAGAACTACAGTCCTCTTGACCCACAATCTCGTTTTAAAGAGCCTCCTTTGCCTTCCGTTAACCAAAAAAAGGGCTCGAGAAGCGCAGTTCTCATTTTCCTAACCGCCGTTCAAGGTCGATTCTTCTGTGATTAAGCTTGGCCCAAAATATGCCAGATTTTTACACTCTCAGTTTTCTTTCTTGATTTAATCTTTTGACCCCTATCATCCTAAATATTAAAAAAATTAATAAGATAAAACTAGGGTCAGGAGAACAAAGGAAATGATCATCAACTTTCGAATCTTTTGATTGTTAAACAATTCTTCACGTCAGTACCATTGGAAATATATAGGGAGCAGCATGGAGAAGATGACTATTGATCGTAAAGACTAAATATCAAACAAAGCCGCAGTCCAATGGCGATCTATTGTTTTTTGACATCGTGTTGTAATAATGAGGTATGAGGCTGTGCGGAAACGTTGTCAGATATTATGGTCATAAGGAAAAATAATTAAATTATGTTGTCTTTCCTTTTAGAGAGCCGAAGCAATCATTAATCCGTTAACGTCTTTAACTCTCAGAAGAGATTAACATGTAACTTCTCCCTATAATATCCGTGCATTATTTAGCAAACAGGTTATGAAAACTTATCTGGCAGAACTTGTTTTCTTGATCTACTTAAGATCAAACCCTCGTTACTAATTCTTCATGGAAATGTGTAGCATCCAAAGGACAGAATTAAAAATCACGTCTTGGGAGTTAAAGGGTTTATCACTTTTCTTGTTTCTCCGATTTTCCCGCAGTCATGTAATTCTAAAGATGACATCATCCCGATCTTTGTTGTCAAAGTGATTGAACTGAATCTGCGGGATTAATCATTATCAATTTCTTGGGGGAGGGGGGGGGGGGAAGGGTCGGAAGATTGTGGTTGTGTCACGGAAAAATCTACCTGATCCCCCATAAGGCTCTGTAACATTCTTATGACCCTCTCTCCCAATTACAGTTCAACAGCTCCCCTTTATGCTATGTTAGTGACGACTGATCCCCTTCCGCCCTCCCCCTGAAAACCAAGTGATTCCCCCCCACAAATCCTCCGGCGATAAATAGTTCCTAAACGTTGGACTTTATGAAAGTGACGCGCTACAGTCAAGTGTCACGCACATTGCTGATCATTTATTGCAGTGATATACTTTATTCGATCTATCTTTCAATCAGTTAAAATCAGGTTTCAAAGTCATCGCCATTTTTTAACTTGCTACATGTTTGAATATAACAACGATACTAACTTTATTAACCGTGTAAAGTGTAACAAATACATCATCAATACCTACACCTTGCTTAAATGATTTGAATCATAACATAGTATGTACATCTAAACTTTTATTATCATTATCATTATTATTATTATTATTATTATTATTATTATTATTATTATCGCTCTGACGAAGGTCTAACGCTCGAAACGTCAGCCTTCAAACTCTCTACGGTGGTCAATTTACGTTTTCAACTCAGTTGTTAACACTAAATTATCTGTTATACTCTCCCACGGACGCAGCACCACAGTTTCTTTAGAAACCTAACCCCTTTATAAATTTTTTATTCTACAAGGAATAACATTTGCAAAACCTTTGCATTTGATTATGGATTCCAGCGGTGATATTCTACTGAAGGAATCATGAAAAATACAAACATGTCACAATTGAAGAAGGCTATCAACATTTAATTTGATCGATTAGCTAAATAGAAATACTTTCGAGGAGATCTTTCTAAAAGCTCAATAGAGCTTGCTAGATCTCCTGCCATGTGAAGTACTATTTATCTGCATCTAATAATATCAGTAATATGTTACAAATGATACAAAAGCAAACCAGCATGAAAAACTATAACTTCTAGACTGCAATTGTTCTTAAGGCATAGGGTTACAACAAAAACCGGCATAAAATTTACAATTTCTAAAGTACATCACGTCAGTTGTGTTAACTCTATGATTACAACGGATTTGCAGCTCACTCATTTGAGTGTTCTCTGGTACGACTTTATGAACAAAAAAAGTATTTCCCTTCTTCTATAACAACCTAAAATCGCTCTCTCATCTTGAATTAAATTTTGAACGAAGGCTTATCGTAGTGCATGTAAAACGTTTGAAACTTGGGAAATATCACTTGAGTGATATCCTCCAGTTTTAGCCGGGGAATATTCTTTCTCGCAAAGCGTGAAGGCAATCGCGCACGAGCAAAAATATTTGATGAATCATAAAGGTGGATTTTTTTTTTCTGAGCCGCGAAGCGGCGAAGTAAATATCCACCGCCAGCCAGCGATGCTGAAGTAAATAGTTGTTTTTGTATATGCTAAAACAGTTGCATAATATAGCACAAAAAGGTGATTTTAACTCATTTATTCCTGTAGCAGTTATAATATTTTTGGGCGCAGATCCCGCACGAGTTGCTCAGAGGCGACTAGCAAATAATATTTGGAATTTCAGTGGCCAATCAGAGCGCGCCTTCAACGCTACTAGTATATACCAATGACTCCAACCTAATACCAGTTGGAGTTTGTAATCCGGTTGAACCAGATCCAGTTTGAGTTGAGCCATAATTAGACCTATCACCTTGGCTTAGTATATCACCATCTTGAATCTCTTTTGGAGGTTCATAACTATCATGGATCATCGCTAGTGCCGAAATAAGGAAACCAAACGAGGAAAAAATGTGCCATATATCATGCCAGTCAAAGAAACCCATAAAGTTACATTCTCTGTTTAAATCACGAGATTTTTCAGGAGACTTACTCTTATCTATTGTTTCATTTGTTTGCAAAATGACAAAGGCTGCACAAAAAAAGGAATTTGCAAAAAGCGGAATAAAATTTTACACCATTTGTTACATCCACTGGAGTCTGACTGGCTGCCAAAACTGCTACCGAGAATGAAAGTTCCGAAAGCTGCAACAATGTTCTCTGTTAAACAAAGATAGAGAAAGGCGTCGGTAAATTCAAATACTTTAGCAATCCAGAGGCTCGCAAACGAAATCGGTGAAAGAAAGAGACCAGTAATATTAAACACTTGGTTTTTCCAGGTCAGGCATTCTTTAGAACCTTCATTTTGTTCTTTACTCGGCAACCTTTTATAGTCTACATAACATTCACTGCAACAGCACTTCTGAACAAATGAGTTCCGGTGGACTATACATGTATTAGGAAACAACTTATATCCAGCCCACAATGGAATGATTACTGACCAGAGACCGAGAAGGATAAAGACGGGGATTTGGACTACTTTGGCGAGCCCTGCCTCTGAATGATACATTATTCCAAAATAATTAAAAATTAATATAGGAACTACGAAGTAAAGAAACAGATTTGCCGCTCCTACACGATTTTTAGCGCTTACACTTGCTGAGCATTCTTGCATTTCAATGCCATTATAGTACAAAACAAGACTTAAACCTGCACTCACAAACATAAAAGCTGTATCGAACTGAAAAGTCAACCTACTCGGACAGAGATGATAAAGAGCTGAAAATACCCCTACAAACAACAAGGCCCAGGCTAGAGCGTAGCCCATAGAAAAGTTATACTTCTTTTTAATTGCTGCAGCAAACATCTCGTCAGAAGGTTCGTCATCTTTGGGAACATGCATCTTTCTGAGATGAAGCGAAATATCGGGACATCTTAACACGTGATTAGGTAACCCTTCATAAGATTCATTTTTTGTAGAATGATCCTGATCCACGCTTTTACTATCTCCATTCTCTCTTCCTTCTTGCACCTTTATTTCATTTGTATTTTTTTTGTATTTCTGCTCCCCCTTTTCCTCTTCTACTAGTTTCTTTTTCATTTCTTTTTTTTCACGTTTAAAATGTCGTTTTGCGTTCTCTTCTTCCTCTTTTGGTTTTAACTTTTTTCTTTTTTCCTTCACAAGTTTCCTACATCGAGCAAGTACCTCTGACTCCATGCAGAGAACAGTTATAGCTAAAATCAAGCCATGCAAGACGTAAACCATATTACTAACAATTAAATTATAAGGAATATCAGCATAGCGCACTCGATAACAGAAATCGTTATAATAACAGTGGTCTCTGTCGCCCTCTTGAATCATTAAATACCAGTCTGCAAAGACAAACTGGAATGAACCCAACATTAAAACCGAACCGACAATGAGTGTGATGTAAGAGTAAGTTTTGGGACCCCGACTGAACGAATAAATAAACAGAACGGCCAGCATAGCTGAGAAAAATTCACCGCCGGTTATACTTAAACTAGACTTATCTGGAGGACGATCACTTTCTCCTTATTTTGCACTTCTTGCAATTTCTCACTCTAAAAACAAACCACCCTAAAAGGGAAAAAAAAACACCAACAGAGACATTGATTAAAAGTTGCGACATCCACATTGGATGAGCGTATGAGTAGTCAAATGATCTCGTCAAAGTCAAATTAACTTTCTTCGCGGCTTCAGGGGAAGTTTCGCCAGTGGCGTTTTTAATCGCAATCCCAATGAACCAACTTGAAGTGGAGGCGGTTAAAGGTGGAATGGAGAACTTGGACAAAGTAATCCGTCCCTTTTTAGCGAACGACAGACGAATTGACTCTCCCTTATAGTCCACAACGTCGATGTTCTCTTTGACGTCCTTGCAGTCACGTGATACTTTTAAGTAAGCTGGTACGTCAACAGACTCAGAAGTGACAGTTATGTCAAGTTGTGTGCTTGAAATGTCTTCTGCTGGAGTGAACTGATAAACAGCTGGATAAGTATCCTTTGCACTCAGTTCAACTTTTACTGGGTCATCCAATTGAATACCTCCTTCTTGTTGCATTTCCGCCATGAAACTGACGCCGGCTGTGCCTGAAAACAACAAATGCTTTCCCCTAACCTTACCCTTGGTTGGACAGAAAGGCAAACTTCTCCATCCAGCTTCAGACGTTGATATACCAAGATGGCTAGTTAGCAAGGATCCCTCGTCTTCTTCATAGGCAGAGACGTGCAGTGAACCTTGAAGTAAACATCAGACGATTCCGAATTTAGTTAATGCTGTACCAAATGAGAAAAAAATTTGTTAAAACACTCGTTGTGCTGAATGCAGATAAAGTGAGACGGTATCACAACGCATCTGCAATGTTTATTCTATAAAGCACTAATTAGCACCTGAATAGAGCCCTTAAATTTATGCGTTGCTAAGTTAGAGTTTTCCAAGTAGATGATGAAGCGACTTCATCATCTAGGCTATGCTGCGATTGTATTCAAAAGTGACGGAATCTTATATTGTGTCAGTTAATGCTGTACTAAATGAGGCGAAAATTTGTTAAAAAAACACGTTAGTCTAAACAGACCGTGAACTACGGATAAAATTCATATAAGTTTTCACATATTCACAATCATTTATTCATCACTTCACGGAGTTATATGGAACCAACATAATAATCAGCTCTTAAATTTGGCGTCGTTAGCTCAGTTTTGGTAGAGATAGATGAAAGAAGTTCATCATCCAGGCCATGCTGCGATTGCACTCAAAACAGACCTGAATTTTTTCACTGTATCAGTGAATAAAATAGAAGTTATGGAATATTTTATCATCTTCATTGACCCATAGCTTAGTAGTTGTGCTGCATGCATCGCTGTGATATTTTTTGTATCCCAAAGATACGGATTCGAAACTCTTCCCGGCTCCTCCCGGCGAAGAAGAAATAATTCAAAGGACGAAACAAAGGCGGAGAACCACAGAGAAAGCTTGTGAAATTAATATTTATTGGAAAACTCAAAAGTTTTTTCATGGAAATGAAAGAAAATTCTGACTCACCATTGGACCACTCGTCTTTTTTGGCTTTCAAATAAATCAGTCGGTTTGTCTCATTTGTCTTCACAAGGCAAGTGTGACTCTTTTTTGAAGAAGGAAGCTGTCCTCTAAACCTCAGTGATGGAGCCGAAGTATTCTGAGCAGTCGTCCATGATTTTATTCGTTCGAAGGTGCAGTCTACGTGCAGCTTAGCGTGAGCACCAAATGGGAAATGTGGGATGAAAATTAAAACTGAAAACAGAAGAACTGCAGAAAGGAGCATCCTGAAATTTCCGCTAAAGAAACTCGACTTCGCCTTTTTCTCAGTATGGACCAAAGAGGTTGATCGCACGTTTAAAAACTTCCTAGGTTTCCAAGAAAAAAAAATAGACTCTGATTGGCGATTTCTGTTTACATTGTCTTCAACTGTGCATAAATTTAATTCAGTTTTCACTGACCAAAGAGGTTGATCGCATGTTTAAAACTTCCTGGGTTTCCAAGAAAAAAAAATAGACTCTGATTGGCGATTTCTGTTTACATTGTATTCTACTGTGCATACATTTAATTCAGTTTTCACTGACCAAAGAGGCTGATCACACGTTTAAAAACTTCATGAGTTTCCACGAAAAAAATAGACTCTTAGTGGCGATTTCTGTTGGCATTGTCTGCTACTGCGCATAAATTTAATTCAGTTTCATCGACAAATAAAACCATTCTCTCCCTCGCGTTTCAAAACTTCCTGGGTTTCCAAGAAAAATATAATAGACTCTAATTGGTGATCTCTGTTTACACTGTCTGCTACTGTGCATAGATGTAATTTAGTTTTCACTGACCAAAGAGGTTGATCGCGCGTTTAAAAACTTCCTGAGTTTCCGAGAAAAAAAAGTAGACTCTTAGAGGCGATTTCTATTTACATTGTCTGCTACTGCGCATAAATTTAATTCAGTTTCATCGACAAATAAAACCATTCTCTCTCTTAACAAAAGGGAGATTAAAAAGCGACTGTTTATTTCTTTATTTATTTATTTTAAAAAGAATGACTTCACAACGGTCAATGCCTTTTGAGAGTGGTATGCCTCCGAACATGTCCTCTCTTCATACAAATGCTCGCCAAGGCAGAAGCATAATCAACCATACTTAAATGGAGCTGATCACAACCCTATCGAAGCATTTTAACAGCTCGGTGGAAAAAAAAAAAACTCTTGTGTCAATTAAATATAAGTATTCGTTAGCTCACTTGAATTCATGCCTATAACAAAGAAACTGTAAATAGAAATCTTTTCTAGGAAATCGACAATTTCTGTCAATTTCACCTCATCTCTTCCCCTTCGACAGTTTTTTGGCGAAAATAATTCAAGCTTAAATGCTCACAGCAAACTCCATAGAATATTCAAATTTTGTCCGTTGTTTATCTGGTGTAGCTTTACGTGACTTAGGCGAGGTGTCGCTGTGGGAAGGGGTAAGTACTCATAATAAGGAGAAAATTATCCAGTCTGGTTATCTAAAGTATAGCCAAAGAGAAGCGAACTTGGAAATGCAGGTAGAAAACGCTCGTTTTCAGCGAAATGCGCATGGAGTTTTGGTATAGAGACATGTCCCAGGGTGCAATGATCTTAGATCGTAAACCAGGCTGATCGTAAACTATAGCTGAAAAAAAATGCTGATGGGGGGATTTTCGGGGCGCAAATCACCACCGCGTGGACAACGGTCGAAATCGGAGTGTGCAGCCTTGACTTCATCTTATGACAGGAATAACAATGCCGGTAAAGCAAGCTAAAACGGCAGAAATCGCCAGAAAATATGACGGACACACAAGATGTGAGAAAGTGTTATTGATTTTACGTGTAAAATGTTCATATTTCGAAATATTTATCCGACGAGGTAAATCGACCATATTTCGTTCCCCACTCTATTCCTTATAACGTGTTCAACGGTTCCTCTTGTAACTTAATGCCGAGTCACACAACGCGTGACGCTTTCATGAATTAATCGTTTGCTTTTTCTCGAAACGTGAGCTTGGAGACGCCTGTGTACATACATTTCTCTAAAGGACGCCATCTTGTTGACTTGACTAGGAGGTATATCTGAGCGTTGGCTGACAGGAAGGTTATCTGAAGTAATCAATTTCAACACACGCAAGTATTTTGATACTTTAAAATAAACACTAAACGGTTTGTTTATAAGAATGATATACTTCATTAATAATACATATCACTCGTTTAATATATAACAGGTTTCAGAGATAAAGGTTTTTCAAAACTCTCGAAATGCTCGAAGACAAAACTAATAAAATTTGCCTCGAAGTACGACAGATTCAGTGATTGAAGCTAATTTGATTTACATTTTTATTACGCCCATTTTGAAATCACTAGTGGTCCCTGTAATCTGACTGGCTCTAATGGGTGCGATTTATTCACGAATCGCACCATTTTTTGCTTTAAATCACACCTTTTTCCCAGCCAATGAGGAGGTTCAACTAAAAAGAAAACAAGCAATCAGATTTCAAGGCTTATTTAAAGTTACCAATCACATTGCAAGAAAATGAAAGACAAAGAGTATCATTTTGCAACTTTTGTTTCCAAAACTCTTGCTTTTTCCCCTCCAAAAATGATGAATTTAATTTCTGACCAGCTCAATACTACATCTGATAAAATATTTGAACTGATCAAGTCCTGTATTTAGGCGATTTCAAAATGGATGTAATAAAGTGGTAATTGAACCTTGTGTCGTGCAATTTTGGTCTGAAATCATACTTGCGATTTCAAATTGAACTCGCACTGTGTGCCCGTTCGATTTTCAAATCACGTGTATGATTTCAGCCCAAATTGCACTCTACTCAGTTCAATTACCATTATTAATCATTTACATATAGTTAGTAAGTAAACTCTTTATTCAAAGGGAGTAGTACTTAATAAACAAAAGGCTAATAATCTTTTGGCCTTCAATATACCATATGAATATCAAAATATCATCGCATTCTACACCTGCCACAAAAAATAATACGTGGCTCAAAAACATTACAATCAATCTACAGATAATATGGTCAAAGTGATAAAAACTTTTGCCACAGCCTCTAGTACCGTAGTAATAATAATAATTGTGATCCATCGAATGTTTTCGCTCGCTCGCTCGAGACTGGTTGAACATACCTCTACCTGATTATCGCTATCGCTATTAAAATACATCAAGAAAACTTCGGATCACATGAAAACTGAAAAAGGCCAAAACAAAATTTCCCAAACCTTTTAAAAAAATATCGTAGAAAAAAATCATACCAGTAAGCCGCATGAAGAGATGCAACTTTAAATTTAAACCCTACTTAAAATTTTAAGGGTGATTATAATTCGATCAGGTCTAAGACATATTTTCAATTGATGGCTGTCGTGTTCGGTTCAAACCCATTTTGCTATGCACATTTCTTTTATAAAATAACTAATGAAGGAGGAACGAAAACCGTGTTTACATACGCTCATGTAAAATGGTTTTAAGGCCGATCAGAGCGCGCGTACTATTTGAATTATTTTATAAAACAACACCTGAACTCAGTGTCGGTGGCTAGCGGTGGATATTTACCCCGCCGCTTTGCGGTTCGGTATTATCAACCACTAGACACTTCAGCTTCGATGAGCAGTTATTAACTATCGACTTTTAACTCAGTTCGTTCTCCTAAAAAATTACTAGCATTTAGATTGAATAAAACATATCTCTCAGGATGAAGAAAATTGATCACTGGTGGAGGAAATAGGCATAAAGTGTATGGGAACTTTATTGATATCATAGAACGTGAATTTTCAGTCCACACCATGCTGATTTATTCGCTGTCCTGCCGGTATCCAAATGCCCTCTAAAAAGAAGTTAGCAAAGTTACAGATCGAGATTAAATCTCTACCTTTAAGGTGCTAATTTAATGAACACAGAGTGTCACTGAATACCGCTATTATCTGAATAAAGCTAACAAATAATATAATTACAGATAAATAAATACTCCTGATTTATTAGTCAGGCGTGAGAGACTAGCATGCCCTGTATTCATGACAAGTGTATTCAAAGCGAAGCGAAAGGAGTCAAGAATGAGTGCAGGAAAATGGCCTCGGGGAGTCAGTTCGGTTGTTAATCCACGATGGCGACAAAACTACGTTAAACGAAGTATAAGTCGCACTCATCCACCCATTGTATACTACATCGACTTTGGCAGTTCAGTGGATAGTTATTTTCCAACAACCATTCCTTTACTAGTGCACACTTCCGACTGCGAACTCCGTCCCTCCTTCCTGAAAGCTCTTTAATTAAACCTGAAGGGCAACATCTCTCCATTCAAGCCAGCTTTTAGATTCATCAAAACCACTTCCATTATTTTCATTCTTGTGTAGACAGTTGTTGATCCCATATGCGGCGTAATGATAACATTAGGAAGTGTTAATAACGGATGGTCTCTAGGCAGGGGCTCGGGATCTGTGACGTCCATCGCAGCAGCTCTTATTACTCCGCTCTGCAGCGCTTCGCTCAGGTCAGTTTGATTGACGATTCCTCCACGTGCGATATTAACAAGTGTCGCTGTTGATTTCATCAGAGCTAACTCCCTTTTTGTTATCAGGTTTGCTGTTTCTTCAGTTAGAGGAGTGCACAGCACTACAAAGTCTGACTGACAGAGCAGCTCTTCTAGAGTGTTGCAGTATTGAGCACCTGTAAAGAGGTGGTAAACAGAAGTTCGAGAAGTGTTTGATGGAAAGTCAGCTGGACACAGTTTGTCAACCTAAAGTTGCATAGACTGGTATAGACTGCATTCAAGTGGTTTACTTGGTTCAAGGGCCTCAATGGACGACATCGTACCGCGCATGGAAAGCTCCGGTTTTGGACTAGACTCACACCAAACCGGACCAGCACTTAGGGTCTGAAAATAACTGAGGAGAAAGTGCTGCCTTTGCTATGGTATCCACAAATGGTTAGAAATTCTAGTCTTCTGGATTAAGGACGATAAACTGTAGGCCTGTCTTTTAGCCTTGTCAGTTTTTATACAGGCCCTCACTTAACCAGCTTTAAAAGTAAAAAGGGCCAGCCTGTATAAAAATCGCAGATAAATAACTAACTAGATAAATAAAGACAAGTTCCTACAGATGTCACTTCTTCTTTGGCTTAGCTCCTGTTATCAGTTTAAAAATTCCAAGTCACCCTGTTCATCTTTTACACAAATAAGTCTTCCCCCCTTAACAAATACTTCAGAACAAGTAATTTAAGACCTCACTCCTCTTAAGGGAGCTGCAGCGACGCTACTTCATAAACATTTTATTGTAATCTTACCAAATCTCCTCTCCTCGATTTCTCGTCTGTTTCTGTTGTGGTACACAATTCTCATGTCAAATCCATTGGCTCGTTTAGCCACAGCACTTCCAATCCCGCCCATACCAACAATTCCGATGGTTGATCCGGTCACCCTCCTGCCGTAATAACCATGCAAGTAAGAGATCTATGACAAGAGTAAGATAAGATACACCAAAAAGTTAGTTGTTTTTCATCAATTATGACGACTATTCGACAACCAAAATTAATGGTGATGAGTCCTCGGCAACCACCCCCGTGGCCTTCGATGCCAGTTCCCGTTTTATAGGCAACAAAATGGTGTCGAAGAGAAACGTGATGCTAACAGATACATGGAGTCTCCGTTTCTAGTCTGTAATTAGGTGTAGTTGTTGACTGTGTTTTTTTCAGAGCGAGTATATAACCCAAAATAAAGAAGATATTAACAATAAATGTATAATTTGGACTTGTTTTGCGTTTCTTTTTTGAAAAGCATAATTTAAGAAAGAGTAGCTTGATTTTCAAAACCGAGAAAGCAAAGCATAATTTGGAAAAAATCCGAGCAATGCTAGGAGCATAATAAGCTACTTTAACTGTTACTAGTACAACCTAAAAGCCAATCCCCCTCCTTTTTTTTTCCTTTTCGTGAATTTAGAGGGCCTGCTCGTTCGATTCCGCTAACTGTCACGCAAATCACGCAGCTCAGGTGTAACCGTACCCTCCCCCCAAGGAGAAACGGCTACACGTACTTAGCAATCACGAAACCTCCTGACTGAACAGAGGCTTACAATAATATACTAGTTTGAACAAAAACCCTGAAAATCAGTTACTGATCGTTCCCTTTATCAAAATTAAAACTGACCTGTTTAGTTTCGGGACTTTTAGAAATTTTGTCTCCTTCCACTATATTTCTCGCGGAAGCCATTAACAGAGCGAATGCCATGTCTGCTGTACAATCTGACAAAACTCCAGGAGTGTTTCCCACAGCAATTCCACGTTCAGAGGCCGCCACTACATCAACATTATCCACACCAGCACCAAAATTACTGATTACTTTGAGATTAGGAAAGCAATCCATCAACTCTCCGTTTATTTCACAATATGCGTAAAGCATCATTCCTGCAACTCTTCGAGTACTTTCTTCGCTCATTTGAGAAACTTTGTTAGGATCGACCGGTTTCATCTCGATGTCAGCTTCATCTACCATTTGTTGAAGTTCAGGGGGCAGTTCGACGTCAGGAAGACGAACAACGACAGGTTTCGAGTTTGCTTCCATTACGAACGACGCGAACATAGAATATATCTTCACGATGCAAGAAACTAGGGAGTTACTGAATCACGGGCGACGAGCGGGGAAAGAAGAAAAGATAGAAATACGAGTGGTCAGCGGGGAAACAAATTTAATAATTCATAGCCTTCATAAGGCTAATGTGTTTACCTTGCTTAAATATTTATAATCAGGGCTACTCGTTCAGGAGACCTTTTTTCAAAAGAACCAGACGTTAAAATAATTCTGTTTTCCGTTCGAAGTGTTTTTTTCCTATTTAATTTAACAAATGAACTCGGTATGAAATCTTAACTTTCGAACCGAACGGCAGGTGAAATGTTGTTTTGGTGTCTCTGTCCCCCATGTAAATATTAACTCTAAAAGGCATGTAGGAAAACACTGAGCTTCGAGAAACAGCCAAGTTAAGGCTAATGTGTTTACCTTGCTTGAATATTTATAATCAGGGCCACTCGTTCAGGAGACCTTTTTCAAAAGAACCAGACGTTAAAATAATTCTGTTTTCCGTTCGAAGTGTTTTTTTCCTATTTAATTTAACAAATGAACTCGGTATGAAATCTTAACTTTCGAACCGAACGGCAGGTGAAATGTTGTTTTGGTGTCTCTGTCCCCTATATAAATATTGACTCTAAAAGGCATGTAGGAAAACACTGAGCTTCGAGAAACAGTCAAGTTAAGGCTAATGTGTTTAGCTTGCTTAAAAAGATAGAAATACGAGTGGTCAGCGGGAAAACAAATTTAATAATTCATAGCCTTCATAAGGCTAATGTGTTTACCTTGCTTAAATATTTATAATCAGGGCTACTCGTTCAGGAGACCTTTTTTCAAAAGATCCAGACGTTAAAATAATTCTGTTTTCCGTTCGAAGTGTTTTTTTTCCTATTTAATTTAACAAATGAACTCGGTATGAAATCTTAACTTTCGAACCGAACGACAGGTGAAATGTTATGTTGGTGTCTCTGGCCCCCCCACGTCTCTGCGAAAGGTATATCCAGACAACCTGCATGGAAAAACTGACAACAGCTATCGCACCAAATTTTTAAAAAAATCTTTTAAACTAGACTGGTGAGCAGCACTCTACGAACAGTAGTTGTAAAATTTCTTTATTCTCCGAAGCTTTTCGTCTAACTGTCGTAGACTTCTTCGGGGAGTTTTACAATTTAACACTAAACACCTGTATTTATAAGCCATAGTTAGCGGTTATACGAGGGCCAATGACCATAAAGGCTCGGCCGGACCTACCAATAGGAACAGGTGAAGTTGCGAAAAATTTGAACATTTTTTGGGGTAAGGAGGAAGAATTCATTTGGGGACCACGGTTTTGGTTTTCTCTTTTTCGTCACGCACGCCACGCAGCAAGTTACAAAACGTAAATATAATTCTTCTTGGTGCCTTTCTGGATGTCACCGATGCCTTTTCTGATGCCTCCATTGTTTATTACAGTAGTAAAAGACATATGTGCCATCAACACTTTTGAAAAATTGCTTAAAATTTTATTTAGCCAAGTATACTGTTAACATTTCGGCTTTACAACACTATTGTTTTCTGCAACTACAACTGATATGTCTCTAAATGAATTATTAAATTTGTTTCCTCGCTGACCACTCGTATTTCGGTCTTTTTTTCTTTCCCTGCTAGTCGTCCGTGATGTAGTAACTCCCAAGAAACTGCGTGGCGTGACACAATTCTTGCGTGACTCCGACCATTACTCCGGTTGTGGGTGCTGTGTTGTGCGTGACAACGAAAAAATATAAGCAGGCGATAACAAACGACCGCTTTCTTATTAGCTATGAATAATTAATTTTCATCTTGATAACCTCTTACTTAGAAAGGCACCCAAAGTAAAGGTTAAATTTGATGTTTTTGGCAGGAAATCGAAAACAAACAATTACACAATGCAAACCTGATCGCTTCCCCAGCAGCGAAACCTATAACCTCAAGAACAGTGCCTCAGAGGCTCTATCTCTAAGCTTTTAGGAGACTCGCGTAACTTGGTTAAGAAACTACGGTTCATGCGTGAAACATTCTTCAGACTGCCAGGACTTTCTTACAGATCTCACGTTTTAGACTTCAATAATGTAAATGAAAACAGGAGCAAATGATAAAAACATTAAGATGAACTGCCTAATCAGTTAAATCATACAGAACAAAAATTTCACCTCATTTTTTTTTCCCTTTTCTTTCTTGTATGTTCGTCTTTCCTCTGTTTTGTTTTGTTTTTTCTGGGGGGGGGGGAGGAGGGGCAAAGCCACGTAAACTTTCATGTTTGAACAGGAGATCAAGAGCTCGTGGTTTGAAGCATGATGCAAGGATAGATGCAAGTTAAACGATTGATTAAATTGAACCATTAAGTAATGGAAATCAATGTACTTAGCGAGTTCTTCTGTCAAGTTCTGAAAGAAAAAAGCGAAACAAAACAAAACAAATCCGTGAGCCTATAGCCAACATTCGACCACCATTTATTATGATTTTTTTGTTTAAACCTCCCAAAAACCTTCAAGACTAGTTTTTAAAGCACTGGAAAGCAGAAATGTGCGACATCTAAGAAATCCCAGCCACGACTGTGACGTCACAGATGAAGCAGCTCTGTGCTAAAACGCGTTTCAGCATTTTCGCTTTCATTCGTGTAACTTCCTGATTGAATCTAGTACAGTTTAGCCATGTATTGAGTTATATCAAAGGGGCGGATATCGAAATATTTCTTGCTGCATTTCAAACAGTCTTGCAGGCCTTGCTGTCAGCTGTTATTACAGTCTCTGAAGAACTTGAGCGATTGAAGGCGTGTGGAAGGACAACTTTCACTTGCATCATGAATCTTTCATCAAACGAATCCCATTTAGATGATTGCCTCCTACCAGTTTCTCACATAATTGCGTTAATTCCAATTAACATTTTATCAAGTGTCGTGGGAACCATCGGAAACTCTCTGGTGATCGCGAGATCACAAGAATTTACAGATTATTCCCAACTTCTGGTTGGCGAGTATGGCTGTGGCCGATTTGATGGTCACTGCTTTGGGTCAGCGGCTGCTCGTAGCTTTCTGGGGGCTTCATGTAAATCGCGAATGTAACGAGCCGGTGTCCGAAACATTTCGTGTTGTTGGGAACATGTCGTGCTCAGCTTCGGTTCTCCACTTGTGTTTTATCAGTATCGATCGCTGTCTCCTTATTGTCCGACCAGTTCAAAGCAAAGCAATGCGAACACTGAAGAGGTTCAAGTTAGCGTTACTCATCGCCTGGATTGTTCCGGTTATCTACGGCGTTTTGCGAATGTCAGTGAGCAAGAGAGCAACTTCTTATTCAACCGTCATTGCCGCAGCCATCTGTTACTTAACCATCATTTGCTGCTACACATTGATCATTTTTAAAGTTTGGAATCGTGACGGTGTTCACAGTCACGCAAGACAGAGTGCCTCACAATTGGTTGAACGTCGCGTGACAGTCACGGTTGCTATTGTTGTCGTAGTCTTCCCAATTTGTTGGATTCCGCTGATGTACCTTCGCAGCGCCTATGCCCAAAGTAATGTTGGAGTGGCATACAACTGGGCGAGAACACTAGCTTTGAGTAATTCTGCAATGAATCCGTGGATATATTGTTTTCGTATGGAAGCATTCCTTACGAATTACAAACGACTTTTGAAGTGTGGCTTTGGAAACAATAAGCGTGACGGAAGCGCTCATTGTGAAGTTAATTAAGCGATAACAGTCCAGTAAATCGTTTTAATGTAAATTTCATAATTGTCAGTTGCCTGATTACAATGTATTAACGTGGCCAACATTCTTAATGGTCTTGACATAGCATTCGGGTTAAGTCCTAACGGTAGAATTTATTTTGCTGATTATGAGCGGGTTGGTTCGTTGTTCTTTGATGAATGGAGGCCATAAAAATTTACATATTGGTAATGAATTCCTAAAAAAATCGAAAATGGAATTTAACGAACAAAAATTTTCTTTCTTTCTCGCATTCATGTGCTGAACCTGGTTACACTGGTTTGTGTGTAAACATAAAAATGTGAGCCAATATTTCGTCTGCCATAATTTTCCTTTTTCAGGATGTGGTTTTCATTTCTCTTTCCCTTTTTCTGGTTAATTTGAAGCATAGCACTGATTCATTGCTAGGGGAGTTCAAAATAAGTTATCTCTATAAAATCGATACTCGCATTAAGCACACAGATTAAGGAAATATCGACAAAGATTGTTAGCGAAGGCACCGACCCGATGTACATCAGATTAATATCATTAAATACCAGTCTGCAAAGACAAACTGGAATGAACCCAGCATAAACACCCAACCGACAATTAACGTGATTTAAGAACATAGCTGAGAAAAATTCAGAGCTGGTTATCTTAGTTTTATCTGCTTGATTCCAGCAACAGAAGGTGCATTCTCTAAAAAATTGGCCATGTAAACAAAGATATCACAATACGAACAAGACGACACCCTAAAATGAAATTATAAAGGGTTTAGTACATGTGTAATCAAATGACTTTTTCAAAGTTAATGTCACAATCTTTCTTGCATCAATTGGCGTGTCACCTGAGGCGTTCTTGATTGCGATTCCAATAAACCAACTTGAAGTGGAGGCGGTCAAAGGTGGAATGGAGAACTTGGACAAAGTGATCTGTCCCTTTTTGGCGAACAACAGACACTGATAAACAGCTGGATAATAGACTTAGTTCAACTTTTACTGGATCACAAACCACCTTGAAACTGGTAACCCTGGTTGGACAGAAAGGACACCTCAGTTCTCTCTGACCTTATATACCGAAGACAAACACTGGATACGACAACATAATGTATTTGAGGCAATGTCGCAGAAGCTCGTCACTCATCGAACAAAGCTTTTTATAACAACATCAATCTTGCCCATGCACTGTTATGAATTGTGAATTACAAACATTTCGTTTGTTAACCTGAATTGCATTTACTGAGACGAACATGAATATAACAAAAACTGCTGTGAAGTATTTAGTTCTTTCCCTCAAAAACCGATATGGGTCTCGGCAGAGACAGAAACAACAAACTAGGGAAGGGTTTTTTCATGCGGAAAATTTTTTTAGATTGATATTTTTGGCGGTTTTTCTTTCCTTCTGGTTGAAGTTCCAGCGTGATGTGTCCTTTCATTTCGCAAGCAATGCAAAGGCATTTGCGGATCACATCTCAGTTTACGAAGTAAATCATTAAAAACAAGTCACATAGACTCTGCCTTTGAGTTCAGTGAAGGGCAATTGTCCAACATCTATCCCTTCCACTTGTATACATTAGTATATACTGAAACAATAGATAGTGTCGAAGGCGCGCTCCGATTGGCAAATCAAACTTCGAATATCCTTTTCTATTCAACTCCAAGCAACTCGCGTGTGTTTTGCGCCCGAAAATATTGTAATAGTTGCAGGAATAAAGGAGTTGACATCATATTTTTTTCTATATCATCTCACTGTTTTGATATATGCCAAAACAACATCTCAACTCCGTGTCGGTGGCTGGCGGTGGATATTTACCCCGCCGCTTCGCGGCTCAGTATTATCAACCACTAGACACTTCAGCTGAGCAGTTATTAACTATCGACTTTGAACTCGGTTCGTTCTCCTAAAAGATAACTAGCATTTAGATTGAATAAAACATATCTCTCAGGATGAAGAAAATTGATCGCTGAAGGAGGAAATAGGCATAAAGCGTATGGGAACTTTATTTATATCATAGAACGTGATTTTTCAGTCCACACCATGCTGATTTATTCGCCGTCCTACTGGTATTCAAATGTCCTCTAAAAAGAAGTTAACAAAGTTACAGACCGAGATTAAATCTCTACCTTTAAGGTGCTAATTTAATGAACACAGTGTCACTGAATACCGCTATTATCTGAATAAAACTAACAAATGACATAATTACAGATAAATAAATATTCCGGATTTATTAGTCAGGCGTGAGAGACTAGCATGTCCTGTATTCATGATGAGTGTTTTCAAAGCGAAGCGAAAGGAGTCAAGAATGAGTGCAGGAAACTGGCCTCGTGGAGTCAGTTCGGTTGTTAATCCACGATGGCGACAAAACTACGTTGAACGAAGTATAAGTAGCACTCAACCACCCACTGAATACTACATCGACTTTAACAGTTCAGTGAATAATTATTTTCCAACAACCATTCCTTTACTAGTGTACACTTACGACTACGAACTCCGTCCCTCCTTCCTGAAAGCTCTTTAATTAAACCTAAAGGGCAACTTCTCTCCATTCAAGCCAGCTTTAAGATTCATTAAAACCACCTCCATCATTTTCATTCTTGTGTAGACAGTTGCTGATCCCATATGCGGCGTAATGATAACATTAGGTAGTTTTAATAACGGATGGTCTCTAGGCAGGGGCTCGGGATCTGTGACGTCCATCGCAGCAGCTCTTATTACTCCGCTCTGCAGCGCTTTGCTCAGGTCAGTTTGATTGACGATTCCTCCACGTGCGATGTTAACAAGTGTCGCTGTTGATTTCATCAGAGCTAACTCCCTTTCTGTTATCAGGTTTGCTGTTTCTTTAGTAAGAGGAGTGCATAGCACTACAAAGTCTGACTGACAGAGCAGCTCGTCTAGAGTGTTGCAGTATTGAGCACCTGTAAAGAGGTGATAAACAGAAGTTCGAGAAGTGTTTGATGGAAAATCAGCTGGACACGGTTTGTCAACCTAAAGTTGCATAGACTGGTAGACTGCATTCCAGTGGTTTACTTGGATCAAGGGCCTCAATGAACGACATCGTACCGCGCATGGAAAGCTCCGGTTTTAAAGCGCCGAACTGCCGTGGGGGGTTCAATCCCTGCACCGGACCAGCACTTAAGGTCTGAAAATAACTGAGGAGAAAGCGCTGCCTTTGCTATGGCATCCGCAAATGGTTAGAAATTCTAGTCTTATGGATTAAGGACGATAAACTGTAGGCCCGTCTTCTGCATCTTCTCTGAACTGGTAAGGGAATGTAGCTCCCGGTGTTGTGATCTAGCCTTGTCAGTTTTTTTACAGGCCCTCATCTAAACCAGCTTTAAAAGTAAACAGGGCCAGCCTGTATAAAAATCGCAAATAAATAACTAACAAGATAAATAAAGACAAGTTCCTGCAGTTGTCGCTTCTTCTTTGACTTAGTTGCTGTTATCAGTTTCAAATGACAAGTCACCCTGTTCATCTTTTACACAAATAAGTCTTCCCCCCTTAACAAATACTTCAGAACAAGTAATTTAAGACCTCACTCCTCTTAAGGGAGCTGCAGCGACGCTACTTCATAAACATTTAATTGTAATCTTACCAAATGTCTTCTCCTCGATTTCACGTCTGTTTCTGTTGTGGTACACAATTCTCATGTCAAATCCATTAGCTCGTTTAGCCACAGCACTTCCAATCCCGCCCATACCAACAATTCCAATGGTTGATCCGGTCACCCTCCTGCCGTAATAACCATGCAAGTAAGAGATCTATGACAAGAGTAAGATAAGATACACCAAGAAGTTAGTTGTTTTTCATCAATTATGATGACTATTCGACAACCAAAATTAATGGTGGTGAGTTCTCGGCAACCACCCCCGTGGCCTTCGATGCCAGTTCCCGTTTTATAGGCAACAAAATGGTGTCGAAGAGAAACGTGATCCTAACAGATACATGGAGTCTCCGTTTCTAGTCTGGAATTAGGTGCAGTTGTTGACTGTGTTTTTTTCAGAGCGAGTATATAACCCAAAATAAAGAAGGTAATAACAATAAATGTATAATTTGGACTTGTTTTGCGTTTCTTTTTTGAAAAGCATAATTTAAGAAAAAGTAGCTTGATTTTCAAAACCGAGAAAGCAAAGCATAATTTGGAGACCTTTCAATATTTTAATCAAATCGAATCGCTCGCATCTAGGGTCCCTTAGTTTCTTCCGCTCGAGAAAAAGCTTTGGTTTAGAATATAAATATGGAGACGAAATTAAGGGGAATGCTTGAGCTTAGCTTGCAGTGCAGGCGCCTTATTAAAGCAAGTTAACGTTACAAGCTCACGATCATTTATTCGACCGGCAACGTTTGATTTTGAGTTAGAGTGGACGGTGGGAAGGAAAGGAAGAAGAAAATCCGCGAAGACGGCGTTTTTTCAATTGCCCCACCCCCTCCCCCCCGTTCCCTTTGACCATCGCTCACCCCACTGGTACATTGTCTTTCTCTCCCCAGCCTTCTGCCGCCGTAAAAATTGAAGATCGCAGCTATAATTTTCAACAACAAAATACTGAGGAGTCGCTCGTCAAAACTACGCCAGCTCTGCAGGCTCGCTTGCGTTTTTCAAATTTTGATTGAGAGTAAACGAAATTTTTCTTTTTCATCACAGATGTATTATTTATAGAAGTGTAATACAAAACATACGTAAAGTACATATTAAGTTACTATTCATTCAACAATGTACATTTAATTTAATTTTATTGTTTTTGAGGGAATTCAGTAAGTTAGATTAATCATATTTTTCATAGTATTCAGATTTATCCATAGGTATTTCTTTTTGCCATCCAAGTATGTTTTTTGTGAATTTAGAGGGCCTGCTCGTTCGATTCCGCTAACTGTCACGCAAATCACGCAGCTCAAGTGTAACCGTACCCTCCCCCCAAGGAGAAACGGCTACACGTACTTAGCAATCACGAAACCTCCTGACTGAACAGAGGCTTACATGAGCTTACAATAATATACCATTTTGAAAAAAAACCCTGAAAATCAGTTATTGATCGTTCCCTTTATCAAAATTAAAACTGACCTGTTTAGTTTCGGGACTTTTAGAAATTTTGTCTCCTTCCACTATATTTCTCGCGGAAGCCATTAACAGAGCGAATGCCATGTCTGCTGTACAATCTGACAAAACTCCAGGAGTGTTCCCCACAGCAATTCCACGTTCAGAGGCCGCCACTACATCAACATTATCCACACCAGCACCAAAATTACTGATTACTTTGAGATTAGGAAAGCAATCCATCAACTCTCCGCTTATTTTACAATATGTTTTTGTGTAAAGCACCATTCCTGTAACTCTTCGAGTACTTTCTTCGCTCATTTGAAAAACTTCGCTAGGATTGGCGACGATCATATCAATGTCAGCTTCATCTACCATTTTTTGAAGTTCAGGTGGCAGTATGATAGCAGGAAAACGAACAACGACAGGTCTCGAGCTTGCTTCCATTACGAACGACGCGAACAAAGAATATATCTTCACGATGCAAGAAACCGCGTGGCGTGACATAATTCTTGCGTGACTCCGACCGTGACTCCGGTTATATTGGTGCTGTGTTGTGCGTGACAACGAAAAAATATAAGCAGGTAATGACAAACGACCGCTTTCTTATTAGCTATGAATAAATGATTTTCATCTCGATAATTTCTTTCTTAGAAAGGCACCCAAAGAGAAGGTTAAATTTGATGTTTTTGGCTGGAACTCGAAAACAAACAATTACACAATGCAAACCTGATCGCTTCTCCAGCAGCGAAACCCATAAACTTAAGAACAGTGCCTCAGAGGCTCTATCTCTAAGCTTTTAGGAGACTCGCGTAACTTGGTTATGAAACTATGGTTCATGTGTGAAACATTCTTCAGACTGCCAGGACTTTCTTACAGATCTAACGTTTTAGACAGTAATGCAAATAAAAATCAGGAGCAAGTCGGATAAAAATATGTAGATGAACTGCCTAATCAGTTAAATCATACAGAACAAAAATTTCGCCTCATTTCTTTTTTCCTTTGCTTTCTTGTATGTTCGTCTTCCCCCTGTTTTATTTTGTTTTTACTAGGGGGGGAGGAGGGGGCAAAGCCACGTAAACTTTCATGCTTGAACAGGAGCTCAAGAGCTCGTCGTTTGAAGCATGATGCAAGGATAGATGCAAGTTAATTGTTAACGATTGATTAAATTGAACCATTAAGTAATGGAAATCAATTTACTTAGCGAGTTCTTCTGTCAAGTTCTGAAAAGAAAAAAGCGAAAAAAAACAAAACAAATCCGTGAGCCTATAGCCAACATTCGACCACCATTTATTATGATTTTTTTGTTTAAACCTCCCAAAAACCTTCAAGACTAGTTTTAAAGCACTGGAAAGCGGAATGTACGACATCTAAGAAATCCCAGCCACAACTGTGACGTCATAGATGAAGTAGCTCTGTGCTAAAACGCGTTTCAGCATTTTCGCTTTCATTCGTGTAACTTCCTAATTGAATCTAGTGCAGTTTAGCCGTGTATTGAGTTATATCAAAGGGACGGATATCGAAATATTTCTTGCTGCATTTCAAACAGTCTTGCAGGCCTTGCTGTCAGCTGTTATTACAGTCTCTGAAGAACTTGAGCGATTGAAGGCGTGTGGAAGGACAACTTTCACTTGTATCATGAATCTTTCATCAAATGAATCCCATTTAGATGATTGCCTCCTACCAGTTTCTCACATAATTGCGTTAATTCCAATTAACATTTTGTCAAGCGTCGTGGGAACCATCGGAAACTCTCTGGTGATCGCTACAGTTTACACCAACAAGAGTTTACAGATTATTCCCAACCTCTGGTTGGCGAGTATGGCTGTGGCCGATTTGATGGTCACTGCTTTGGGTCAGCCGCTGCTCATAGCATTCTGGGGGCTTCATGTAAATCGCGAATGTAACGAGCCGGTGTCCGAAACATTTCGTGTTGTTGGGAACATGTCGTGCTCAGCTTCGGTTCTCCACTTGTGTTTTATCAGTATCGATCGCTGTCTCCTTATTGTCCGACCAGTTCAAAGCAAAGCGATCCGAACACTGAAGAGGTTCAAGTTAGCGTTACTTATCGCCTGGATTGTTCCGGTTATCTACGGTGTTTTGCGAATGTCAGTGAGCAAGAAAACAACTTCTTATTTCACCGTCATTGCCGCGGCCATCTGTTACTTAACCATCATTTGCTGCTACACATTGATCATTTTTAAAGTTTGGAATCGTGACGGTGTTCACAGTCACGCAAGACAGAGTGCCTCACAATTGGTTGAACGTCGCGTGACAGTCACGGTTGCTATTGTTGTCGTAGTCTTCACAATTTGTTGGGTTCCGCTGATGTACCTTCGCAGCGTCTATGCCCAAAGTAATGTTGGAGTGGCATACAACTGGGCGAGAACAATAGCTTTGAGTAATTCTGCAATGAATCCGTGGATATATTGTTTTCGTATGGAAGCATTCCTTACGAATTACAAACGACTTTTGAAGTGTGGCTTTGGAAACAATAAGCGTGACGGAAGCGCTCAGTGTGAAGTTAATTAAGCGATAACAGTCCAGTAAATCGTTTTACATTTGTAATTGTCAGTTGCCTGATTACAATGTATTAACGTGGCCAACATTCTTAATGGTCTTAATATAGCATTCGGGTTGAGTCCTAACGGTAGAATTTATTTTGCTGATTATGGGCGGGTTGGTTCGTTGTTCTTTGATGAATGGAAGCCAGACATACTAGGTGTCGTTGTGTCTAACATCAAGGTTTTCTGCCAAACATTTCAGCAGTTAAAAAAAAAAGAGAAACAAAAATAAAGTAGATATTGTTCGACTTTCTGTGTCAAATTCAGCTTTTCGTCCAAGCGATTTTTTTTGCCGCTATTTTTTTGGTATTTTTTTAAAGATGTTTCGCAAAATAAAAATTTACATATTGGTAATGAATTCCTAAAAAAAAATCGAAAATGGAATTTAACGAACAAAAATTTTCTTTCTTTCTGGCATTCATGTGCTGAGCCTGGTTACACTAGTTTGTGTGTAAACATTAAAATGTGAGCCAATATTTCGTCTGCCATAATTTTCCTTTTTCAGGATGTGGTTTTCATTTCTCTTTCCCTTTTTCTGGTTAACTTGAAGCATACCACTGATTCATTGCTAGGGGAGTTCAAAATAAACTATCTCTATAAAATCGATACTCGCATTAAGCACACAGATTAAGGAAATACCGACAAAGATTGTTGGCGAAGGCACCGACCCGATGTACACCAGATTAATATCAGGCAGAAACAGAGGCGACATAAAATAACAATATCAGTTGTTGTTGACACTTAATTTTTCTTGACCACTGAATTTGAAAATTCAGCGGAAACAGCTTTGAATAATAATATCACTTACGGCCGCAGTAGGAAAAATAAAAGACTCTCAGCGATCAATACAAAGGAAAAAACAATGAGATGATATAGAGTGTTTACGTTAATTCCTTTTATCTTTTAGTTCAATTTACTGCTTCTAGGATCGAGATAACAAAACGAAAATGAATTGCAAAGATACTAGACAAATGAGAAAAGACTTGTGAACATTCACAATTAAAAAGAACAAAAACCAAAAATTATTTTAAAAATTACATATATTTTAATTCCACTTAGTCGAGGTTGTGCCCTTTGGGTCAAGAAGATAATTCCTGAATTTTAAGCATTTGTAATATGTCCTAAAATTAAATAAAAACTGAGGTGAACAGCGTTAAACTATTGCTAGCGGTAACATCTTTGCACGAGAGCTGTATGGGCCTTTTTTTCGAATACCTGATACTGTAACTCAAAAATTTTTTAATCAGAAGAAAAGCTTTCTTTAGATAACAATTTATATTTTCTGCTTTGAAATGTCTCGTTATTCATGGTGCTTTTTCGAGAATAATTAATCGAAACCGCGAACGCTTCTGTGACTCGCCCTTTTAAATAAGTTGAAACCACAGATGATTGCGGTACACTGAAAGAAAAGTGTGCAATTACTAGCGCATCATTCAAAAACACCGCATCGCTTAAGAAGTCCTATTTACCAAACAGACGAGGGTTACGAAAGAATATATTCATGTGAAAAAATGAATGAATTGCACATTCCTAACTTCTGTGCAACCGACATCACTGGCACAGTCGGCTGCGCGCACAAAACAAGGTCAATTCAAGGCTTAACTTCCAATAAAAACCTGAAGGAAGCTATAATCTTGAAGCACTTCACAACTGCCGGATGAAAGTCACTCATCCTTATGTATCATTTAATGTTACGTTTTCTCGTTGTACGAAACAATAATTAATCGAAATAACTAGATCAGATATTGCTTGAGACGGCTTCACACAAGTTTTTGTTGCCGACGAAAATAAAGAAAACACGGTATATTGTGTTCAAGAGCATTTAACTTAAGCCGGCCAAGGCAATATAATGAAGTGAGTGATATTTAGCATGAAGCTACAGTATCCAAACAGACATAGACATATCCTTAATGATAGGTAGATAAATACAGATGTTTTTAAAAAAAAACATTTTCCTTTGTTTTGAAAATCGAGCACAAAATATTTTGATATTACTTCTTTCAAAGACCATTGAAAAGTTCTCAAAAATTGAAATATAATTTCTTTGAGAGATTAATTTCGCAATTTAAGTCAAGGAAGCTTAAGATAACATCCAATGGCATCCAAAATGAGCTGAATACTCGTTTAAAGAACCCAACAAAAGACACAATAATATAAGACATTTACGTTTTAACCAATCGAATCGCAGCATTGAAAATAATGCAATTTGTGTACTTCCTCACCATGAATTAACCCATTAGCCTGCAGCTATATGAACTAAGCCATTCCTTAAAGCATTCGCTGACAAACTAGGAAGCAACCGGTTAAAACACCCACATTAACCGCCGTCCTAAGATCAGTCGATTCGTGGAATTGACAATATTTCAGGCCGTAGACGATCTTTTATCTCCCTTCTGCTAGAAATCACAATGTCGCTGTTATATTTCTTTCAAACAAGCCTCGAGTACCATGGGATAACTTCAAAAGAGCTTTATCAACTATGGTTCAAGCACGCTCAAGCTGCTTTTAAGATGTACGAACAAGGAATTATGAAATATGCTTTCAAGGTAGGAGCAGAGTACGATTTATATACATAATACCAGTTGATAGTCGCTTTATACGACGATTAAACCATAGCACATTAAGCTTAAGGGATTAACAAAGAAACTACATTCTTTGCGTCCCAACACAAAGGATCTTATTTCAACAGTGTCTGTAGATGCCACTCTCGAAATATTCTCGTAACAATACAAGAAGATATTCTAAATATAAACGGACATTGTTATGGAATACATTTAAACTTGATCGCCGCAACATTATGCCTGTAGATCTTTGTTTTGGCAACAGTAAATTGAATTTTGATATCTGATTTTAACGAAGTTCGTTCCACCTGTATTGCCCAGGCGATAAGCTTTGAATCAGCGTGCGTCAGCAGACGCTACCGGGCGATAAGAGACAATAGTTTATAGCGGCCATGAACAAAATATTCACCGATAGATTCTCGGGAAGACTGCATTATACTTTTCAAGTATGTGTGGAATGTAGTTAGACATCAAACAAGAAGGGCGAGTTCGAGCCTCACTCCATTTTTTGGGGGTAAGAATGGAAAAAAAAAATTCCGCTGAATGGTGGCTATTTGACATAGATGAGACAACTGCGGGCGAATCATTTCGCGTTTGAATAAATGACGACTACTCTGTTCCACTGAAGACAATTCACGAGCTCAGTAGTCTCTAATCTGCTCGCGCTGTAGCTTTGTGTGGATATCACAAAAATTCTAGAATGGAGAGGTAAAGCAGTGACAATGTAAGGAAGCTCCTGCTACCGACAGAAGTCATTTTGCCGAAAGCCTCATTAACGTCTCTGTTCCGTACCAAATGTAAGGTTTGACATGAATAAAATTTTCAAAATTGCCAAAACTGCGGACTCGAGACGCCAAAATTTGGTGAATTTTCCAGATATCAATCAACATCCGCACTTGAAGTGACAATAGATAGATTAACATCTAAGTCACATCTCAATAGAGTGTCAATTCAACATGCACGAATCAAAAAATTTCTCCGAAGCGCCTTTTTTTTTGAGCAACTGAAATTGTGTTTCTTTCGACCATTCTCCGTTTCCCTACTGAGCCAAAGGGGCATGGTTATTTCATGTTTGTGAGGTTTTTAAAATTGTTTCATGTGCGGAAAAGTTATTTTGAGAACGGAAAGGTCAAGAACCTGGTTTGCTGCTTAAATATTTCTGACGCACAGCATTATATGTCATTATTGACGGGTAGCAACCAAAATTCTATGTATGGAGAGGATAAGACAATTAGTGAATCTCGTACCCAGATCCTACCATGTAACGATAACTTGCAACCACGAAAGGTCTGGTACGAGATAACATAGAGTATTTGCAACGGATTAGAGAGGAGCCATCTATCAGGTTAAGGGAACCGATCATTATTTATCACCAGGGATTGTCGGTAGATTTTGAAAATGTCACGTTAAAATTATCTTAATTCCCCTCCTCCCCAGGTTCTATAATATTCTTTGCACCCCCCCATGACAATAAATTGTCAGTCAGTTTTCTGATGTGCCTCCTTAATATTCGATTGGTGGCGACCGCTTCCCCTCTGCTCCCCTTGAAAACTAAGAGATCCCCATCCTCCACCCTCCTCCCTCCTCCACCAACCTCCTCCTCCCCCCCTCCTCCACCAACCTCCTCCTCCCCCCCTCCTCCAACAACCTCCCACCTCCTCCTCCCCTCCTCCACCAACCTCCTCCTCCCCTCCTCCACCAACCTCCTCCTCCCCCCTCCTCCACCACCCCTCCTCCTCCCCCCTCCTCCACCCCCCCTCCTCCCCCCCCCCTCCCCCCACCCTCCTACTCCAGTCCCTCCTGGCTCCTCCGCCCCCTCCTCCACCGCCTGGCCCCCCTCCAGAAAGCTAGCTCTAACTGATTTGTGTTGCTTTGCTTAAGACAGATCACTGAGCCAGTGAATATTCAACAAGACACATTTTTGCGAAGTGATTCTTGCTTATTACGTTCTTGACCTGCTAGATCGTGGGCCGAGTTTCACCTGGTGAGCCGAGACGGTAGAAAAGTGTTGTGTTGGATCCGGGGGTTAAGCTTCGAGAGTTCCGTCTTCTCCCACCCCACAGCTGGTTTTTTACCTCCTGTCTGAAACCAAAATTCTTCTGAAGACAGGGCTTAAACCGCGTGTTTATTACTTTGATACCTCTTTATAAAAGTTTCGACCCCCTACTAAAAGAATTCCTGTTTCCGCCCCTGTAGTGAATCGGAAAGTACTTCTAACAGCACTTGATAATATCTTTAACAGCTTGAATAGTTTCCCATTCATTTCCGTCTCTTCACTTTATAGATAGCTGGAGAAAGAAAAGTTCTTGGAGGTAATAAAATTAAATCTCAATCAATTAGATAAACCGTTTTCATGCCACACATAACAAAGTAAAGAACCTGAATGCTAAATATCGTGTGTTAAAGCTATCCATTTTTAATTAGCGATGGGGAAACGGAGGGCTCATTAGAGTATCGGGTAGAGGTAGCGGGCCTCTTGTATCTGTCGCTCGATTCCGGAGAGCTATATCATCAGAAAATGTATGCTTTATCAGGAATTGAAAAATTACTTGTAGTTTTGCCCGCAGTTCGTGTTTAGTCACTGTCTTTTTCTCCAAAATAGTTTTAGAAACGCTATCTGGACAATTCAGAAAAGGGTTTGCAAAAACGCGAGTTCTTCTTTCGTATTTTTGGTCTCCATAAGATTTTAAATCTATTCAATGCCAAAAAAAAATCAAATATAATGATGGAACAAGTCAGTTTGCTCCGGCTGTTTCTTGATTTATTGCCGCATTGTTTAATTGCACATAATGATAAAACATCATTAAAAACGGAAGACAAGAACTGACTCTAAGGCCATGCTTTTGCCTTCTGTTTTTTATTTAGTGATGTCAGTGGAGTCACCCTCAGTACTGGACACTTGCTTTGTCGAGCTTCCTCTTTACCAGGCTATCGGAGATCAGTTACACTCGACATTTACCCCGTTGAGACAATACGAAGGATTTGCGACAGATGTGAGCGATAGAATTGGGAACGGAGAAAAATACGGGAATGAAAAGTCCACCTTAAAGAACGGCCTCTTCTACATCTTGACGTTTACTGTGGAATACGACCTCAGTAAGATATATGTGATATAGAGGATACTTAATGACCGCTGGTGCATACGAATTTTATCTTCCAGTGTTTAAATTATCTCTCACGAGTGTGCGAGGCGAACGAGTGAGAGATATTACGAACTCGAGATAAAACCGAATCCACCAGTGGACTTGTAAGTTCTGTTTATTATATAGATAATGATTGGGTATATACATTGAAGACAATCTTGAAAGACATTATAATAGAGCGCCGAATGCAGAGATTATCTGTACGTAAACTCGGCTCGTTGGGTTGGTTAGAGCGTTGTTGCAATGGGCAGGCAGATGTTGTCTCATAATGCCATGGACCTCGCGGTCATATGAGTCACCAATTTCGGTTCGAGCTACATTTTAGGCTTTATCCGAATCAGATGAATCCTTATAATCAATTTCTCTCACCTTTTCTCGTCTCCTTTTATTTCATCTTTTCCAAAGCCATGACACAACAGGACCTGTTTGCTGTCTGGGCTGAGGAGGCTAAAGAGGCTCTCAAGGCAAAAAAATCTGGAATCATCCTGGACTTGTGGAAAGTGGTAGCGGAACGTAAAGTAACTATCACTTTAAACTGATACCGTACAAAGCGAGTACTTAATTAAACATTTAACTAATCTATTGTTTTCACTTGTGGCTGTGTGATAATGCCCAATATTATCACAGCGCGAACAACCCATTCAGTCATTCAGTTTTGTGATGGTTTTAGATCAGTTTTGTGAACTCAGGTCTTCATAAACGTTAAGGCCGCCTAAGGCGCATTTCACTTGCTTCTGCACAAATGATGTGCATAAGCACATAGAAAATCACCAAAATTTCATCAAACGTTCCTTATGATATGTTTTTCAGGTTATAGCCGTTGTCTGTGTGGATGATCCGACTGATGTTGACAGAATGTCACTGGACCTACCAGTCATGAAAAAGATGGGAAGCAAAGTCCATATAGATTGCAAGTCGATACGGCCGATCGAGGAATGGGCGAAAGATCTACAAAAGCTAGCAGAATAACAAGCATGTAATAGGGCCATCGGATTGTAAACCATTCTCGCACTGAATTGAATTTAGAACGTAGTTAATGATATATTAAACTATTAAGAAAAAGTCAGAGCTCTAAGATACTTAATATAGTTGTATTAACAGATTTAAGATGTCAAGTGACGAATTCATCTGCATTCGCGGCCAGCCATGGAAAGCAAGAAGGGTTGTCAATGTTTCTTAGATACATACGACATGAATGGTTAAGAATGCGAAAAAACTTTGGCAGATTTCAGGTAAATCGAATACAAAATTAAAATTCTACGCTTTCGCTGTTTCAAGTGTTTATGATGTTAGCGACCCTTAAATTCTAAAATTCTTCCGGCTATAAGAGGGGCATATCAGGGACTCAGGGAATGGGATGGAGAGAGACACTGGGAACGAGACTAAATAATTTCATCTATAAAGAGATCCTTATGGTATGTTGCATCTATTCATAGTAAGCAGATTTTCGTTTGTAGGCAAAACTCCAAAGAATGGAATTTCACCGCTGCTTTCTAGACCGTTCTAGATTTTGAAAGCTAAGTCTAATCCTTAATCTCAGACATTTCCTCTCGCCTGGCTGGTTGGACAGAAGCAAAGACCATTTCTATTTTCCTAACGCTCGTCGATGATCAATTTTGAATCAGTTTTGATTGTCGTTGACGTCGGCAATGCATCGACGATAGTTTCAGCTTGCTATGTTTTCTTAGATGATTGGTAAAAGAAGGAAGGCGGCTCAGACGTTAGAGACATATAAAAACAATTATTGAGAGGGTTAAGTACCAGATACCCCCGATGAACATCATTAGAGTTATATCCACGCGGCCGTTTTAATGCTGAAAGAGCAAAACAGGGCCATTGCAGAAAAATTAAAAATAACATGAAACAAAAGAAAGAAAGCCGAAAAATACGACTTATCTCTGTGGTCAAGAATTAATGGAATTCGATTCCATGTAAGTTCATGTTAGGCGCCATCTGTAGTTGTTCATTATCATATTGTCCCCACTAGTAGAGGAATTTTTGCTTAGCCTTTCATCTGACTCCCTTTAATTGCTTCGAGTTCATTTATATTTTAGCTGACGTAACGAGCACATTTGAATCACGTTTTTCTCCGAGTTCGCGTATTGAACCGTTTTCAATTAAAAAACTGAGTAGTCCACATCTTCTGGTCTAACGCGCACAGTGCCTGGTGCTGTGCGTATCGAGAGTATTAGGAAAAAGCGATTCACTTTGCACAACATAAACCAGAGGAGATTGATATCTTGTATTACTCCAAATAATACACTTTGCTCTGAGCCGACTAAACTAACTAACTTTTGCACGTAAAATCCAATAGGCTTTTCTTCGACGCACTTGACCCCGTTTAGGTCACTGCGCGTTCCGAGAAATAAACTTACATTGCTGCTAAGCACGTAGCTGAAAAGTTCCCTATTATTTTAAAGCCTAAGTTGAGCTACAGAACACATTTAGCGTTAACTTCTGATTTCTTTCAACTCGCAATCAGCGACAATCCGCCGGTATGTCAATCTATTTAACTAATGATGCTAACTACAGAAAAATTCATTAATTATCCCTGTCAGTTGATTTGCGTAATTTGAATATGTTAGCATCTTTTGTAGGAGAAAATATTGCAGTTCAATACAGCGAATTTTATGGAATAAAGTTAATACCAAAGTACTAAACTGAAGTTGTACGGGAGTTCCTGAAAACTACGCTGTTCTTGCGTTCAATAGCGTTTGGTTCTAAAATGAGCTTACTGTACTTAATAAAGTTTACCATTGAGTACAAACGAATACCACAAGAACAATTTATCAAAACTTGGGCAGTAGAAGCAGAAGTGGCACTAAAAGCGAAGGAGAAGGGAAAAATACTACAGATATGGAAGGTAGGAATGCATTTTTTGAAACATCTGAGTCGTTCATCTTTACTGACCGGCTGCTGTTTTTCAAATTTTTCCAAAAAGACCAAAAGGTCTTAGTAATTAACCACAAATTGATCACAACAAAGAAAACTCAGACCTTCCATGACCTCGGGTCCGTACAAGTTTGGGACAATACAGCTTTAGTCTCTGGAAATAATAGCCTATAATGAATCATTGGAAAATGCCTCTCTATGTCAGGGAATTACAAAACTTCTGATGAAAAAAATACTATTTGAACAATAATATCTGAATGTGTCTATCGAACCAAAATCATTCATGCGAGTCGTCGTGCCATGAGCGTGAACCAAATCTTGTTGAGTTTGATCAAATAAAATCAGTTCAGAACAAGCCATCGGCATTGCGACTTTTTTGTTTGAGCACGACAAAGACAAATAAGAGCGTCATTGGTAACACCAAAGATCTGTGGATATTTAGGAGTTACTCGGGCAAAAATCGGTTTCTTTAGCTTCTCGGTCTCTTAGTTAAAAGGCAGTAAAAGGTGTCAGTTTCGGGACATTGAAATAAAATTTCACATATTTCAAATCGGAGAAGAATGCGACGCAAACTGTCAAAAGTTGTCTCAAGTTATATATGAAAAGGGTACATAGCTATGTTTTATCACTCCTTTTTGCCATTTGACGTTAACAAGAGATTAAATTTTATAATATTTTGATGTAAATGATTGTTTTGGTTTAACACTTTCAGTTGGTGGGAGAGCGCAAAGTATTTTGTGGTAAGTGAAGAAAATAAACTCACTGAAGAAAATTGGTTTAAAATTTAACTTCCAGTAAGTGAACGCTCCCTCGAAATTTTAATCTGTTTCCAGTTATGAAAGCAGAGAATCCAGATGAAATCGATAGGCTGTCATTTCATTTGCCAATGTTTAAGGAGATGGGTGATCAGGTACAAATGGAGGTGACACCCCTCAGACCTTACGCGGGACTAGCAACAGATATAAGTAAAAGAGTTAATAATGGGGATGAAACGGTGTTTGAAGACATACCTACTGTACCGAAAGCAGGACTTTTCTACTGGATAACGTTTATTATAGAATACCCAGGTAAGACTGAAAGGCCATCACATTAGTCACCTCGTCGTAAACTACAAAAATATTATTCGTCTTTTCAGTGACTTCATTTCATTAAGCATGTGTTTCATTGTTAAAATACCATTATTTTTTTTTAATCCCATCACACCAATGCACAATGCTTCGTCTTTTAATGGCTTACAAGAGCCTAGCAACGAGTTCTCTATGGCACACTAGTGGAGCATTGGAGCGCTTCTGAGAGAGAATCCTTCAGGAGTAGTTCATCAAATAAAAATATTTTCTGCGAGTTTTACATTTCGCTGAATTCTGTTTCATTAATGCAGGTAAGACGCAAGACGAGTTGTTGGCCGTTTGGTTACAGGAGGCCAAAGCTGCTTTAGGAGGAAAGAAAAGCGGGAAGGTGGTCGACTTGTGGAAAGTGGTAGGAGAAAGAAAGGTAAGCAAAATATTCACACAACTCCATACTTCATGATGCATCCTGTTCTTTGATAGAAGAAAACAACGACGAAAACAATAGATTACCTTTGGGACTAAGGCATGTTTTAACTTACGCATCTCACGTCTCATGCATCTCACTTCTCACGCATCTCAACGTCATCACGCACTCACAGAAAAAACTTTCCCGCCTAAATTAGCTTTTGACCAACAGAATATTTTGAAAGTTTTGAAAATGACATCGTGGCTCGTTTCCACTCCCCAGCCTCATTCTTTTGGTCTTTGTTCGAGGTAGAAAGAAGGATGTATTTCTTTGCTTGGTCCGTTGAAAAAGTGTTTTTAATAAAATTTGAGTTGGCTGGCCTCTAAATTGATTTGGTGATTCTAGTTGATACATTCGGATAAAACAGTAATGACATTCGAATGGTTGATTCAATCAATATTGGTAAGTCTTTCCCTACAACCAAACAGATCTAATTTGGTTGATGCTGCCAATGATCGATGTGATATCGTGACCCCTTTTGGTAACAGTCTTTCTAAAATGGTTCAAATTGTGCGATCAGTGTCCAGTTAAAAGATGATGTTTTCAGTGAGTGACACAGGCCAAGGCATACTCTGAATAAAAGAACTCCAAGTGCGCGCTCCTAATAGGTGTGGAACCTACGACCCTCCGATGAGTACTTTGAATGCTCTACCAACGAGTAATAGGAGACTAGTGACAGGCTGGGCTGTTTAAGTGTTCAGTAGTTTTCAAGCGCCTTTGAAGTAAGTAAATGATAGTCTACGCATGTTTCTTATAGTTTATGAACTTTCTGGTGTTGTAGGTATACATCCTGTTATGTGTGGAGAGTCCGTACGAAGTGGATCGTATTTCGTTTGACCTGCCCATGATGAGGCAGATGGGAGACTGTGTACACATGGAAGTCAAGTCGGTCAGGCCTTATGAAGCTTTGCATGATGACCTGAAGAAAATGGCGGCTAGATAACTTGACAATTGGTTTTTATTTTGGCTTTAACAACTGCAATGATTGGCTTCGTTGTGCCACAAGCAAGGAAGGGGTGGGGAGAGGGGTTAAAATCACCAATTATATCAACCCTTCATGAAATTTTTCATGTGTGGTACCTCGGTATGTCACTTTTTCTAACAGCTACTCTGGGTGGGCCAAAGGGCGCGTAATATTTCTCTCGTTCTAGTACTTAAAGGAGTTTATACCATAAGTTTCCTTCGACCAAAAAGCTGTCATCAGGTCATCCACCTTACGAGCAAATATCCTATATGTTTCACTTTATCACAACATCAATGCAAGACTTTAATGACTTAACTTTTTTTTATAATTATACTTCACTGTACATAATCAAAAGTCAATTATCAGATCATGAACAGAAAATACCAGGTGATTCACTCTTGATGCTTGGCATGGAGCCTTCTAAGCATAAATAAGAGCCTGATTACAAGTTTATCAGCTACCATGATCTTCTTTTTGTTATTGGTCACTTATTGTAGCTATAAACAAGTACTAAATATATACTCAGATATCAGTACATTTCAATAGCTAACAGTAAGAATATTTTTTGCACAAAAGTTCTTCCTGGCATTTTTGACCAGTGCACCTCCATAAAATCTCCCCCCAGGCACCCCCAGTTCATGTCGCCTAGTAACTCGGGCGCCACGCCATTAGGGAGCTGAGGGCGCCTGACCAAAACGCTCACACCGCTGGCTGGTCCTGTGCGGACTGCGACAGCTCTGAAAAAAATTTATGAATAACGTAATTATTCAGTGGTTTCAAAAGTGTTCATTCCATTTAAATAAAAAAGCAGGGGACAAAAAGACACTTCAAAAGAGATATCGAATTTCCAGGATTAAACTAAGTCTCGAATATCCGCGCCTCTTCAAGCTGGTGTCCGAGTTGTATACTTAGTAGCCTCCGAGGCCCGATTTCAATACGATCGCCCGAAGATCGCCCGATCTTCCCGATCGTTTCAGTTTTCGAAATCACAAAGTCGCTCCAACCAATCGTATGGAAAAAAAAGTATGTGCAAACTTAAGTCTAGAGACTGTGGTAGCGTAATCACGCGGTCCCTGAGGTAACCATTTGGCATTTCTTTCCTTGTTAGCGCCCCGAATGACTTCGGATTGTTTTGGAGGATGATATGGAAACTATAATTGGGGTCTCGGTAAAGTTGTAAGGACAACTTCGTTATTACGCCAAAGTACTTGTGTATGTAGCCGGCACAAAATGATCTTTGGGTTGCCGCCACCGAACAGCTTTTAATGACAACCCTGAGCTTGTTTCTTACTTTGTCAAATGTAAAACTACAACAAGCTTGGCGCAAATTTCAATTCTTACTTATTTCCATTTGGCGATTTCACCATCAGTCCACCCACGTGACCTTGCCTTTCTTTCGCCCCAGTGCCCACGTGACGACTACAATGGATCACGTGCCAGCCCAGGCTCTGCGCCAGAGACTTGGCCACTAATAAGCGATGATTGCAAACCTGCAGAAAGAGGAATTTGAATACATTGCAATTCAGCTCAACTACCAAAAGGACGATGATGTATTTGATTCACGAAGTGACAGTGACAAGCAAGTTTTCAAGCCAACCTGACTTAAGATGAAGTCTTCTAAATCCTGAGGGTGGGTGGGAAGGTCAACATTTACTCCATCAGCACTCACTACACGAATTCCTCGTACTCCCACGCGTAACTGAAATGATGACCTGAAGAAATACATTTCATGCAGCGTGATCAAAATCAGAATTATTGTAACTGTTTTTCCCCAGTCGCTTGCAATCGCTTAGAGAGAGAATGGCTCACAATTGATTCTGGTGATCGTGTTTTGTGCGCGCTTTAATACCGTTTAGGAACAGCGCAGAGAAAACGAACGGCGAAGTCGCTTGAGGTTTGGGACGAGGAGCAGCACTCAGAAACCACTTGCCTCGCAGGCGGGGCATACCCCTGACTTGATAACTTAGCCTCAAAATTAAATGGCATTCTCTGCACGCCAAAGTAATTATTAAGACGCCAATTACGTACCTAGCGAGATGTCCAACCTCTGGCGAAGTGATGTGAACAGTAGCTGATGTATTAGTGTCACTGCCTACAGTGCTCCAATGACATGTAATACAAGGATCATTCAGTCTGGACTTCAGATCATCAATCACCTCCACGGCCCTGCCGAAAAAATATCCAAATAATAGGCATCAAGACACAACGTGTGAAAAAAATATACTCTTTAGAATACATAGTATTTTTCGACGTTGGTTATTGTGGATTGTAACGGTTAAATGGCAATTGTGCTTGTTGAATCAATAAAACAACACGTAACCCTCTCAGTTCCAAGATCTATATACAAATTCTCCCGGTGTCTGCTATAAAATTTCTTACAATCTTAATACAGAGAATTTGGTTTGAAATCAAACAATGTCCCCTTGTGATGTTCTCCTTTCCTCAAATTCAATGAGAGGAGAAATTTCTTCCCTGTCATTCTTAAGTGTGAAAGAGTCTAGATGTTCTCTACAATGTTACGTTCGAATAATTACAGAAGGTATCAACGCTTATGGGGTTTATCCTAATTTACAATCTGGTAAAGTGAAACAATCAAATTACACTTAAAATACAAGAGTGAAACTCATACCTTTTCTGAAGAACTTTGTGTCTTGAGACTTTTAAGACAGTTTCTAAAAGACTCTCACTGTAAGAGTGAAAGAAGACTTAGAAATCAAGCTTAGCACAAGCGCAAGAATATCAATCTTCTTAAACAAATATTTAATAAATTAAAAACATTGGTAAGTACGCATACATAACTTTAGGCTTGTTAAGAAAGGCCATGCAAAGCTCGGTACACAATTGGCCGGGTGTGGTCAAAGAGTGAAAGAGAATGGTACTTTCCCTGGTCATTGTGCTGCGTTTTATATTACCAATGATATTCTCAGTGTCTGTGTCTAACTGCTCTCTCACATATTTATTTACTTCAACATAACATGTTTTTGAAGGGTGTAATTGTGACAAAAAACAACTCCACTCTGAGCTCATAAGAGTGGTTGCAAAGGACTAGTATTCTAAGGCTATTCTAAGGCAAAGAACTTGCCCTCTGACCTACCTCTGGGGCTTTTAAACTGGTCTCAATGCACTTAAGACTAGCCAGTTTGAAAAAATTAATGCTAAATTCTATATACCTTTGTAGATTTGGTGCTACCTCAGAAGTTGTTAGAGCTGATGCTCCAGCAAGACACAGCCTCTTGCTGCCCCCTTGCATGGGATATGCAGTAACAGGACGAGGTGTCTGCAATGACTGTGCCTTTAAGTGCTGCTTCCTGAGAAGCGAGTGAAGAGAATACTCAAGAGAGTACGCACGAGGTGCTTTATCCTTATGCGCCACCTGAATAGAGACAGTACAATTTATATGTCTACATCAGAGCAATTCAAAGAAAATATGTAAATAAATAGAGATAAAATTAGAAAAAGAAAAAAAAAACCAAGTAAGTCTTTGCTAAAGAGTTTAAAATCACATGGTCCAACAGAGAGGATTGCTCTAGCAAAGAAGTGAAATAAAATTTTAAGAGCAGACCCACAGCGATATCATCTCTCTTCCGAGAGGTGCCCCAAAATCATTTCTTTGTAGAGCCTGTTGCCTTTTCTGCATTATTTTACTTCAATAGACAAGTCTAAGTGTGTTGCAAACCCTTTAACTCCATAGATCTGATTGTTAATTCTCTCCTCTAGCTGCTCCATTTCTCCTTGTAAATTAGTTACAAGGATTTGTTGTTAGATCAAGATAACAACTTCTACCCAATAAGTTTGAGTATTCTCATTATCTGTTCCTGAATAACATATGACTATTATGGGGAAAAGTTCTATGTTAATTACTCATAGGAGTGAAAGATTAATAAGTACGCATGCTGCTGACTGGTGTCTATAATCCTATCAACATTAAAAATATACATTAGGAAACACATATTGGCAATTGCTACCTTAGAAGAGTTTTCTTCTGAACTGTTTTTCCGACAGCTGTATGTTATACAAAGATCTGTTCCTGGAAAAATCTATTATCAAAATAACTCAAATTAATTGCAATAATGTGAAAACTCTTCCTACTGATGAAACTAAAAGTTGTCTTGTTTTTTAGATTGGCCTCCCCACAGGAAAATTTGACATAACAATTTAAAAAAGGAACCCTACCTCAGCTCTTATTTCATTGGCCATCACAAAGTGAGGTCGGTTTTCTTTAGTATTGTAAGCTCCTTGAGACAGCTGTTCATTAGAGAAACAGAGAAATAAATGACACGCTGCATAAAATGTCTGTAATGATCATGTACGTGTATACACACATAAATGTTTTAGACACTTAACTCTAAAACTCCCAAGATCTCATTAGTAATTCTCCTTACTGCCTGCCATATAGTTCTTGTGATGCTAGTTTGGAGAATTTGGTATTTGATCAACTAATAATCCCCTAATTAATATTTTTTTTTTATTCTCATCACTTGTCTGCTTGATATTGTATTGATATTGTAAGGAGAAATTCTGTCTTGGTCACTCATGGGAGTTAGAGGGTTAAACATATAACACTACCATCCATCAGGATCAAACTCCCAAAGGCTCATTTAAGTTGCGTTGTTCAAAGTCTATACGATGTTTGACAATGCAAGAGCTTTTACTCAATTAAGGAACATGTAAAAAATTCAAATATGAGATGTACTCTACTCAGTGTAATGTTGGAGGGAGACAGTTTGCACTTGCTCAGGCCAAGGAAAATTAACTTGATAATTCAACTCTTGTGATATCTCATTCTTGTGAGATCTCTGAATTATACCAGAAACAGTCAGGATGAAAAAAAAAGGAAAAAAATGGGGAGTACACCTGCAGACCACAGGCTGAAACCTCATTAGTCAGAGAAAAAAACAAGAAGTGAACCAGAATACTCTACACAGCAACAATGTGGGTCTGAATGCAAAATACAAATTACTAGCTTTTGAATAGATTTGTACAGGACATGTACTACAGTTTCCTAGCTTATTTAAATTACACATTTTCTTAGAGGATCAATCTTTCTATGTTTCTCGATCTTGACAACTTAACAACTCATGTTTATCACTCTCCATTAGAAAAATACCAACTGGACTGTAGAAATGCTAGGAAACCATTGAACTTATTGCTTTGCACAACAAATTGTCTGCTTGCAGTTGAGTGTTTTTTTCTTCTTTTTGCAATTTAGATGATCAAAGTATGTCCATACAATATTCCCACCTGCATAAATAACTCTTTGCAAAATAAGTTGGACTGAGCTGATTCCAGCTTCTGTTGCCACGATGGAATAACTGTTGGCATATTGTCATAGCAACCACTCATCAAACCTTACAGACACAAAAGAAAAGCAGATTACACACTTTCAGACATGCAAGGGGTTGTCTGATGAATTCTCAACTGTTGTGCTTGGGAAGCCAATACAGTAATAAACAAGCAGCCATTTGTTCCAAGAGTGGCAAAATTGATAATATTGTCATCATTGTTCTCCCTTATTTTAAGCAGAGCAGGTCAGAGAAATCATCATCAGAAATCATCAGGTGGAGCAATCATTTTTCCAGGTCATCCTAGATTTTCAAGAATGCCAAGTAATGCTAGGAGGTTCTAAGAGCTACTACAGGTAGTAAATTTTATGGGTTACCAGCTGAAAAGGAGTATGCTGCATCATGCAAGAGACTATGATGTTACATTGCTCAAGACTTGTGTGCACATTCATTAAATTTTCAAATCCCAATTTTGCTTTCTAGAATGGGATCACTCAACTGCAGTTATCAGCTCATATTCCGAGTCACCTTATATGGAAATTATGCATTACACAAACTGTTGCTGAGCTGAAAAAAGGCTCCAAATACACAAGTATTCAAGATTCAATTAAATTTAAAAAACAATTATCCTATTGGCACTTGTTGGATATGGGATTAGTAATAGCAAACTCGTGTTATGCACCTCATATTTTGGTTCCAAATAAACCTGCAATACTGCTGCAGTGCACTTAGTCAGTTAGCGGTATTTATTCATCATTTCACAGTTTATTTAGAATCAACATAATGACCAGCTCTCTTGGGCTTGTTAGCTCAGTTGGTAGAGCACTACACCAGTATTACAGAGGTCATGGGTTCAAATTCCATACTGGCCTGAATATTTTTTTCAGGCTTTCTTTTCACTGTTGCTTAAGTAGTATTCATTACTTTGAAGATCACTTCAATATTCATTTCTTCATCCAAAGTTCAAATATATGATTTTTATATATTTACAGTTAACTATTATTACAGAAGTGAAACAGCCAAAGTAAAAATACCTAATTATACATTGCCTAAACCAAACAAAGTACTACCTCTAACAGATGCAATCTGTAGATCTTTTCCAGACTCCACAATAGCCACTCTGATTTCTGCTGTTCCTTCCAAATCACTTCCAACAGTCACCTCCAAAGCTCTGTTGTCTGGGGTGGATTGTTCTGTTTTATCTTCAGCTATTGTAGCTTTGTTAACCTCAAACAATCCTGGATTTCGGAACTGTGAGCCAGCTATGAAAAGAAACACCCAAGTCTTTATTGCAAATATTAATCTTTGATTTAACCTCTTTGAAGTCCTTCTCATTGGCTGTTTAGTAAACCGTGTATTAAAATAATACAGAGAACACAAGTGCTGATCCCTCCTGAGGGTGATTAAGAGGGTTAACACTGCTTACAAATAATGAAGTGGTATTTGTCTACAAATTATTGTGTAAACACAGAAGTACACATTCTTTGATTTTTTAACCTGAGCGATATGTCAAATCCCCCATTATAGAAGTGCCTGTTCTTTTTAACCTCCACCTCTTTCTAAGCATCATAAGTTCAGAATGGAAATCTTTTGCGTTGCTCCCTAGGTGCCTTGATGTATGATCAGCTCTTTCTTTGACTGCATCTTCCATTCTCTGAGCTCCTCGTAGCAGAATATCAGCAGCATTACAAAGACCCTGAACAAAAGAGACAATTGTTGATCATTCCTTTAACAAAGAGTCTTATATGTCAAGCAATGCATATCTATATTGACATTTAAAATTACTTTTAGGCTAAAATTATGAAAACTGGTCAAATTTGTTTCTTTTTTTCTCTTAATTTTAAGAACAATAACATACACCCTGTATCTCTAAAACAAAGGAAAACACAAATAAAAGTACAGCAGCTATAGTAGGAAATTGTTTGAACTTGAAACCATTCATAAACTACACTTTACGACACCAACACAAGCAAGAAGAACTAGCTGTTCAATTAAAGAAACTTGAAAACACTACAAGGACATGCTCACACAAAATTACACAACAGTGACATTCAAATCTTGAAAAAACTTGAATTTAGGCCTTGTTCTTGTCTTTTATAGGTATACATGTGAGTAAATGCCTGCGATCTAACCAACAAAATAATTTTAACTACTCTGGCTGGTTTCTCCAAAGTTAAAGGTCCAAGATCCACTCATAAGATGATTAAAATTTAGTTCCAGAGACAGTTTCTGAGTAAATTCCATTTCCTAACCTTCTTTTTAGTGATCAAAGACAAAGTTGGCTTAGGAGTGGCTTGGTTTTGTGAGACTGGGTCCAATACTAAATATTTCTTGTCTCGCACCACATTCAGAACATCAGATAATACACAGACTTCAGTTAAGGACTTCCTGTTGAGAAACCAATCATTTGCATAATTTTTCCATTAAATATTTCAATTATCAAGAGTGTCTTAAGAATTTTTCCCATTAGAGGTTGTAGTCCAATCCCTCCACAAAAGTGATTAAAATGCAACTTCTCTTCACTGTTCTCAAATGTCATCCAGCAATCTTATGATAATAGCAGTCCAACTTATTGGTTGGAATGCATTATCTTGACTCAACTCCTAACTCTATAAATAATTTACAGGTAAATATAGAACAGATAGAGAATTTAATACCCTTTATATTAGATATTTGGAGTAGAATGGTAAACATATATTTGAAAAAATATTTACCTCAAGTTTTCCCTAACAGAATCCCACGGCCACAGAGAAGGTTGAAATGTTACCAATGATTTTTCATCATCTTCTTTCTCTACATCCTCTTTGTGCCCCTTTACATCTGATAAAAAGTCTATCTTGTGCGCTAGTTTTGCCAGCTTCTCTGACATGGAAAGCTGCCTGTAAGTGTTAACACATCCATGTGAGCAGTAATTAATTTATTTCCCAATCCTTACTCTCCACATCAACAAGTTCTAAACATCTTCTCTCCTAAAATGACTCGAACGATGTGTATTGCTATATCAATCTGAGAGTTGATTGATCATAATAGTTAGATACCCCCTTCAAGAATATCGTTTTGATACCTCAAAAAGGTTTTTAAATGTATACAAAACTATTGCAGGAAAAAATGTTGTACTTTCAAACCTTTCTGACGGCCTATTGTCTGTGGAAATCTTGTCAAATCAGAATCAGAGAGCCAAATTTGAATTCTGAAATTCTAACGAACAGCACTTACGGTACATATTTTTCTTGTCCATCCCTAGAGATCTCTTCCACTTCACTCTCAAGCAGACTTTCAATCGCGATGTTTACGGCAAGTCCAGACGCCATCTTGAAAAAATACAGACTTCAACTATTTCACATGTCCTCCCATGTTAGCGCTGATTTCGACTCGCGGGCTCTTGCTATGCAGGTGCATGCAACAACATAGTGAAACAACAGCTGTGTCTCTCGATGGGCGTCAAACATTTTCCGCGCTGGAGGTAAGACTTTTCGACATATCTTTGATTATACTTGTCTATTTAAGGCTTGTAACGTTTTCTACGATCCAATCTTAAAAATAGAGTCTTTGATCATTCCATAATGTTATTTTTGCCTGGCAACTCGAATCGCCTGTAATCCTATGTCGCGTGGCTTCCACATGTATTTCCTCGGTGTTCATAATTTTACCAAGCCTTCCCTACTCTGTTCTTCCAATTTTTTTATAAGGGCTGTGTATTTTCAGTAGTAAGAGGGAAGGTCTTGATCGTTGATGCTTTATTTCGCTTTAGACGTAAAACCAGGGAAAAATCTGCAAGATAAACAAAAGCTTGAGAGAAGCTTAATCATTATTGACCGAAGGATTCACTCTTTTGATGTATTTTAACATAAAATGACTATACACCGTAGTTTAAGGAATCCTTGTGTTCCAAAAATCGTTCTTTTCGAGGGCTTTGGATTCTCTCATGTCAAAACTATTTGATCTAAAGACAAAATGAATTTACTTGGAAATAAAATAGGTTTTTTTAATTTTTTTTTTTATTCTTCGATAACCACACTCCCTGGTATAAATCAGCGAATTTTCGAAATTTTACGTACTGGTGAAGCATTTCTATTGTCCCTAGTAGTTCAGTGTGATGATGTTGTCATAAATCAGGTACCTGCCTGCCTGATGCATATAGCCTCTGTAAAGCAAAGGATCAGTTTCTAGTTAATTCTTACTGAAAATTGTTAGATATGTCTCAGAACTGAATGGAATTGCAAAGTAAAATATGTAGCTAAATAATCTTAACAACAGGAATAGACGAAGACTAGTCTTTTTTTTCTTGCCTGTCAATATTCATGGATAAATGGGATTTTGGAAATATTCAGGAACTCTTTGTCTTAGTGATGAACCCCTTTCCCTCCCTCCCCACTCTCATTGCCTTTGATACGAAGAAGGTGAAAAGACTTTAAAGTAAACAATGCTTAGGGCTGAATTATTTGTGAAATAACATAATTAAGTTGTAGAACTTTCAGACATTGAAGTCAGATGCTCCTCCTCTTGAGGTAGCTTGGCTTGTGTATGTGTGTGAAATCACGTATAGAGTTTAAACAGAGTAGGGCATTCCATAATGATGTGCTGTGTGGATCAGTAATGTCAGAAGTATCCAGTTTAAAAAAAGAGAAAAAAATAATTTGTAAATTTGAAACAATTATCAATTCAGGAAGTAGCCTTCAGGGGTTCATTTTCAAAGAAACACAATCTTCACACTGGAACTTAAGTTGTACTTAAATGAGAATGCCTGTCCTGAGAAGAGGTTTCATGCAAAAATTATGTACAAAAATCAGCACCTTCAGGATTGTGTAATTTTTCATTCCCTAAGGGAGTGCATGTTGAGCAATCTGAGCTAGTAAGAGTTAAGCAAATATATTTTGCGAACTGTGGATCAAGAAATTTTATTTGATTTTGGAGCTCATCACTGGTGCTGATTTGGATTAGATATTTGATCAAACCTTTCAGATTTTCACAACAATAAATTGAAGCTTAATTCTCAATCATTTTCCAAACTATTTTGGTCTCTGTTTCCAAGCATTGAGCTTTTATTTCAGCCAGTCTAATTGACATTCTCTATAATTTTGAAAATATAATGAAATTATTTTAAATTGCCACAGAGTGCCCTTTCAAAAGCAAAGACACTACCACACTTCATCGTTGGCTCAAACACAAAGACATTTCAATCGATTCTATATGGATATCTACTCTAGTTTTTTTGTGTTCTAAATTTGTGGTTTTAATAGTGAGTTGTGAGTCATCAGTTTTATCAGTTTGGCTTAATGTTGTTCATTCAAGCAGATTCAAGAATTTCATCATGTGGATATTCAATTATGATTTTATTTTGACTAGCCTTAATCCAAGAGTAAAATAAAAGTTTATTGTGGTACTTAGAGTTAGTTTTAAGTCAATTTTTTTAATGAAAATCATTCTTATTCTTACACTGCTGATTTTCTCAGTTTTATAGGCAATTCTCATTAGAGTCAAAGCTTTCGTATGGTGTCACGTAGTCACTTTGGCAAGAAATATTGCTTCCTTGAGATTTTGTGATATTACTTCCCTGGAGCAAATTTTGAAATGATATATTATGATTTAAAAATTGAAACAAATGGACAACCCCAGTTTGTTGGGAGCCCTAAATTTCCACATGGATAGGCACACTGAATAATGTAACAATTTCTTGTGTTCTGAACCATATGTCGCTAATTTTAGAATTGACGTTTAAAACTCGTTTCCAATACTTGTGCCTTGATATCCGAGTCAGTGGATGAATATTGACATTCCGTACAAGTTGCATCGCAGGTGATTCGACTTTGCAGCAATCAAATATGAATATGCATGCCGGTAGCCAAAAATCATATTAAACAGACCAAAACAGACCAAAACATACCCACAGCTTTTGGCAAATTGCGGCACATTGCGATTAGAATTTTCAACCTTTTTTGCAGAGGAAATTGGCAACATGACACTGAGTGTCAAATGCGTTTAATTAATGATATCGTTTATTTATTGTTTTTAAAAGTGGCATGCCTTATTTATCATCCATTTGCAGAACAGATCCATAGCTGAGTGATTTGTGAAAGAGATCAAGTGTTTTACAAGCGATCAAGCAGAACCAATAAGATGTGGCGTGAGTGAAGTCAGCTGGAAAACCGGTCATGTGATTCGATATGAAAACAACACTTCCAACTCTTTTGTTTAGTGGATTCAAATTCAAACAAGCGAGCGAAATGAGAACCCAGCGACGTTCGTGAAATAAATCGTTTTTAATTCACTGTCATCAAAATTCTAGACATCATGGACGGCTTATATCTTAAAATAACTCAAGATTTTACTCCCGATGCTAAGGAAGCCAGGTTTGGCGGCAAAGACTCGCCGATGGCAGTTGAGAAAGGTGATATTATTTTCGACGTTCGTAAAAGAGGAGACGGATGGATGTATGGCAAAAATTTGAACAGTGGAAAAACAGGAAAATTTCCTGAGAGCTGTGCGGCAAAACTGACTGGAAATAATAAAAAAGGGAGCGGTTCAGGAAGTCCTGATACAGATACTAATAGCGAGGAAAAACCTGCTGCAAAAGATGACAAGAAACCTGCGTGGCTTCAAAATAGAACAACTACGCCTTCAGTTAGAAAAACGCCGCTTTACCCGAAACCATTTGCGGGAAGCATGAAACAACCACAAGAGAAAGAGGAACGAAAGGAAACTTCGGGGGACTCAGGAGTTGTAGAAGATTCTGTAGATGGAAATTATTGTAACGATGATGAGAAGCCAGCGAAGCGAGACGTTTTGAAAACCGGAAATCTAATGAAAGATGATAAACAGGAGCCAAAGTTTGTTCCTAGATCACTCCAGACACTTCAGAAACAGAAACCAGAGTCCAGTGCGACTGAAACAGAAAAAGAACCGCTGAAAGCGATTGGAAGACCTTTCAGATTGAATTTAAATAAGAGTGGTGACAGTTTAAAGTCCACAGAAACGAAAGCGGCCCCACGAGTGGACACGAAAAATCTACCGACAGCAGCTACTGCGAAGGATTCTCTGCGATCAAAGCCCACGCCGAATAAAGATTACAACGAGGACGGAAACTACGAACCCATAGAAAAAAGTAAGGAGACAAAACCCCAACTGAAAGAGACGGTCAAGAATAGTAAACCGAAGGAAGAGACTAGACCAGCACAAAGTCAGCCGGTTAAAATTAACCCGATAGAAAACGCGAAGAAATCTGGCGAGAAAAATCAATCAAACGTGACCAACAAACGCGCTGCTGGGGGCGCTGCAGTTAATATTCAAGAGAACCCACTGTCGAAGGACGAAGCGAGTATTTATCAAGTCCCCAACGTGGCTTTACCACCTAAACCTGCCCGATCAAACGATCAAGGCTGTGTAGAGTGTAACGAACCACATATCTACGATACACCGATGCATTACAAAACACCACCATCGTCGCCTTCAACGAAGAAGCGAGGGAAAGATGAAACAACGGCCGAGAAACCGAAAGACAAAAATAAGAAATCAAAAGGTGGTTCAACAACTCTGAAGCCAACATCATCCGTAATCAGGAAGACCAAAGAGCATATGAAGAACAGAATGGCTTCGTATGAGAGCATAGATACAGAAGGCAAGCGCTCTACGGAGAACATCAAGGATGCAGGACTTGTAGCAAAGGAGACCAAAGAAAAACTACTTGCGCCAAAAAGGCGACCGAAGTTACGAATTTTACTCGGCATATTTTTAGGATTACTTCTGGGTGTGTTCATATTTTTGACATTGTTTCTCCTGGCTCATTTGCACGTTGTCACAAGCATCGTTTCCGCTCTTATAGTTGGTTTTGTTGTGGGAACAATTTTCGGATTTCTCGATAAGACGCGTCTTCAATGCATCGCCTTACTGGTTTTCCCAAGCTTATTTGCATGTGGAGGGAAAATTTCTGTCTGGTTGCTGATCACATTTTTTGTCCTTTCTGGTCCAATGTGCAATTTTATTGAGAATGTACGCTTGGTCACCCTTCATAGAGCTTGCCTAATGGACACTGGACAGTTAGCAAACAATAGCAGTGGTAACTCAGCCAGACTTGTTCTAGTTGATAAAAATAATCGTGCTGTTGTACAACGTTTGGTAATGTACGAAAACATTTCACACGAACTGCAAAAATACATGAATTATTCCCTGTTGTCATCAGCTGATGCTGCAGATAACAATTCATCTGAACTAATTTGCATAAGTACTCTGAGGCGCACATTCAACATCTGCTCCTCTGAGATCGATAACATGTACAGCCAATGTACGAAACTCTACAAACCACCAAACTGTGAATTTCTTACGCCTAGGAACGCTTGTGATCACCTCACAGACAACCGGATTAAAGAAACGTGCAAAGACATCAGCAGCACGAGTTATCACAAGTTATCGCAAATTGATAAAATAATTGGACGTTTCCCTGGGCGGATAGCAACAGAAGATATTATCACGGACAAAAATAACACTATTATCGCAGCAGGGGAGCCTTGTGACTTTGTCCATATCATAACTCTCTTGTTGCCTTTATTGGTTTTACTTGTATTGTACGAAGCATACAGTTATCACAAGTGGTATCTTTCTTGCAATGAGTTCGACAATCACTACCTCACGCTTCGCTTCAAGTCAATCGAGGACATGCGCAAGTCGAGCGGAGCCGTTGACTTACTGGTTCCGCTGAAAAAAGCCGAGCTACAGAAATTCGTTCAACCAACTGGCTGCCAACTGGCTAAGAGCGAGAAAGGAAGCATGCTGAAATACTTGCTGTTTTACTTCGTTTATTTGATTTTTGCTCTCATGATCATTCTATTAGATCATTACTTTTATCTTGTTATCACTCGAGAGGAACCGCTGTTCAATTTTCCCAGTAGGTGCGCTGGGAAACTCAAGAGGCTGAACGAGTCTTACGTCATCATCTTGTCAACTCTTCTAGGAGTTCTGCTCTTGACCATCCTTCTCCAAGCATTTATCCTTCGGCTTCGCCGTTTGATTGCGTCGCGTTTTTACCCCAGACGGGAGAGAAAACGCATTGCTTACCTGTACTACAAACTGCTTGAAGAACGCAAGATGTTTTACAAATCTGTTATTGAAAAGATGAACAACTTCTCTGAAGAAAATGAAACACTCAACAGGCTGGACGTAGTACTGGTTCTGTGTAATAATTTCAGCTGGATTAAAACTATGTTCGAGTTTGTTGGAGTCAGTATTCAAAGATGTTCTGTATGTGGCACTGGACTTAACAGGAAGTACCTGCACTGTGACACCGAGGACTGTGGCGTCTATTACTGCCGAACGTGCTTCTGGGACCTGGAAAATAAGTGTCTCGGCTGCATGAGCAACAGCAAGATGACGTCGCGATCATCGAGCATGAGTGGTCAGTCACAGAGAAGAAAGAACGATTATGTTAAACCTGTTTGAAGATACTTCTTCTCGATAGCTTAAAATAAACTCTCGATACCGCGTTGAAAAAACAGGTTTTAACGAGTAGTTAGACAGATGAATGTGCTTGAACTTTATAGGCACATTTTGAATTTATTTAATTTGAACATATGACATTTCAACGCGGTTTGTTTTTATTGCTCTATTTAAACGTAAATCGGTCCAAGTGTCACACTCTTCGCTTTTCAACACCAGAAATTATATTAATTTGCCAGGACTAAGGATTTCTAAGTATATTTACAATTAGGACCTAGGCAAAACAGTAGTTTTCGAGGAGAAACACAACGTCAGTGTAAAATACTTTAAACTTGCGTGATACTGGAGCAGAAAAGAAAGACTCTAAGTAATGGTAAATTAAAAATGGGAGAGTAGCTCTGTATCGCGTACATCAATTCTGTGTTTCCGTGGTCTTACGCACAGGAGACTTAAATTACGCTTATCACCAGCATGAGGGACCAATGGCATTGGTAACGCATTCTTCGGTATGATGACGCTTTTTGTGATAAACTTTCCTTTCACGCTTGGACAAATGAATATTTTAGCGGTTTCTTTGGTTCATGAGACCTTTTGAAAAACGTTACATTTCAAAAATAAGAATGGAAATTATGAGAGCACTTTTTCTGACCATTATCGTAAATGGCATGACTTAAGAGAAGTCAGGTTCTAGCGAGACACGTGGAAAATAGAAAAATAGCTTTTATTTCATTAAAAGTAACAAAAAGTTATGTTGGAATGTTTAAACGATCACCTGTTACCCAGTAAATTCCTGTATGGCCGGTGGTTGTTTGTTTTTAGGAGCGTTATTCTTTAGAAATTTTTCGGTTGTTCCCCTCATTTTTCTGTTTACTGCATCAATCCAGTGACGTCTTTGCTTGTGTTATTGGCTCATCTCCTCCTACCACTCAGGGAAAGAAATGGGTTGAATTGGCTAACAGCTTCGTTTGATTTTCTCTTGTTTTGATGTTGAGTAAAATTTTCCTTTTCATACATTTCGCTTAAGGGAGCTGCCTTCAACGTCTTTTTCGCCTGTGGAACAGTTTAGACTGTCAAGAAATATAATTTGCATTTTCCTTTCAGTCACGACGGATGAAGCCGTTACGGATGCCTCTCTACCATGCACGTGTTTCTATTTTAAGTGAGCTTATCTCGATTCAGCTGACTTGTTTAGAGCGAACTGAAGGATTTTATAAATGGGAATGATGGAACCCCCCAATATCAAGAAGATTTTTCGAGGGATGTGGAGGCGTGCTGTACGTTCCATTGATAACGCAACTTTCAGCCATGCACTGAACTGCGAACTATAGCCTTGAAATTTTATGTTATACGGTACTAACAAGGCAGAAATATTCAGTGAAGATCGCGTGCGGCTCAGCTGGGAACTTTTCCGGTTTAGCAGTGAACAAATTACGCGATTGTTGATTTTATTGATTAAGGAATAATTTGTAACCAAAGAAGATGCAGTTTTTAAGTTAGCAGATATAAGGTAACCAATCAGCGACTGTTTGAAAATTTCCACTCAGCTAAGCCGCCCTAGGCCACTTCCTTAATCTTCTCACTCCTAAGATCTCATTAGTATTTCTCCTCACTGTCTGTAGCAAAATTCTTAAAATGTTACATCGGAGAAAATGGTAATGGATCAACTAATTATATCCTAATTGATAGTTTTCTACATTCTCATAAATTGTCTGCTCGATGTTGTATTGATGTTTCAAGGAGAAATTCTGTCTTACTCACTCATGGTATTAAAGGGTCAACATGTTTGTCAGAAATGGCAGACTTAATTTTTTCGTTATTTCAAGTGTAGTCTCAACATTGTCGAGCCATGAAGACACACCGGAAATAAGTATCAGAAGTAAAGTCATATTGTGTCGTACTCACAACTGTAAGCCTTCGAAGTCGGGCCTTTGTTTGACTTGTGATCCCTTTGAACAGCATGTTCTTATGACACTCATTCCCCCTTCCGCTGAACCTCCTCCTCCTCCTCCCCCCCCGCCCATGCACCCCCGCCTCTTGCAGAGGTGTTAGGAAGCTGTGAATCCGGTGCCTCTCACTCAGTGGAATAGTTGATGTGCACAGTTTTCAGGTATGCCTTAGCGCGGTATGTCTGGTACGGCGTTTGTATTGCTGGCTCTCAAAAAGGCGTCTACACCAGCTGAGGTGTGTTGATAATTCTTATTAATCATCAGTGCTTATCGCGGATTATTTACCCTGGACTTAAAAAGAGATTGAAATATCTTACATTCCTAAACAATTCAAGCTAAGAGGCCAATTGCATGGGCTCCGGTCGCTACCGAAAGAAAGTTCTTCTTATGTCTAAAGACTACTTTTAAATACCGTGCTAAGTATATATTATGAACCGTAGCGAGTAAATAAAACTTGTATCCCAAGCTTTGAAGGCAACAACTATACATTCCGAGAGAAGGTCATGCGCTAATTTGATGGGAAAAAAAAAAAAAACCAGTTTGACTATTTCCTGGGAAAACTGCGTATAGATATCGATCTTTGTCATTGCCATATTTACTAAACTAGGGTGAAATATTGTAATTGGAAATTCTCGTAGCTGGAGACTGGAGACTAGGCTCTTCAATGTAACCGCCCGAGATTATTAAAAACTTTACTTCAGCGGTTACACAAAAAAGATAATTTTCAATATGGCGGACGGCGCGGAAACCTGTGTGACTTTATTCTCTCAATCCAGTAAAGTTTTCGTTTGGAACCCTGAAGATGCTGAGAAAATTCGTGTTGAATATCGCATAGTTGGATCACTCATTGGATCACTACCTCGTAAACCAAAACAGAACCATTGTTTTTCTTTGCCGCTTCTTCTTTCGCAAGCAGAGGCCACGTTACTTTTGAACAAGGGACTGGCAAGGATGTTTGACTTACCGGAAAATCTCCCGGTTCCATCGAATGAAGAAGTTAAGACGTTTCATGAGCTTCGCCATGACAGCGTTGTTAAACAGAGAGAGTTGTTTGAAAGAGAAAGAGAAGAAAAGCAGGTGGAATTAGCAGAAATTATCGAGGAGGGAAGAAGGAGGAAGAGAAAACTGAGAGAGAAAGATGAAAATGTAACTAGTCCAGTAAAAAAAGTGAAAAGTGAAGAATTAGAAGAAGGCAATCCTGAAAAATGCAACCAAAAGGAGGAAAAAGTTGCTAATCAATTGGATTCGAAATGTAATATAGACAATGGTTTGACAACTAATGAAGAATCAGTAAGAAAAACTGATAGCATTGAGGCCCGTCACATTGAAATTGAATTGGGTTGTAAACGTAAGGACAAGTCTAGCTTGGAGAGAGTGTCACCTAACTGTGATATTAATCATGAAGAAACGAAGGCCTTGTCTGCCCTTGGAACTTTAATTCACATTCCAACAATTATGCCATCGCAAAGACTGCAGACTCTTTCAGCTGCACATTGGACATACCCCCACACAGAAACTGAAAAGCTGCATTACAGGGTATTTTTGGACTTATGGGAAAAAGGATATTATTTAACATCTGGTGTTAAATTTGGAGGAGATTTACTAGCATATCCTGGTGATCCATTCAGGTATCACTCATATTACATTGTTATTATTGTTCCATGGGGAAAGAAAATTACTCCATTTGAGATGATCTCAGCTGGAAGACTGGGTGCTACTGTTAAAAAAACAGCCCTTATTTGTTCCGTAAATGATGAGACAGATGAAATTTTGTATACATCCATCAAGTGGAGTGGGATTAGTTAAAAATTTAAAGTGTTAATGATACAAACATTTTGGATTAATTTTTGTGAATTCTGATTTTAAAAATTTGAAGAGACACCATTACCTTATTGGTGAATTAAAACAATGACTAGGTGAGCAAATGATTTATTTTCCTTTGAATTTCACTCTATGTTTAAACCAAGGGAACACAAGAAGCATTTCCATCATGGAGCTATGGATGGTTGAACTCCTGCCTTTGTCTATTCTACTTTGCTTCTCTGGTTTTCAATGTTGGTTTAATTATAGGTGTGATGTGTTTTCTTTCATTGTTCCTTTTCACTTGTGTAACAAAATTAGATAGGAAAGAAGACTGGTTATGATCAAAGGAAATTGCTTTCTCAGTGCTCATCACCTAATATGTACATATCTCAGACATTGGTTGTAATTTTTCAATGATTAGGTGGATTAAAAAAAAACATAATTGTCACAGACTTTACAGGCCTATGTGTATCTCTTAGGCTAATGGGACAAGCATTGTGAGCACAGAGCCTGTAAATAAAAATAAAAAGTACTTTAGAGCTTAATTGTATAAAGAAAAATGTTTTTTTTACCCCTATGGTAAAACTTAATGATAAGCACTCTGTACCTCGGTGTAGGGCATCAACAATGAAGTGTGAAGGTCTGGAGTTTCAATCCTTGTGAGAGAGACGCAGATTTTTTTGTCTCGTTTATAGAGATTATAAGAATATTTTTTTCACCAGTTGAACAATCAAAAAGAACAATGTCTTTCTTTTTTATTTACATACACATGATCAATGGAATGATACTTTGTATACAATAACACTGCGTATCAAAATGTGATTTGAAAAAAATTCATGGCTTTGGATGTTGTGCATTGGATGATTCTAGACTATTCAAATATTTTATGCTTGCAACTAGTATATTTGAGTAATTTCAGTGCAAGTCTGATAACAAAACTTGTCATGATTTTTTTTATCAAATTCGATCCAAACAAGTTTTATTTACCTAGAATGAAGTAAAAAGATATTTGTTGATAAGCATATTGAATATTTCATTACATTCATGGGAATGAGAAAAAAGAACCATGTCCAGAGAATTGGAAAGCAAGGTCTTGTTTAACTGCTCCATATGCTCTTGAAAGTTTCATCATTATACTACAGAAGTTAAATTGCTGTTAATTGCACAAAAGAAATAAAAATGAGCTATCAGCATTATTGAAACCCTTGTTATTCAAACCTGAAAGATAAGTTCTGATTCTTCTTTTAAAAAGGGTGATCGGGACCAAAATTAACCCTATGACAGGCCCTCAAAGTGACTAGCATCTAATTTCTCCCTCTATAATCACCCCCTAAAACACACATTGAGGTCAAAAGAATAAAAGAAAGGATCACCAGCCAAAGAAGTTCTTGATTGTTAAACAAATTCTCCTCGTCAGCTCCTTAAGAAATGTATGGAGAACATGCATGCTGATGTTGGATTGTAAAGGGTTAAGTAGCAAAACACAAGGTATAGGTTCTGAGTCCATGTTTTTTAAACCAAAAGAAACTGGTAAAGTTGTACAGATGACTTACTTAAAACGAAAAATGTGTTTATATTTCATCTATCTTAATTTTTATAGTATAATTTACTGATGCAAAAGATGCCATACTTAAAAAAAAAAGGCAACTTGTCATTTCCATCGTTAACATGTCCTATAACTTTCACAACTGAAGCCGAGTGGTAAAGCACAATAGGCGCTCCAAGACCCATATTTCTCACAACATATATCGTGTTCATGACATCCCTGATGGAAACAACAGTCACCACAGACCCAAGACCAGCATGAACAGTTGGGGCCACACATACCAGTGCAATTATTTTGTTTTGGATCAAGCGCTAAGTCACAGCGCTTTTGTCTCTTACTATGGTGCCCAGAAATTTCATTTCCCAAATCGCGTCTTGCCCTCAACTCGTGTGGAGTCTGAACGTCTGAAGTCTTCAGGAGATTGTAACACAGGGCATGAAATGGCTTTAACATTTCCGATTGGGTTACATTTTCAGCAAGTGCTTGTGACAAACGTTCCAGAAGTTGAATTTCCGGTTCTCGCCGCAGCTCTCTTATGGCCTCATGGTAATGGATTTTTAACGCTTGAAGTTCGACCTGTGTTTCCTCGGAGGTCCGGCCCATCGTCAGAAACTCGTGAAGATTGTGTGATACTTTGGGAATGGCTTTGGGAATATAAAACAATGATGGGCCACGCCTAAAGAGGATTGACAAAATTATTGATCAGAAGTTAATTCTCTGTGGACGTAAGTGCTGCCAGCTTTAAAAGATCGCGTGGTCTGTTTCGTTGTGTTAAGTAATATTCCAGAGGTTCTGGCGCTGACTATATCTTTTTACAAAACGGCGACATTCTCTTGTTTTCTGTAATAAACGGCTTTCAGAAAATGTTTTGGTGGATAGGATTATCTTACCGAGTGCAGGCATGACAAAGCGGTTTCTAAATGCTGTCGATTTACACATCTTAATACCTAAAAACTGTGTTTCTTCTTTCCTCTGTTCACAGACAGATTCATTACAAATATACCGGTGAACAACTTCACCAATGTTGAAGGGTTTTTTTTTTTAATTTTCAGTAGCCTAATGTCGTACGATGAATTACAATGTTACCGGTATTACCCACTTTACGCTATGAATGACGTAGTAGAACAGAATAAGAACGTCAGGGAACTTTCGAGGGCGTTTTTAAGTATAGCTGCTGACGATTGATCGACAGATATCTTTCATCAAAGAGCACGGGTCAATGACAACTCGTCTTCCGATTGCGATAAAAAAAACATCGTTTCACTTACCCTAGGAAATCTTGATCTATAATCTTGTAATAGAACATATCTGTACCAAGTTTTTGGTATAACACTATTATTCTCCCGGCCGTCTCCATCAGTTTTAACGAGCCTTGTTCAATATCAAAACAAATCCCCAAAGTCTGGTTATGATAGTAGCATCCTTTTACTCGCTGCTCTGAGTAATCCTCGAAGTGGAACGCTTGAGTTGAAGATTTACAATCACAGCTTGCTACTGAGCAACAAAAAACTACCACCGTTAAAAGAAAAGAAATCGGAATGTTTGAAGAAAACATTTCAGAAAATGCTGTAAGTTACAAACGTAAAGTGAAATGACAACTGTTGTATGAGAATCACACTGCAGGACTCACTCCTGTAGAATTTGTGGCACGGTGTATAGCAACTTGATTCTTAAATGTATTGTCTCTGTGGCCAAAGTCCACTTTTTAAACGTGACCAGCAGTTTCAGTTTCTTCATAAGCCGCCACAAAAAATTCCACCGGATCTTATTCCGTTTCTTCATTATCAAAAAAACACGTACATCTGTTCTCATGATTGCCCTTTTTGGTAACATCTGTTCAAACTCTGCTAAAGGAAGCAGTTCTTAGCGCTTTTGTTTATGTTTTTAATCCCCTAGTTTTTTAGGCCCAGCATTATTCATGATGAAAACTGTTCGTTTTACTTTCTTCACATCAAATTATATAGAAAGAGTCGGTAGTGAATACAAGTGAACATCTTTTGCCGACGATACAGAAGCCCAGGAAAATAATCAATTTTTCTGCGAACCGTGAAAAGCCCTTTCTTCGACATTCAAAACGAAACAGTTTAAGGGCTTCAGAAAGCATCTTTTTGTCATTCAAGAATTTAGACGGTTTCAGTGCCTAGGGAAATCGTTAAATTTTGATTACCGCAATGTTTGTTTGGTTCAGAATGATTTCATTTAGGACATAACTAAGGTTGGGATGACGTGAAATAAACATTTCATGCATGAATTCTTTCACGAAAGTATCGCGGGGTCTCAACCATTGGAAAAAGGAATCCGCGTAAAGTGATTTGGAGTTATGTAAACCCGGCATGACAAGTTTGATTAAATTCTGGACTGAAATACAGCGATAAAACGAATTCCTTGTTGTAATACTTTAGTGGTGGTACATCCACAGGTTAGCTCTTTGTCCTCTGTTTTCAGGTCGCACATGAATCGGTAAAACAGAAAACCGGACAAAACCCATGCAACATCTTAAAAATGGCGAACATTCATCAAAATCGTCAAATCCGCCAAGCTGATTTCGCTCTGACAAATTTGACTGATATTTTGTCAAATTTTCAATTCCGCCAAGCTGATTTCGCTGTAACGAATTTGACTAAAATCAACAAACCCATGAACATTCACTATGTTTGGCGAAACTCTTTTTAAATCTAGCCATTTTTGTTACCGCGTGAATTTCTGGACATAAATGGAAAAATCAGACAGGAAGCAGCAAAATGCTGAACCTACATGACTCCAAACGGATGAATGTCAGATTAAGACTATATTGATATATTTGCGTGAGCAATAGCTCGTGGCCTGTGTCAAGGCTGGGTTTATCAAAGTTTAGAGCTGCCAGATGATACATTTCAAGATTCGTTTCGATTCGAAAAGTAAAGTTTACTCGAGAGGAAAACTGTATTATTTTGGTGACAAAGAAAAACACCCTAACTGGAAAAATAAACCAAAAAGGACAAGGATTATCAAAAATGAAAAGGAATATGAGAGACGAACTTGAACAATCTGAGCTCTTAGGAATATTTTCAGTTCTCATCTTGAAGTTCGATACCCATTACTGTTACGATGCCTTTTATCCATATACAGAGGAAATTTTTTTTAAGTCATTGAGTATATCAGGATTTTTTAATTCAGTCGAGTGGCAATATGACTGGTTTTCAATTTTTGTTTTTTTTACATCCATCAACAACTAGAGCATTTAATTCAATTGTTTACAGAGGCAAGCTTGCCAGCTTGATGATTAAACCCGGCGGTTAAGCGCTGCGAACATTTCAAGGGCAACAAAAGAGACATTTCGAGTCGTTTCTAAAGAGATTTTAATTTGAGGTAGTCAGATTAATCTTTAATCTTTCTTTACACTCGCTTAAAATTTGTTGGGATGTAAAACACGATAATAAGATTTAAATCTATGCTAAAAAACCAACTTTGACACAACTAATTACTTACTTATAATATCAAATTATTTAGTAACTAAAAGTTTGTTTTCCATGAGTGCTGTGAGTCTGACATATAAATTGAAGACGATTCTGTCTGTCTAAGACTAAAGGGTAAGCTGTTCCAGAGGGTTGCGCCATTATAATGAAAATATTTTCAGAAGGTTAGCTTGCAGTAAAGGAACATCCAGTTTGTTTACGGAGTCTCTTAGGGAACTGTGTGTTTCATTGTGGAAGATTTGGACAGGAGATACGCAGGGATAAGGCCATTCATTCATTAATTACAATCGTGCATACGAATTTCAGCAAAATTATTTTCAACAAGGGAGCATTTCTTAATTCGAATCCCATCAAAGCTGAAGTTACATGATCGGAGCAGCCGTGATTAAAGCTGCATGAAGTTGCATGAGATGGACAATGATTAATGGAGTTGCCTTTTTTTTTTCTTCCCAGTGTACTCTGATCTTAACTTAACGGGTCTCTGCAAGAACGGAGCCCAAGCCAGAATTATTTAATTGTGTTACTTGAATATGTTAAAATTTAGTTAGATTGCTAGCTTGTTATGGCATGTAAAGAGTGTGGCTCAGCTTGGCTGTTCGAATTCTTTATCACAAAAAAATTCATCTGACGAGTGTGCCGCTCTTGTTTCCTTAATTTCGTTGGGACAACTGGTGGGAAGATGTTGGCATTCTCGGTGATTTAGTAAAAACCTCTAAAGCTGGTATCTTCTTCGTCGCATCGCCAAGAAAGGTATACCTGCCAAGTTGGCAGAACTTTGAGAAGGGATAGGAAAAACCAGGCGTTTATATTGAATTTTTTACAAACTTTAACAAATCTTTGGAAAGTTTGGGGAAGGGTATCCTAGCCTATACTCCGCCGAATTTTTCGAAATTACCCAATTATGGTTTTTAGTATATTGATCTTTCAAAACGGATAAAGGAAAAACTTGACTACTTGATAAACCAACAAATTTCTTTATTTCCCATGATGACATCTTTGCAACCAGTAAATAAGACAGTACTTATAACAGAATAAAGCGTATTTAGAACCACTGGAGAGAAAATATAATTGCATTGAGATGTGTGAAACTAAATGAAACTACTACAACTGACAGGTAAAGTCAGAACCCCTCGTTTTCTTGTTTTGCCGGAGTATAATATCATCATCTCGCGCATTATTTTCCCAACCATGATCCTTCTTTCATGCATTTTTTATAAGAACTGAAACCAGAACACTTTAAACCAATTGGCACCAAACAGTAAGAACTGTACGGTTTCCTCTTGCAACACAGGTCATGCTCATAACAGCCCCGATGCCAACAGCAATCTCCACAAAACCACTTCCAGCACCAACATCCTTTACCGCAAAGTCCGCGGCATTTATTCGCCGTTGGCCTCACGCAACCGCGCTTCTGCCTGTCTTGACCATAATCAGCGTAATCTTCCTCCACGTCATGTGCAGCTCGTAGCTCGGGTGCGATCTGTACACCAGAAGTTTTCAGTAAGTTGAAGCACAAGGAATGAAAAGGCTGGAGAATTTCTAAACGAGTTGAGTTATCGCCCAGGGCCGCAGACAGCTGCTCCAGTAAGTGAGTTTCTGGGACATGCTGGAGCTCACCTATGGCTTCCAGGTAATGATTCTTCATGAGGTCCTCTTGTTCCTTATCATTCTGAGAACTGCGTCTCAAAAACTCCCTCAGCGCTTCTGGACTTGCGGGAATGTTGGCAGGGACATAAACAGATAAAGGACCATGTCTGTGGAACGAGGAAAAGCTCTGCCAATTAAATCACTTTCTTGTTGTGGATCAAATTATTTAGTGATGGCAAAGGATTGAGCAGAGAATGGATTTCTGGCATGGATTTCAAACCGAAAAGTGGTCAATTAATGAACTAAAAAATCAATCGATCCTGTTTTAATTCTTGACAAAAATGAAGCAGACAAAGGAACATCATGGAAATTCTTAAAGTGCCTATGACACGAATTTTTTATTTTTTGCGTAAGTACTTAGTTCATCATATGTACAAACCAATTCCGATGGGAGAAAATTATCTAAAAACTTAAAACTCGGTCTTTTGGCACCCTGAAGTGCTCTTATTTTGTCTTAAAAGTGTCCCGTGGACTGGTAACGAATTAGCGGCTGATGACGTAGAAAACGGTGAAAACTTTCAGTTGACACTTGCAAATCTCTCTCATCTCTTATAATTTTATATCAGTCAGCGTTGAAATACTCTTGAAATAACGTGCGATAGCGAAGTATACCTATCTTCAGCAAGCTCTACCGGAAGTTGCGAGTACGGTTCAGCCGTAGGAAGGAGAACCGCGTTGCATCAAACGAAGATTTCGACAAAGACTGACAAAGACGGTTTCTCGCCTGCGGTGTTTAGGTGAAGATCAGAACAAAAAATACCCGTAACTTAATGTTTAGTTTGCTGCGTTTGTGTTTTGTTTTCTATGACGAAATCTACGTTAAGAGTGGGTAGCTGTGTTCAATTCTGTTGCCATAGCATTTTATTCCTTCGCACTAAGTGCGTTGAAGGTTCCCCTCCGTGCTCGAGAGTTTCGTTGTTGTAGAGAAATTCCTTTGGTAAACCAAAAGCTAGCTTTTTACGAAAGAATCAGCTGTGTCACGAGGCACGATGAATTTTTTCCGAAAATTCATCGAGCAGTTTCACCGCAAGTTTCTGCTTTCCTCAGAGATCGCAAAGGCAGAGGCTGTCGTCGTGATCGTCGAGCCCCTCAAACCGAACGGAAAACGAGTGAGTTTATAGTCATCTGATTCAAGCTAATCTCAAATAGGAATTTTAATAGAGAAAAACTTCTTTGGTTTAAGTGCAGCATTGTCATATGACCCATTCCGCTCAAAGGAAAAATCTGACATTAGTACTATAAATGAATATTTCGTACGCATCGACTGTACATGTAACAAGGCACTTGGATTCGGTACCATCTAATTCAATAAAATTAGTGTTTCCTTATTTATCTCGTGGCAGCGCTGTTATCACAATGATAATGCTACTGTTGCTGCTTTTAGTTTCTTGAGGGCAGGGAGTAATTGATAGCTTGTGGGATGACCCTTCGGAAACCAAGGTTAGGAGAATTCACGGCCCCTTCATACTTGTCTTTACGCCAGTATCTGCCAGAGGTTTCGCACTGTTACGCAACAGTTCGAAACAGGATAACGGTCAGCTCAGGAAAGGGCTTGAACTTCATTACAAATGATGTAAATCTGTTATTAAAATACGATGGAAACTACAATTGGTAGGATTTTCATACGATAAGAAAAGCGCAAATGTAGTCATGTGGAAAGACAAGGAGTATGAGTACATCTCAAGCGCGTGAAATAAACAACAATAAGGAGATCACCATTCTTCGCTTGCGAAACGTCAGCCGAAAAGAATGTTAGATTAACGTGTACGGTGTAGAAACTAGCCCCTTAATCAGCATTCTTTTTAGGCGAATTCATTGGTTATCTTCCCCTGATTTGACAAGTGGTATGTGCTCGTAACAGGCGTCTTCGAAGCCGTTACGGAGCAAAAGGCCGACGACGTCGAAGAGTAAAATCTTCTCGATATCGACGATCGAAACGCGTCTATTTTGGCCATACAGCTACATCCTTTCGAAAGTAGTGTATAGAAATACCCAGTTTATGTGTATTATTCTTGTAGCTAACATCATTTGGCGCTTCGGCCACGTAATACGTTCGTCCTACCTTACTGATTTCTCCTTTAACCATAATTGACCACGTGTGTTCACAGTTTTCTACGTCACAGCTACGTAACATGGTCATTTTGGCCGCGCGCGTAACAGGGACACATTTTGGCTGCCAAATCGTACCTTCAATGCCCCAATAATGGTCAAGGAGAACTCGCTAGGCGCTAAGGTCGATTATTTCTAATTTTAAATACAGCTATCAAGCATAAAATGCAAAAAAAAAATTTCGCGTCATGAGCACTTTAAGGAACTACCCTTTGAAACTAATATAAATATTTAAGAGGAAAATTAAAACGAAGGCCCTCTTTCGTCCTTCGATGTAATTAATGGTAGCCATTTCCAAATGAGGACTGAATCACATACTTACCCAATGAAACCCTGACCCATAATGTTGTAGTAAAACATTTCAGGTCCAAGGTCCATGTAAAGAACCATCTCATCGCCATTGGCCTTTAACAATTTCATGAATCCTTCACGAATATCGAAGCAGACGCCCAAGGTTTTATTGTGGACGTAACATCCCTCTACGTGGTCTGCGGAATAACTCTGCAAACGGAGGCCTTGATCCACAGCTGTACAATCAGAGATTCCTCCTATGCACAAAATCGCTACAAGCAAAAAAGGCGTTAATGTAGGGCGATTCATTGTGTCGAGCTCAATTTACCACCATTCGTTATCCTTGGCGCGTGAACGTTTTTAGAGAAATGAATGCGAGGGGACAAGTAATTGGGTTTTATTGGATCGATTAGCTCTGAATCGTTGTTAAGACTTCCTGTATGGTTGCTGGGATACTGCTCATATTAGGTTAGTATGTTAAAAACACTTTTTTATAGACACCAAATCATTTTCCTCTTTGACCTCGCTTATCTCCGCTCACAGAAATCTGCGTTCAGCTAATGACAATCATTTATTGCTGTTGTAACACAACCCGCTGTGAACTATTTTAGTCCAATAAATCCCTGTATTAGTAATTCTACTTCAACAGCAGAGTTTTCTAAAAATGCGCACGTGATGTAGAGCACATAAACTTTGCCTTAAACTCTTTGAAGACTTTCAAGGATGTTAATTTTGCGAAAGGAAAACTGATAATATTATTTACACAAATCAGCATTTACTTAAGCCATCGTGACAGTTCACTAATTACTTAATATGTTTGAGATGAATATGAAAAATAAAGTTATTGGAAAATATACGAAACAGTGAAAAGTGATCTTCAGAGTAAGTAAGATAATATGAAATTTTAATTTAGTGACATTTTCAACTTAGTGGATTACAAGAGCTTTCCTTTCCTCAAAGTCCAATTTACGTGTTTGTTTTCAATAAAGCTTTAAAATGGCATCCTGTTTAAGAGGAGGAGAAGAAATCGTACTTGCAAATATTTACAACATTGTTACAACTTCCCGTGTTTCGAAAGTTAACTTGTTTTTAACTTCCGAAAATGTGACTTAATTTATCATGACTAAAACCGGCTGTAGACGTACTTTAATTTATCTCTACTGATACCTCAATGAAACCTCTTTGTCTTCACTGAAACACTTTAACGGTGCAAAAACAAAATAATAAAGTATTCCTAGGATAATATAGCCACCCTTTTTCACAAGGTTAAGCCTTTAGTTTTGAGCTCGCTGATCGTGGACAATGAATAGGTATCACTTTTCAGAAACATTGTATCAAATCGGATTAATTTCGTGATGTCTTAAGTAACATTACTGAACATAAATCACGCAATGCCTCTTCGGTAAATATCGGATCGCTATGATTTTCCCAACTGATACGTGTTTTAATACTCAAAACCACTTCAAAGAGTCGTCTTGACGTAGCTTTATACACTCAGTGAGCGGTATGCGATAATGGAACGAAAACTGATAATGACCAAATAAATTTTACTTGATCACTGACGTTAGCGATGCCATTTTCACTCTGTAAATAGTGTTTATATTTTAATAAAGAAAAAAATCGACGCAAATACGCAAATTGACTGCATCAGAGGCAGCCATGTATTGTACGAAAACAGAGAACCGTGGATGTTAATCAATGAATATTACTTTTATTCATGCTCATTTTGGTTTTTATAATCATTTAATTGCACCAGCATTATGTCATCAATGTCTTTTGGTCCACTTCTCGATCCACGTTATCCCCACCATTTCCAATTCAAACAATCCCTATAACCTCCAAATCTGGAGCATGTAAAACCATACAAATACGGGAAAAGGCAGTGTGGACTTGTTGGGTTTTCCTTACAACAGAGATCATGCTCGTAACAACCCTCATGGCTGCAGCAATCGCCGCAGACCCAACTCCAACACGAACATCCTTTGCCACACATTCCTCGGCAGTTATTTTCCGTCGGGCGCAGACAGCTACGCTTTCCAGTAGTATCTAAGTTCAAGTCATGCGCAGCCTTGAACTCTGGTTGAATTTCTGTGTCCGATGCTTTAAGAACATTCAGGCAGAGCGCATGAAATGGCTGCATTGTTTCCAACTGTGTAGAAGTATCCGCTAGGGCTGCTGAAAGTCTTTCCAGTAGCTGGACTTCCGGTACATTGTGAAGCTCGCACATGGCCTCTCGATAGAGGTTCTGTACGGTTTGGAGCACAGGTGTTCCCTTCTTTCTGACCAAGGCTGCTAAGGCCTCTGGAGTTCTACGAACTTTAGTGGGGACGTGAGTCATGGAAGAGTCATACCTTGTGGAAACATGTGAACAACAATAAGCAACTTAGATCGAATAGGCTATCGCAGCGAACAATTTTAAGAACTCATGACATCACCGGCTCTCTGAGTAAGCCTGTGCTCGTCCCTACAGCTATGCACGATTAGTGTGCGGCTCTAGATATTATTGTTAATATTATTGTTATTGTCATTTTTTTTATTTTCATTATCACTTAAATCCTGTAATTTGTTTTTTAACTTTTTCGCCGAAAATACGCAAAGAAACAGCACTTCGTCAGCAAACTATGCCTTACCCCTCAATAAAATAAACCTGAATGATAAATTTTTAGGGAATAATTATCCTGACTGTCAATAGATGAAAATCGTATACGTGAACTGCGGACAAAAAAATGAATATAAAAGCAGTTCTCGTTGTAATGAACACTACTTGAGTTTTAGTAAATATAAGGCCTGAAAAAAATCCAGGCCTGAACGGGATTTAAACCCATGACCTCTGCGATACTGGTACAGTGCTCTACCAACTGAGCTAACAAGCCAACTGGATTGGTTCCAAATAGACCCGTTAAGTTATGAATAAAGTTCAATAAATATATGAAATCGTATATGCGAACTTCGGACAAAGAAACGAATATGTAAGCGATTCTCGCAGTTATGAACACTACTTAAAAATTCCCGTACAGGCCTGAATGGTTTTCAAGCCTTATTTTCACTATTGCTTAGGTAAAATTTGTTAAAGATTTTGTCTGCAGTCATGATTACGAGGATTTCACTCGTTCTGATAGCTTAGGCCTTTGATTTTTTCGGTTGCGACTAATACCGTGCACGCATAAATAAGTAATTTACTGATTTTGCTTACCAAACAAATGCTTGATCCAAGACTTGGTAAAGAATCATTTTAGGAGTGAGTTGCCTGTAATGTAGAATTTCATCGCCATTCATCTTCAGTAATTTCATAAATCCTTTGCGAATTTGGAAGCAAACGCTCAAGGTGTGATTGTGAATGTAACATCCTTGGACTTCGCCCAGAGAATGATTCTTTAACTGGAGACTTTTCGCACTAAAAGTTACTCTTGTAGCGGACATAATTGTGACAACACTCACAAGCACCACGAACATTACCAAAGGGTGGTTAATTGCGAAGGAAAGTGTCTGTTAATTTTTACGAAACGACGGATTGAATTCTCTGATTACAAGCCAGCGAAGCTCAATTTTGGCAAAGCTTTTGTCCCCACAACATGGTAACAAACGCCTTGAATCAGTTATTTGCCTAAGTTTTGAATTAATTTCACCCCCAGGTAACACCAACAAAGGACAATAATGAAAGCTATATAACGGGAAATACGATGTTAGAGCCATGTTTAACAGGCTGGATGAATTTCATAACAAGAAAAACACTCACCAGCCTGATCAATTCACTATCACACGGAAAGTCCATCGTGGAGTTCGAAATTTTGTCACCTGTAATTACTGAGTTAAATGATTATTTTTTTTTGCCTAGCTCGCTGTCCAATTAAGGTCTTTGGCTCAAGGGTGTCAAACAGCCGCTTTGCTTTAAGCATCAGAAACAAAGTTTTATAATCAGACAACTGCTTTACTGAATAATAGCGAGAAGATACAGACGATTGTATGAAAACTAACCAGAAGACAACCAACGAAGTGGGCCATCGAAACGACACTACGTGAAAAAATGGACTTAATCCATAACCAATTAAATCACTTTCCTCTTAAACAAACCGTAAACAAGCGTTAGAAATTAATATAATGAACTTAAGGCCCTCTAATATTGAGAACTGTGCTTCACCAAAACGAGTGTAACACTTCTAAACCTTGCGGGGAATGGCCAGAGGTTTGCTTTTGCTTTGCTAAAAAAAAAATAATCACGAAGTATACAGTACTTTATTCATTCCTATTTCATAGGTTTTCCAGAATAAATTTTCCAAAATGTTAATGTCACTGTTTCTAAGCATGAAACAATAACATACGAGAAGTTATATTTTCTGTCATCAATTTATCATAACAAATCATACTATGTTTTTGAATCATTAATAACCATAATAACTTCTCTGTTTCTTTTTGTCGAGCTAAAAACTTACCATCTCTCTTAATCTATTTACAAACATGATGTTATCGACACATGCTGATCCTAGCAATATGCAGGACGCGTGTCATACGACCTTCATAATAGACCTCGCTCACCGCAGAGTCTCTGTGACTCAGTGGTAGAGCATCGCAGTGCGGTATTCGAAGGTCTGAGGTTCGATTCCTCATGGGGACTCAGATTTTTTTTCTTTGTTTCACGCTCGTGACAAGACGCAAAAACACCATTCCCCGATAACCATAAGTTTCATTCAAAATTAGTTCCATCACCACTTGGATATGTGTCGGTTGAGTTCCATATTTGTTTGTACAACGAGGTACATGGTGAAAAGTATCAGAAGAGTTGACGAGGGCCAACCTAAAGAAAAAGAAATTACAATTAGGCTACATGAAATAACACGAGAGTTTTCAGTTATCAAAGTACCGTATAAGGACCACATCGCTTGCCGTATCCCCTGTCCCCTTAGCAAATTTTGTCGTCTTACGCAGCACAACAAAAACCAAATGTTTCGAATCCTAAAGAACGGGAACGGCAACGAAACTTTTTCCTAATTCTTTATGTCACGGACCAAAAACCATGATTATCTCGGAAAATTTAGCTTAAGATACTAGATTTAAACAGCAAATTAGGCAATAATTATAACATTAAAGAGAAGTTTACTATGTTTTTTTTTTTGAACATACCGAAATATAACATTCTCTTGATGTAAAACCAAATGGGTTCGGATCCACTCAAAAACACTAGGTTACTTAGAATCAAGCAGGACACAGTCACAACACCAAACATGGCGCGAATTCGGCGGGATGCTGCTGGAGAAAGCTTGTCCTGAAAAGGAAAGAAACCAAACGGCTGGAACTAAAAGCATGAAATGTGTTATAACAGCCGCGATGGAGGCCATTGGGTATGATAACCGATAGAGAATCGCGTCTGAAGATAGCAAGTTAAGACTATCCATGAAATTAATTTTACTGATGCTGGAACAGACATACAGCATTTTTATTACGTTGCATTATGACAAGCCCTTACTGGCACTTCACGCTACGGTACCATCCAGTGAACAGGAGCAGCTCTGTAACTGAGTACTAATGGGTTTCCAAAAGGGTCCCAACTGATAAGCGGCCATAACATTTAGACGTTAGGCGTAAAAAATTCACACAACCGATAGTCATAACGGTCAAAAGTTAACCGTAAAAAAATTTCTCGTGACCACAATAGAAAGATATTAACCATTAGCCGTAAAAGCCATCGCCCAATTGAGACCCTCTTCCAAGTGGAATTGGACCGTTTTCAAAAGAAGCTTGAAGTAATCACTTTAATCGAGATTTCATTCGAACGCAAATATACCCACCTCCAATCGTCTGACAGAAGGAAGCTTTAACACAATGCCTGCCATAGATTCTACCACAACTCCAATCCAATTAGGGATGAACCACCATACCGTGTGCGCATGCGCGCCATGCCACAGCCATATAAAGGCAAAAGCGGAAAACGAAGCTACAATTTGACGAAAAACACCTGTGCGGGACCCTCCCAGAGGTATGTAAATATATCTGCAACAAACCATAGAATGCCTATCAATACACACGATGCACAGTGAAAGCAGCATCTATTTTGACAATCTTTCATTGACAACCGCGCTCGCTTTATTCATCAGCGACGAAGCTTAAGTTGAGAATGACAAAGAAAGCTAGCTAATGAAGGTCCTTCAAACCCACGACAACAACCTTATCGTATGTCAGATTTTTAACATAATCATAATAATAATAATAATAACATTCACTGACCGCTCCCCCAATGGAGCTTTTCAGTCAATACAAACAAATTAGTGACGTACATGAACACCGTGTTTGTAAATCCCAAAGCGCAGCCAAAGCATCGAGCACGGGGCAACTGAGAACAATCCAGTGAGTGACGGGGTGGAGGGCATGAACCTGGAACCACCAGATTACAAGCCCGGCGCCCTAACCACTCGGCCATTCTGCTTTCCTTCCTTCATCTGCTCTGACACTTAATAGTGCAGCTTGATTATCAGTACTTGAATATGGACGTTCAATAGAAAATTACTGACCTTTTCATCCAGAAATTAAGACCCCTGTCGAAGTATCTGTGAAGTTGAACAAAACGGAAGACATTGTGAAACCATTACATTGTAATTATAGAATACTCTTGAGAGATGGTTTGTTTCTACGAGATTTAGACGATTCCCCTATCAGTAGTAGTAAAGTCAAAGGATGGGGAAATTTTGGGTCTGTTCTCATGGTTTGTTTCTGCATAGCTCCAAGATTTACCGATTGGAACGCTGGATTGGTAAAATTTTAATCTCTTCTCTTTATTCAAGAGCTACTTTCAGTTTCTCACCGACAATCCAAACCGTTGCCTCCAGGTGAAGGATGAGCGAAAAAGTTTGTAACTGATTATTAAATCTGAAAATTTGAAGCCGATAAAGAAACCGTGAAAAATCACAGTGTAAGAATGATGGTGTCATTAATAAATTTACGGAAAGTTGAGCAGGAAAACAATCTGCTTCCTCGACTTAATTCGCAATTTCTGCGCACTGTTCTAAATGAGTGTTACATTCGCCATGGTATTCCATTCTGGAAAAGTGTTAATCTTCTTTGATAATCTCCACCAAGAGCGCGCTCTATACCTGCTGTACACAATCGTGTAGTGTGCTTTCTATCGTGTCACGCGTGTGACGCACCTCTCCCCTTTCTGTCGTTCTCATGCTTGCTGTCCTGTGAAGCCTTCACACTCAAAAGTATTCAATTTCCCAGTCGTGAGAGCGAAGTGGCGAAAGGACACAAAGCTACTTACTTCCACATATCAGTAAAGAGGTATAGTGTCGTGACACATCTGGGAAGTAAAGGAACTTCGATTCTATCGACCTCCGCCAGCAAGGTTGTACAGCGGTAGAACACCTTGTACTTAACAAGAAAGATGTGTAGCTGAGAGTACATGATCCCACACAGGGCCCAATTGTCCAAGGCACTAAATAAGCGAGGGTCTTGAGTAAAGGCCGTCGAGTAGATAAAGTGTAAATAGCACTCTAGGAAAAAGTACCAGAATAGGGTGCGTGCTGTTCCCCATAGAAGGGATTTTACCTCTTCTCTAGTAAACGGCCTGTACGGTTGATAAAACTACGGAATACGAGAATGCATGTATGAGAAACATAAAAATGTAAATAAACTGTATAAAGATGCCATACAGAAGTACTTGCACCCTTTTATAGAAAACCACAGCATTGCTACAAGTGGTTTGGTTTAAAGACACCTGATTGAAAAGCGGTTTAAGAGCAAAACATAATTAGGTTACAGGACAAACTGAAAATGCTAGAATGCAGAACAGTATAACTCAGCAAGTCATACCAAGGTTTAAGTTTGAAGCCAATAAGACAACTTTGAAGGGCACGGGCTCTAGGAACAACAGGCTGGCGAGGTAATCTAGAGAATCGATTCTATTAAGCAGGAGCGTTGTGCTGGTAATCAATGTATAAACAAAGGCTTTAGGACTTGTATTACAATTAACAAAAACCACTTACTGTCCTCTGAAAAGTATCGAAGTCGACAACAGGACCATTGGCAAATAACGGCAAATAAAAGTTATAGACCAGCAGGTCTATAAGCGAATACTGCTTTAGGGGTTTGTCTTTTTCCATCTCACGTGATCGCCAGCAATATTCCATTCCAAAGCTTATGCAGCGGAGATTTCCCATCATGCATACAAATAATGTAAAATTTTTTATCTCTCCGATTGGACTCAGAGGATTAATCTGGAGAAACGAAAATAAGGAAGAAATTTCTCGTTACAAATCAAAATGAAGAAAAATTTGCGACACTTTTCTTTCCTAACTCCACACAGGGCGCACGCTTTCAACCTTGTTGATGTGTATACACTACCCTCGAGAATAGAAACTTCAAGTTTGTTTGCTGTCAGATTTCTCCGTTTCCCGCGTCATCTTTCAAACAGTCTTATTAAAATTACCCGTGAGACCATGAGCTCTGATTCTCTTAAATCATTATAAAATTATACTTGAAAAATAAATTGTTTGAAAGAAACTGGACAGCTCCAACACCATCAACAAGACCCAAATTAACATAACAACAAAAATTAGACACAGACATTTGAATTTACAGATCAATGTCCTTGTCTGAGCAACTGCACACTTACCCCTCCCCTGACCCAGTAACCAAGTCAACTGATAAATAGTTAGAATTTATGTTGGGTCAGGGGAGGGGTAAGTATGCATTTACTCAGATACTGACATTGATCTGAAGTTTCTTACCTGCCACATTCTTACTGAGTGTATCTGTAGAGAGAGAACAATACCAAGAGAGCAGATCCACATGGCAATGATTGACTTGAACATGAAACAAGAGGCATAAACAAGCAGGCAATGTCCAACCATGAACAAAACTGGTTTGAGGCTGGTGATATAAAGTAGAAATGATAAGGCAAAGGCAAGGCAATACAGTGGTTTGAGCTAAAAAGATAAAGACAAACACATTAGTTAATTCTATATAAATTACAACCTCTCCAACACACCCTTTGGTGAAAGAGGAAAGTGGCAGTTGAGGAGGTAGGGACCTCAAGCAAACCACGTCTGCGATGGCAACACAGGCATGGCAAAACAGGAGATCTATTGGGCATAACAACAGTTGAGCGCAAGTGTTTTAAAACTTTGTACATTTCTTAGCCGTCCTCTGCAAAACAACAACATGAAATAACCAAAATTTAAGTTTTCTCAGACTGATAACAGAAACCATGACAGCAAATTTATTAAGTTTCCATTTGAATAATCAACACTGCTCACATACATTATGCAGAAATTGAGGTATGATGCCATAAGAGACAGTAAACACATCCAGCCATTTGCAAAATTCTAACAAGAAACATGAATCATTTTTTAATTGACATCTCCCTTGGCATTGCTGTTCTGAGAGCTAAAGGTCCCTAATATCCACCACTAGCCAGCTCCCCTTCAATGAGTAGTTGTTCATGAGCATACACCACACAGATGAATAGTGCTTTTTGCACGCACTGATTGGCTTGTTCAGAAATGATTAGCAAGTACTGCTCACCTCTACTTTCATGAATAATAGAAAATAAAAGGTTATGAACTGGGTGTTCTCTGTTAACTTGTTCCAAGAAGCTCAACATTGTTTATGCATCTTGAAAAATTAAGCAAATTTTCTTTTAAAGTTCATGATTAACACATCTGTGCTAATCTTGGCAATTCTCAGCCCTTCTCATTCCTTTTTGTTTAATTTTCCTGATATCACACTGATATTTTAAGGTTTCCCTAATACTGAAGGTAAAGTGAAAAATACTACTGAAATTCCATGATGTGGCTTTTTCATCTGGGAAATTGCTACTAGACTTGGTAAAAATTAAATTTCATTTCCATGAGATTGAGTAGATTCAAGAAAAAAAAAGAGCTCTTTCACATTTCACCTGTGGAATAAATCTTGAGAAAAAGAGTCCTCCAAGCATGTGAACCAACATGGCAGGCATCAAGGATTTTATTGCACTTATCCAAAATTCCCACTCAAAATCAGTCACATCCTGCCAACAATAAAGCAAACAAGCAAAAAAATTAGCAGATCATACAACATTCCCTAAACAAATGGAAGGAGCACAGACAGAAAAGATACAAAACTTATCAGTCCTTTAACTCCCAAAATCTAATTTCTAATTCTCCCTCCCAGCTGCTACACATTTTCTTGTAAATTTGTTAAGAGAATTTGGTGTTACATCACTACAACAATCTACATGTTTTCTAGATGACGTATAGACAGTGTAAGAAGAACTAAACAGGGAGAAGGCTCAATTTCTCAGCCTGGTCTGTAGTACGCACATCAGAAATAATCAGTGACAAAAAATAAATATTGTCTGATTAACACTGGGAAAAGAAGTTCATGCGGTTTTTAGTTTTTTGTCACTGATGACTCATTCCCATGATGGACTGTGCCAGTGGTTGATAATCAGGCCAAGTATTAATAACTGGGATGTCTAACCTTTTTTCTTCCAATAAATTTCCATCCCTCCTGTAGGTCATCTGCATAAATCTCATCTTTATAGTCTGTAAAGATTTGAGAGAAAATCTTTTTAATTGCCACTCAAGAGTTTATGGAGTTTATGATTTCTCAGAGCCATTGAATCGTAAGATAGTTATTTCAAAAAAAAATTGATATCTTGCTTGAGAAAGACCACCATTGGCTCCTTCAGTTTGGATTTCAACACATGAAATCATCAAAACTAGTTAAAGGTTGTCTAGAAGCTTTAATTCTCTTGCTTTCAAACATGACTGAGATAAAAAAAATATATAGGAAAAATTTAAAACTTTTATCATAAAAAGAAGACTTCTCATTAGTAGCTCAGGCCCACAGTCAGTTGGCCAGTGGCTGACAGATGCTCAACTGATACTCAAGTCCCTTGATGTCTCAGTTGAGATGTCTACTAATGTTGGTCAAATATCAGCGGACCATTGCTCTACTACTGGCCACATATTGGCTGACTACGAGTCAGCATATTGGTCAATTATTGGTCAAGATGTAAATTAATGCATCAAGTATATCGACCAAAAAGGCCAAATGAAGTACACATAATTCCAGAGAAATTGTATTTTTATTTCATCAAATGCCTTTAAGTAATAATGGTTTCAAATAATTCTTCCCTCTAAAATTACTGAAGGGTTATGCTGGGTATTTTCTACAGCAATGAATGCCTGAGTTGTTTGGTTTCCTAAATTATAGAAATATAATGAAATAAATGTCATGTCCATCTCTGAACAAATGTACTTCTTAGCAACAGAACTATTTTAAGCTATGCTTTGGTCACCTTCAGAAGCTTTGTAAATGCTGTACATGGCACATGATAACAAAGAAATCCACACAACCCAATAAACTGAAATCTCAGCCAAAGGTAGAGGGCCATGTTTTCTGTTCTGATGATCACTACTCTTGTTTTCATCCACATTTTCCATGTCAGAGGTGGACATCTACCATGAAAAAAATAGTAAAAATGTGTTGGGAGTAATATATTAAGTGAGAGCAGGATTTGTTCAGAAACATAACTTAAATAAAAAATGAAGATAATCATGAAAAAAAAAGATATTCTACAAAATTAAAAATGCATTAATGTAGTTTGATTAATCCAGCACCAAAAAATGAATATGTATAAATATGTATTGGTGTTAAGAAGTAAAAGTAAATTTTTCAAAGACCACAAAATTGCATGAGCCACAAGGGCGAGTGCAATTTATTGTATTTGAAAAATACTCATTTACACCAAATTGCAAGAAAGATCATGTTGTTACTCGTTGATAATTTACATGAAAAAAGCATCACTGTGACAGTAAGTCATGACAGGTAAAATTTTGACAAGGTGCACACCATCAGCAATTTGCACAACTTTGTTACAATTTTGCATTCATGTTACATAAAAAATGTCCTCATTTTCAGCCAATCAGATGCTGTAATTTTTCATGTATATTATTAGCAGTGGAACTAGACTAGAAGTGAAATTAAAGGAGTTCAGTAGGCTGGCTGATATCGAACATCACTTGAAAAACAAATTCAGTCTTACGGCAAAGCAAGTCTGATATGTTAATCATGAGTATAATTATAGGCAGAACTGGACAACACAATGTCCTTCTTAATATCAAAACTATGAGTAAATTTGGGAAACAAATTACCCATTCATATCCCCAAAACATATTCATTACGTGCAAAAAAAAATTGACTTTTTACCACAAGGAAATAAACCCAATAGTCTATAGTAAAAGCAATAGAATCCACTACAATGATGTGTACAGTGCAACGACACAGGCATGACACTTAAACTGTAGAAAAATTTAAAGTTGAGTCTTAAGAAGCTGGATACAAAAACTGTATGCAGAAACACTAAGTTCGGAGATCTGCTTCACTCACCTCGATCAGTTAGACATCTGAATGGAAGAGAATTATTTATTTTGCGTGATCATTGTTGATAGTTTTGAAACCGCGTGAAATTACCGATACATTTAAACTCTACAATGTCTTCATTGTTATTGAACATTCACAATCAACGTAAACTCCAGTTTACGTTTCACAGGTCTCTTTGGCACGTAAATCACACGCGCGAGGCACAGAGAGCTGAATTAGATAACAGATATAAAACGTATCTCATGGATATGTACTTACCTATTAAATTTCCCCGCAGAAACCAGCTGTTCCTCTTTTTTCGGCAATGTTCACTATTCTGTGCCACATGGAAAGGCAACAGCTGAATTATAGATCCGAAGGAAGTTGGTTTACAACAACATCAAATCCAATCGCGCACACCTTTGCCCCTTTCCGATATGTACCCACGTACCTAAATTTGTTAAAAAACCTTACCTCCTTCTTAAGTCTATCGCATAATATTCCACTGATACTACTACATTTTAGAATCACATTCATGAGGAATGAACCTTAACAGTCACCAACAGCTGAATCGATATCATTAACTTCCGGTTTCAGCTGGTTAAACAGAAGCCTTGATTAACTGATCAGCGGCTGCCAAACGCACGATTCTGAACACTCTTTATATTTTCTTAACTAAGCGTCCATGAGCATTAGTCGTCTCCAGACCCTACTCCACTATTTCCACTTCGAGAAAATTGTTTTAAATGTCATCCACAGTCAATGGACTTCCTTCGGGAACAACGAGATCTCGTCTGACATTTCATGGGGAACAGGCCATTTCACATTGCGCTATCAGACCCCCTATCGGTGGGTGGAGTTGGGCCAGAATGATTTAAATGAATGAAAAGCTGAAAACTATGTGTTGGGTAAGGCTCAAGAGAATATAAAACTCTTGATAAAGCTTCGACATAAGAATCAAATCTGGTGTTCTAAGCTTTTATCTTACGTCTTCAAGTTTGAACGAATAAACCAAAATGACAGACAATCAGATTATTTCCGACCATTTTCGCAAGTTTATTTCATTATCTCGGCATGCTTACAAAGCAAGAAGTATCGTAACCCACACGCATTTAGCGCTGTGTAAGTGATATAACGGACCTAGTGAGTTTCTAAAAGTCTTGACGCCTCTTATTTATGAGACTGAAAAACTTAAGGAGAACATGTTTTCGAAGTAGTTCATAGATATATAATCTGGGTATTTTTCGGCGACGAGGTGCCAGACTGATATGAGGATTCCTCAGTTATCGACATGTGAAACTGAAGACCACTACTCTTTGGATGCAGCAGCATATCGCTGAAAATATTCGTTGATGAAAAAAGCGCAACTCTTTCTATCCTCTTTGTATACGCGTGCCTCCCTAACGCTTCCCTGTTAGTGCGGCAGAGATGAGAGGGGGATGGAGGTCCTAAGCCTTGCGTAATTTCTTTTCATCAAGAATCTTCACCAGCACTGGAATTAGACATGAGGTAGGTAAATTCTGAAAGGAAGACGGCGGGAAAAAAAATTAGCGAGAAGCGAGGTAATATAGCTCACCTTATAATTTTACAGTTCTAATTTTTTTATCGCTCGGGAGGAGGAGGAATTTTTTTTTGGGGGGGGGACGCATGGCTTTCAGGGAGAGCAGAGGGAAGGTCTGTCCTCAAAAACAAAAAGTATTAAGGGGGCACTGTATGAAATTGACTGCCAGTCACTGACTGCCAACGAGGTGTGATCATAAGAATGTTACAGAACCTAATGCATAATGCGGGGATCAGGTAACTTTAATCGAGCCACAACGAAAGTTATACCCCCTCCCCTCCCCCCAGACGATAAATAATGACCATTCCCTCATTCACTTTTATTTTTCTTGCTTTGTCTTTGTGTTAGGTTTGTTATCATTGTTATGTTATTTTCGTTGTTGTCGCAGCTGTTGTTACATGAATCGTCGGCATAAAAATTTACCTGCAAAGGTTATCTTTCTGTCTGTCAGAAGACCTGTTTCTTGTAACATTTTCTTAAGCTCGTCGTCAGGGATACCAGCACCTGTAAGTCCAAGTGCTTCTCTTAGTTCACGTGACTCGATGTACCCTTTATTCTGAGCGTCAAAAATATGGAAGGCAGACATAAGATCTTTTGTTGTGTGGCAGGAGTTTTGACGGTCTTCTTCGTTTATTTTCTTTTCCTTTAATTTTCTGTGGCCTGAGAAAAAATGAATGAAATCAGGGTTTCTTGATATCTTCAGATAAGATAAATAAGGACTAAAGGTGAAGAACCTGTTATTACTTTTTGCCTGGGAGGGGGGGGGGGTCACAGGTCTTTGGTTGTAGGTCCCACAAGGCTCTGTAATATTTTTGTGATCTTCTCTCATTGGCATCTGATTGGAAGTCAATTTTCCGCAGACCCCCTTCACACTCTGTTCGTTCCTCCTGAAAACCATGTGATCCCCCAAAAAAATCCTTCATCCTCCCCCCCTCCCCCCGTCAGGCGATAAATACCGACTAATCTCTATTTTTAAGGAAATCTTTGAGGGAAAAATCATTGGGAACATTTCGGCTGAAGCGCTTTATTCGAAGACTAGGAGCACGCAACGAATTAGATATTTAGCGTTGAAAAAAGAAAACATCTAAAGGAAGCTTTAGGTTTAGGTTTAGCTTTATAAAAAATTTTAAAAATTTTCCTTCTACGGACTCGAACTCGTTACAAAAAATACTTTTAATGGCTTATATTATAGACAATACAAGCTATTCATTTAATATTATGAAGCCATACAAAAGGTGATTTTGAATATATTTTTGTTGGGAGCTAGCTGCTTACTGCTTTAAAATATTGAAAAAATAATCTTACCTCGAGATACCATCTTAAGAAAGCGCGTTATATTCAGCTCAAGCTTAGTTTCTCACTCTGATCTAAACGGGGCATGACTGACAACGTGTTTTATATCCTAGCTAGGTGGTAACTACGACTCGTGCTTCTGTTTGTTATGACGCATTCAAAATACCCCATCAACAGTCATCGTTATTTTTGTGACTAAATTAATCACGTAAACCCCCCTGGGCAGTCACTCAATAAGTCCATGGATGAATTATTTTTCAGTAAATCTATTGGATACTTACGCTATGTCACATTAGGAATACTTCAGAGTTTTAACAGCAAATACGTAATGATATATTTTCTTTAAGTTAATCTTACGTGTTTAGCGGTTGTTTTTCTTCAGTCGAATTTGAGATCAAAGTGTTTTCTTAGTATTCGGCAGTTCACCTGTTCTTTTGCGCCTGTTTGATCAATCCTTTTTTTGCGCACGTAGAACTGGCTATCAAAACAATAACTGCATCAAGTTTTAGCCACGTCCAATAGATTATTCAAAAGCCACGACGGGCTTTTGGAACTTAAGCTGCTGATTTCATGAGCAGGAAAAACATCCATTTAAAATCCTTCGAGTTATTAAGTGATACTTTGTAAATCATTAAACCTCGCTTCGCTAAAACAACTGTTCTGGTGAAGTCAGCGAAACAAATAAACGGGGGAATCTACATTTATTTTGTGACGTCATCGACGTTCAAGTTTCAGTCAACAAAACGCTTGTTTTCATTTAATTTGACTCACATCAGGAGCAGATAATGCCGAATGACAATTCCTCGCTGATGCATCTTAAATTTGTTTTGGGAACAACATCAACACCGTAATCGGGAAATTATTTGGCCGGTTGCAAACAAAAAAATTCAAACTAAAAATACAAACTCTATATCGGAACAACAATTTGATCGAAATTTTTCGAAATGGTCTTCGAGCGAATGTCTTTCTATTCCGATTAAAAAAAATTGAAATCAGCTTTATTTATTAGTTTAAACTAGAATAAATGTTATCCCTATTTGACTCAGCGCTAAAGCTCAAAAGGTTTTACTACTTGAAGATCTTCGTTTGTTGAAGAATAGTTGAAAATCAGTGACTCGGATCCACGAGAGAACCGCTCTTCACTCCTTAATTGTTATTCAAGAGCGTGACTTTGAAACTTACACCATCAATAACAGGTTGTAATTAAAAAAAATAGATTTCTGAAAGAAAGAGCACGTCTAGGGTTGTACATTTTGAATAAGGCCTGGTCTGCTTAGTTATGAAAAATCATACGAGACAACTTTGTAATAATTTGTTCTGAGCCCTATGTGACTGTTAGAGAAAATATTTTTTCCACGAGAAACCCAAAACAGCATAACATTCTGCCTATTTTTGGAATTAGTTCTGTACCCATAATTTAAGTCCACATCTTAGCGCATGTTTCAGTCTACAGCTCTAAAATAAAAAAAACCCATTCTAGTCCAAAGGTTTCATTTATTAACCAAACACGCCTTCCGTATGATTATCCGAATCATCTCAGATCGTCCAAAAAAATGCTCGAGAGATCGGGAAGATTACATGAAAAGAAGGCCAAGTGACCGCTTGACGAACCATGTCAGCAAAAACTGACTTACTTCTTAATTTTGTGTTTTAAAAGGTCGCTAGGATCGCCAAATCGTCTCAAAGTTGATGGCAATTGGAACGATACTGGGAAATCAGAAAGCGGAAGTACTGCATTTTGTCGCTTGTTACAGAAATATCTCTTGATTACGTGACTCTTTTCCTTTGTGCATTGCAGAAGGCCATTGAAAACATTAGGACCAGTATAAAATGCGTAGTCATGGGAAACCAAACGGTTTAACACGTATAAGACACAGTTTGAGTCGAATATCTCCAAATAGCAATTAATTTTCTTGAGTCTTGAATATGCTAATTGCATCTTTCTCGTCAACTTCAAAAATAACATTCAACATCCAAACAAAAGCCACAACAACCATAGCACAGTATTTTCATTTAATAAAGATGTTATCTCTACATTTCAAAATCTGAACAATTGATCCATGGATAAATCAAATAGTTCTAATCATAAGAAGTTATCAACTTTTGATTTTCATAATTTGAAATATTCAGCACATCATGGAATGAACAGACTTCAAATTCAAAACTGAGGATTTTTTGATCTGATGACACTAGGCCTCTATTTTCCTCACTCAATAGAATACTATGTGATGATTGCGGACCACTATTTATGGCAAATAAAAGTGCTACTGCAGACTACAAATAACACTACAGTTTTAACTGTGGCTCTTGTGGGAATGAAAGATATCATATAAAATCAAGCATAACATCCCTTTCAGTTTATCCTAGAAGTGCCATGACACATTAAGTTTACTTAACCAATTCTGAACGATGCTCACGGAAGACATTTCAGCTCATATTTGAGTCATGTTTTACATATGCATTGTACAGCAATGAAAAACTGTCCATGCCAACTTATTCTGAGCTGCACTAGCCTGGAAACTGATATCAATGTCATCATCATCATTTATAAGCCTTACAACAATGTGTAAACATAATTTACTAAAGTACAAAGATGAGAAACAAAAAGGCATGAAGACCCTCCACAAAAACACATCAATTTAACACTGGGGTCACCTCTGAATGTTCTTTTCCTGTGAAAGTCTTCATCAAATATCCATCAGGTTTGACCTGATACAGATTTGTGCATGTTACCAGCTACCTCCACTACCACCACCTCCAATTATTCCACCCCCACCAAACCCTACACCACTACCAAAGCTACGTCTCTCAAACATAGTACACCTATAGTAGTCAGGTTTACACAGATAGAAAGGATCAGATTTGGTAAGATCAAAATTAGAGATACCTGGGTATGTATCTCTTTTCCATTCTCCACGTGATTGTTCTTCCTTTCGCCCAATGTACAGCCCAACACCAACAATAATGATCACCAGCACAGCATAGAAGATGATATACCAATGGTTTGATGCACTACGAATGCCGAAAACTTCACCCATTCGGACAATAGCGAGTTCCACACCTTTATCATAATCTTTCTTTAGCATGTATGGCTTCATTTCCTCAATGATAATATCAATCTGGTCATCGGATAACAACTCCATGGCTCTTTTTCCTGTGGAGACATACAGTTGACGATCTAAAATGGAAATCAGCAACGTGACTCCGTCATCACATCCCGCGTGGCCGACAGCCCAGCTGTCATGTAAATGTTTGGCAAACGTCTTCGCCGTTTCTTCAACAGGTTCACCAGGAATGCCACTCATTTGGTTTAGAACTGCAACACCAATTTGAAATCCAGGTTTCTCATCGTTGCTGCACCCTGAATCAGTATTTTTAACAACTGAATATATCAACTCTTCAATCTTATTGGCAGCCTTGTAGCTGAGAATATTCTCCGGATCACAGATCCAGGAAACCTCTCCTCTACGACCACAACCTTTAACATCTCTCGTAGGATTCGGAAAATCCTCCTTGTACCATTCTCTAGTTGCCCTTCCTTCTTGCAGGAAACAAAAAGCCGCAAAAATAACCAGGAAAATAACAGACGCTAATGCCATCTAGACGACTTTCAATTTTGTTTTGTCACAAGGATGGCCGCTGACTTATATAAAGCAGGCGCGCATCCTTTACGTGGACTACGCGCATTGGCCGCTCGACTTCCTCGCAAGTACCTGAAAATGTTGCGTCAGGGGCTGTTTACAAAAAGGTTCGTGACTAAAACCCTCCAAAAAAATCTGTAGTGCTTCAGGGCTGCAATTCTATCTTTAACCAAGGAAAAGGACCACACTCTTCCACTTTACCTACATGTAAATTTCCTTGTTCTCTCGATATCCAAAAAGGGTTCTTGTGTAAAGTGCATTCTGTTGCTTTCGCAAAAAAGGTTTAAGTTTGAACGGTAAAATGTAGTTCTTCCACCTTAAATATATTAATTAAATATTATAATCAAACCATAGTTAAAATCTTTGAAAAGTTGTAAGTTTGCAAAAAATATGTGATTAGACTCAACTATAAGCAAGTCTCAACTACCAGAGGTGATTAACATGTTACTTCTCCCTAAAATATCTATACATAATTAAACAAATAGGTAATGAGAATACTCAAACTTATCAGGTAGAAGTTGATATCTTGATTTCACAACAAATTCTTGTGACTAATTTAAAAGGAAATGTGTGGCAGCTAAATAGGGAGAAAATCAGATCTTGGGAGTCAAGGGTTCAGATGCTTGAACTAAGTCCATTTTTAAGAAGCTTTTAAACATTCACTTGGTAAAGCTTGGTCAGTTCATGTTCTCATTCAAAAACTCAATTCTCCTGCATAAATTTGACAAATTTTTCCTCACAAAACAATCAGTTCACAGTTATTTGTATTTAATGGCCCACAAATAGCCCAATCACCAATAGCTTAATCAGGACTGTCCAAGAACTGTCCAAGGTTAAACTGAGATTGTCTTCGCTTTATGTTCATGAAAGATGTTTTAACTCTTCCTTTACACTGCAAACACTTTTAAAAGTAAATAATTTGTACATCTCTTTCAAAAAGTGAAGCAGATTAGAATGTCTGAACCTCTATTTCTAGTACATTTAACACAACTTTGTGTGATCAGATAAATCAAATGGAACTATTTTCAAAAAGCTGCACATAATTTTATTACATGTATCAGTCCACAGCCAAGAACCTCTACAAATTCTATTTACATGGAATATTGTGATACAGTTTGAACTTCTTATAAATAAAAATCTGTGATGAGTGATCATGAGGAGGGTAGGTGCTAGTAGTGATGTCACACAGTCTTGAGTTTTGTTACAATAATGACTCTTAAACTCTGGTCAAGTGCCGTACACACACAAAGCCCTTCCTATAAAGAAAAAAACAGTAAAACTGGTGTCAAAAGATTATCAGAGGGAATAACAATGATACAAATAAAGATTTTAGATAATTTAAGTTTGAATTGTTTTGTTTAAGAAAACAATTTTTTGTCCCAGAAAACAACCTCATTACCATCCCCTTCCTCATCCATTGTCCATTCTACAAGTGTAAAAATTTTTCAGTTTGTGTCCCTCTTCCTCCTCAAGAAAATTGCTGACTTTCAGACCCATCCTCTTTGGAAATTCCAATTAGTTCCTCTTTATGGGGCTTCAACAGCAAGTGAATTGTGAAATTCCAATTAGTTCCACTTTATGGGGGCTTCAACAGCATGCGATTTGTGAGGAAACTCTTACAGTAGATCTGATTAAATGAAAAATATCATTTAATTTTAAATATTGACCTTACCATTACATGTATGCCAACTGACCTTATCTGGACTCCAGTCAAAGGAAGTGATTGGTTGAGTTGACAGACTGGCATTTTGCAACATTGATACAGAACCCATAACACCCATATCCAAGTCTTTTGCATCTTTTGTCACCCGCTGGTCTGGATATGAGCTAGGAATATCAAGTAGATTTGTAAGTAAATATATCAAGAAAACAAGAGAACACTTCTGTGCTTACCGATGGTGTGCATTATTTTTGGAAGGAAATTTTCATTTTTGGAGGAATAAGCTCAATATAAGGAGAGTAATTTATTTGACATGTACTTTGTAAGACATTGTTTTCCTAATATATTGGAATCCAAAGAATGGTTGCTCACTAAACTAATGGGAGATAGAAGTGGCTCCTGGTGGAAAAAAAAGTGTTACAAATTATACCACTTACTATTTCCAGAGATTAAGGGACCCAGACCCACCACAGGTCATGAAAATTTCACGGTTTTGTGGCAGATGTCTGACACACCAAACTGTAGACTTGTGAGCCTGTATGAGATAAATGTTATATTAACAACCAAGAAGAGGAAGAAATTTAAAGAGATCAAAGGTAACCATCTCTAATCACACAAAGGCCCAAGAAGAGAATCAGAAATAATTGTTAAAGTAAAAAGGTTAAATATACAATAATTTTGGTGAAAAGCAATTATAGTTGTGGTTAGTCATAAATTTCATTGAAAATAAGAGTGTAACTGCACATTTAAAGTTGTCAGTGTGACCATAAACTACACAAGTAGTATTACATGTTAACTGCAAATCCTGGGTGTTATAAATTAACCCTTTACACTCTTACTAATATCAGTATGCATACCCTTCTCTATAGATTTCCCAAGGAGCTGGCAGGGAGAATTTGTTATACAAAAAAAGAGCTTCTATAGTTGGTGATCATTCCCTTTCTTCTTGTGACCTTAATGTGTGATTCAGGGGTGGTATTGTAAGGAGAAATTAGATGCTGGTCACTCTTTGGAGTCAAAGGTTTAACAGATATAAATGCATATTTAAGTTTCAATCAAATATCACAGAATAAATATTTGCATCAAAGCAAAATACCTTCTCAGAGAGAGAAGCAAATCCTTTCTCAGGATGTTGTGTTCTTACATCAAACACGTGAAATTTTGATTCTAATGTGGTAGCCACTAGCTTGTTCATCATGATATCTTTTCTATCAAATTCAATTCCACAAACCTGCCACACAAGAAAATTGTGAGGTTAAAATAAATAGCAATTTGACTACAAAACTTAGATACAAGTAAAACATTGCTTCAACATTGAATTTCAATGATGTTCACAGTTTTTCTCAAGGCTAAAATCCAACAACAACCACCAACGTTCTAAATCTTGCTTAGCAGCCTGGCTTCTCCTCTTTCTTCTATCTCTTGGTAAGCTTTTTGAAACCTTTCAATGTAGGAGCTCTAGAAGAAGCCATTTTAGACTCGAATCATTATGGTTCATTGTGATATCCCAAGCAGCAGCAGTTCATGTGATTCTCACCATTTGGAAGGGAGTAAATCAAACAAGACAGCATCCTCAGGCAATGTAAGAGCACATTTGAAGACAACTACCGAACAGTTAGGTTTCTTTTAGAATCTTAAATAACGCTAAGTTGTAACTCTTTACACATACTTTTCAATTTGGAATAATACTTTAAATTAAGATCATATTTTTATAATCATATTTTAAAACCATTAATAAATAAATAATAACATTAGTTTATAATTTTTAAAAAGGATCACTTTTATCTATTCCAAGTGACCTTACTTAACCATGGTGAAAATCCAAAAAATAAAGTGATTGACATGTGTTATTCACCCCATTTTTAACATTTGTTTCCCATCGGACAGTCATCTTTTTAAGATCAAACATCTTTATATCACCATTGTCGTAGCCTGCTACAACTGAACGTTCTTCTGTATTGTAAGCATCTCCTGTAATAGGTGAAAATTAAATACACCTTTGGTCAATAAATGAACTGGAACCATAGGAAACACTAGATATTCAATGGATATGACTGTGTAGCAACTAAACTTAAAGCTCTAATTCCAACCTAAAACAAAAATGAAAGAAAAGTAAAATAACATGATTTTAGCCACTGTTAAAAGTTATTAAAAGCAAATGTTTCAAGTGTTAGCCTTTCCAGCTCAAAACATCAGTGGTGGTTACTTTACATTATCAACTCAGAGGATTAAACCAAATTATCTTGTTATACACTGCACCAATGCAGCACCACAGTTTCTATTAACCCTTTAACTCCCAGACCAAGTTTGTGATTCTCCTTACTGTCAACCATACAATTCTTTTAATATTTGTCCAGAGAATTTAGTATTGGATCAACTAATTATCCCCTAATTGATATTTTTCTCCATTCTCATCACTTATCTGGTTGATATTCATCATCATCATCTTTTACTTGCCTTATTTACTCAATACAAAAAATTTATTTACAGCAGTTATAGCTGGAAGGCGAGGAGACCCAGGAAGCCACTGGGCTTATGGAAGAGCCACCTCACTTACATTAATAAATAAAGTAAAGGAAAAGTGCTGCAAGGCTAGGCCAATTCAGTGATTATTTAAGTAAAAACTCTTGCATTTTTGTCTTAAAACAAAGAAGGTTTGATGAACGAGTGACTGAAACTGGAAGAGAGTTCCAAATTTTAGGATTATTATTATCTTTTAGGATCATTATTTTTTTTAATTATTGGCTGTTCTGGTACCATAGTTGTGAATTTGGCTATTTGTTACAAAAAGATTGAGAAGCAATGGAGGCAATAGGTTATTTCTATAATAAAACATGAATTTGGCGATTTCAAATATATTTACCGGTACTTGGAAAATATCTTAAATTCCTAGTTTGGAGAATAAAGGAGCAGAATGGGCTTGATAGTCTGAGTTGGTGATAGCCCGCAGAGCTTGCTTTTGCAAGTAATAAATTCTATTTAAGTTAGATACGTATGTGGATGACCAGGTGCAGTTACAATGGACGATATAAGGATAAATTAAGGTGTAGTACAAAGTGAGTTTGGTTGTAGAGGATAGGAAAAAGCAAGACCTGAATATAATACCTATTGATTTAGCAATTTGTTTAAATATATAGCTGATATAAACAATCTATACAAATACAATACCACACTTTCCTTAGTTAGAAACTTACCTCCTTTATTTATTTTTGAAAGAAAAGTAGATTGATAAATTATGTGAATTCTATAAACTGCAGCAATGCTCAAGACACTAAAGAGATGATGAGTTAATAAGACTTATCAATGAAATTATTTTTACTTAAATTTACAGGCAGTTAAAGGGGAGTATTACAAGAACAGATCATAAGAGTTCACAGGCTTTAAAAAAGTCTTACCGAATGCCACACACCAACAGTCACGTCCCTCTTCACCTTCAGCTGGTGCCATGTTGGCCACAGGTTTGTCCTTCTGGCGAGGATCCCAAACTTTTACAGATCCTGCCAAAACACAAATTAACAGCACCAAAGCCACAAAGTCAGACCTAAAGTTTTCAACCCAAAAATTTGGCTTTTCCTTTGTTCTAGGCACATTACCATTAATAGCACTTAAAAATTGAAAATACAAATCAAACTAATTTGAAACATTATAACTTCAAATCCTTCAAACTATACAACCTACATGTACATTGTCTGTCATGCCTTCAAAGGTCTCTTCAAAAAGAGAAAATGGGCTATCTTTGTAAAAAGAGGAAATTGAAACAGCTGGTCATTTACTCCTTTAACTTCCTGATTAATCTTGCCACTTTGTTACCACAACTGTAAGTTGAAAGAAAGTCTTCCCAGGGGAAGGGGTTCTGGACACAAGTAGCTTTCAAAGCATTACAAGTAATTTTCATGGCAGTACATGGCAAGGTTCCTATCAAGTAATGTTTAGCTGATCAAGGAAACCAAGGCAATCTTAAATTGGTTAAAAGGTCTCTTAATAAGGAAGGTTTAATGTCACTCAACAGCAAGATATATAAACCTATTCTCATGAAAAACAACATGGCACCTTTAGGAGCCAATAAATTTGATTAATTTCTATCCCTGTGTATTTTTATGAAGTTCTTGCTAGTTTGCTCACAGACTAATAAATTTGTGATGATATTTCAATTTATAGAAATTTGTAGCACATTTTCCAATTGTATTTGCAGATAGGCCTTAACTTTGATTTGTTACAAATTAGTTTTGGGGAAAAAGGTGTCACTTAAACGTTGGTGTCTACAATAACTTAATTCTGTTGATAGTTATTAATGACTCACCATCCCTACTCCCGGTGACAATCTCTGGTGCTCCCTCACCAATTCCCAGACCCCCCACACCATCAATAGTATTCACAATCTGTGAGTGAGCTTTCACAGAATAAACTGGCCTCTCTGTGTTTTCAAGATTCCTGAAGAAAACAGTAACAATATATAATTGATCAAGAAAATCAAGGTATACTGGTTTTAAAGTAAAAAACATACAGAAAGGATGATGATTCCAAGAATTATGTATTTGTAACTCTGTTATAACATAATTGTCTGCTACATACCAAATCATCATTTTCCCATCAAAGTCTCCTGTTGCAAGATATCTCTGTTGTAAACTTGAGGCTCCAAATGTTCCACATTTTAGTGCTGTCCTCTTCTCTTCCTGTGACAAAAAACATAATGTATGATCCTCAAAACTATTCTAGTAGAGGCTCAGTGATGCATAAACTTACAATTTACATCAGACAATCTCTTACATTGTGTATAAACTATCCAACATTTTTGTTGTGAGGACATCTTGGAAAAAAAAATTTTAATTGTAACTCTTAATTAAATACTTATGTATCAGAAATTTATGAAAGAAAACGAATTACTTCTTCAAAGTGAGTTTGACAGCTTAGTATTATAGTTTATGTTAAAACTTTTGAGTGATCTGGATACACTGTATATCTGTTTGAACGGGAGATTATAACAAGCAACGAGTGAAGAGTCCCTGTATTCTTCATACGTGTTGATAACATCATTTTATCGGAAGACAGCTGCCGTCTACAAAATACAAATCTCAACACTAACATTTTTCAAAAGTTTCAGTTCCCCCTTCGAAACTTCGTATATTTGCAAAGCTCCTGTTCCACGCGCAAAGTTTCCAAGAACTACAAATCGTGCACTGCAAGGGATCCATCGTGCATCGAATAATGTGTAATCTAAAGATTTAGTAACGTGCTCTATTATCTTAGGTTTATCCACCATGGTTGCGAACCAGGGCAAACACGACCCACTTCACAGCAAATGTACGAAATCTTCCAGGCGTTCTCACCTGGGTAGGATATCGCGCAGGCTTTCGCGCAATGGCCGCTGTACATCATGTCATTGGAGAATGTAGGCACGCAAGACGTTTCAAATATCCCAAATTGATCATAGGGGTTGTTCGAAACATATAGTCACTTTGACATATTTATGTATACTATATTCACTTTCATACTGTCTTCAGTACATTTAGACATAACGATCTACTCCTGCCATACTAATTTTGCTGTCACATTCATAAATAAATTTTGAGCAGGTTGCACCTTTTTTTTCCTCAGTTTTCCTGACACAATTCGTGGCTTCTCCCCGGTGACTTTTAAGGCGTGTGTATGAGAGAGGCTCTTTTCTATTTCCTGTTGACCTTCATTAGTGAATATTGCAAAACATTTCCTCATAAATAGTATGACACTGTTCAGTTTAGAGGGTTCGATAACCTGATTCAACAAATGTCGCATAAAATGTTGGCGGCATCAATTTTAAATAAAGGGGGTTAGTTTCTAAAGAAACTGTGGTGCGGCGTCGGTGGGAGAGTATAACAAAGTAACTCAGGGACCGCGCAGCAAGTTTTCGAGTGGGGGGGGGGCTAAAGAAGAATGCGAGAAGGAAATTTTTTTTGTTAAATTATTTTTTGTTTAATTTATTTTTATTCTTGCAAAAAAGTGGGGGGGTTAAAGCCCCCCCAGCCCCTCCCTCTGCGCGGTCCCTGTAACTTGGTATTTTTAACTGAGTTGGCAACGTAAATTGGCCACCGTAAAGAGTTTTAAAACATACAAACACACACACATAACCCACAATTCCTCTATTCGCTCTAATGAAGGGCTAACGCTCGAAACGTCAGCTTTGAAATTCTTTTAGGTGGCCAATTTACGTTATCAACTCAGTTTTATAATATCAACTACCTTCTCAATTTTAAAAGTCCGTTCGGTCCTTAGTATATATGATACCCAAAAACACCAGCTTACAGGTATCGTGAAAGCCTTCATATCTGAATATTTCAACAACAAATGCAAGTGGTTCAGGAAGACATTTTCAAAGTACAGTTCTCACACGAAACACTAATGAAATTTTTACGCGCTCCTTGATATTCTTTAAGGTGGATCCGCATGGTGGCAGTTACAAACTGACAACAAGTTTGAGATAGCTAAAAATCAACCACTATCTTGCTGAGGTATATCACAACCCATAAACCGAATATTCAGCGATTAATTTTCTCTCCAGGCTTTGAAATTTCTCCCACCATCACATAGTACACTTTGAGCAAACAGAAACTTGCCTCACCTCGTGAGGCAAAAAAAAAGACTCGTCCGACTACTCTCTTGGAAATGAATAAAATGTCACAAAAAAAAATATCGGCAAAATATTCTTGAAGCAAAAAAATGATACAGGAGAAGGTTTAGGGTAAGTTTATTTGAATCAACATCAGAGGTACTGATTTCTTACAAAATTCTCACAGGGGTAAGGATATACCAGTGTAACGTTTTTTGAAGAGAAACTTGTTTACTGCTCAAAGCAGGAGCCAAGCTGAAACGGTTCAGCAGCTTAAGCCAGAGTAAGTAGCCTTTTAATTTTCTTTTGTCTTGTTTACATTATCGTCATCGTTGCCCGCGTCTTCCAGCTCTTTAAAGCCCACAATGCCCCCGATCTTTTTAACTTCTGAGAACAGATCCACATTTTCTATAGGTTCGTAATCTTCCTCCGCCTTTTCGGCGGCCTGTCGGACATGCTTAGCAACTTGGCAAATAGCAGTGTCGAGCTTGTTTCTGTGTCTCATTACAAAAGGACAGATGATGAGGTTGTAAATGACCGCCGTACCACTCCACGGGCCTGGAAACATGCACCAAACGAGGAGGAAGAACTTCAGCAAAAAATACAACGGAATCCACTCAAGAAAAATTTCCAAAAAATTCACCATGCTGAAAACTACCCAGTATGTTAACCATTTGGTATCTTCCATCAGATCGCTGCTTTCGATCGCCTTCACTGATGCATAGGTCGGGAAAACGAAGCCGAGGAAATAGCAAAGAAGGTTCGCAGCGTAACCAACTGACAGGTATAATAAGATGAAACAGAGGCCGCCAAGAAATAGGGTTTGTCTCCTGACATTGGTAGCGGCCTCTAGCTTGTTTAAAAAATCAGTGAATATGTTGCGCTGTTCGAGAAGGTCGTTAACTACTTGAATTGACACACTACGTCGAACAGTTGCTACTAGCCTTTGGCAGATGTGAAATTTAGTCCTTTCCATACTCCATGAGGATGATCTTGAACCTCGAGTAAGCGAGCGACGCCACTAAAATTTGGTCGCTTAATATCTAATTAACAATTTATGATTTCACTAATCAGGTAATTGAATTTAAAGCGCGCAACTCGCGCATGATCTCAAACGGTATGTTAGATGTTGAAAGTTTCACCCCTTACCATCTTTGCGATCTCGCCCCCTGATGTAAACTGTTTTATTTTAGGGGGGCGAAACGTCCATAAACCGTATGTGAGAGTGACGGATGACTCACCACTGATATCTCGGGCGAATGTATCAAATAGACGACGCCTATCTGCCGATTCTCAGGAGCTCCTAAATTTGGAAAAATATAGGCACAAGAAGTCACGATTTTCACATTTAATTCACTGGTAAATATCATATATGAAAGGCACCCGAAAAGCATTTTCTGAAAACCTCGAAAAATGTTGTACAAACTGTCAATATGGATTAGCTTTATGCTGAAGTTTAGAACAGTACTGGAATTACACTAATAAAAATAAAGCCGCCAATAAGTTTTCAACGGAATAGGTAATAAGGGCGAAGGAAGGATTGCGTTTTCCCAAAATCACTCTTTAGAATCTGAAGGTAGAACGTGAGGGCAGACACACAGAGAGACACACCAACACAATACAAAAGATAAAGCGAAATAGCTCAATAGAAAATGGTTAGATACATCAAAGACAAACGAGGATTTTAAATCATACTGACAAACTGCGACATTCACGAAACGTTATTTGGCTGCTTTAAGAAGTGGATCAAACTCCTTATTTGCTCTTTTTCGGCAATGAAATGAGCTGATCGAATCTTTTCGAAAGAACCGTCGTAATGAAAAACGTTTAGTCAAATTCCTTAACCCTAAAATATCACTTTGCCTGCTTGCATCGGATCCCATTACCGGTCACACAAGGCAAGGGTTTTGGATAGTTTGAGTCTTCTTGCAACCATGACAACTCGTTTTAATGCCAACAAGCCGGTAGGAAAGCGGGAATCAAAATTATTCTTATGATTACTTTTTGCAGAGTTGTATCAAAATCAACCTGATATTCTCTTGCCTGAAATAAATCAACCTTGCCGTGCTTTTGTCGCGGCTCGAGCACATTAAGGCGAAACCATAGCTTATGTGTTAAAGGCACCTCTAGTCGTTGTCTTTTGCCAAAAGTTTGACGCATTTCGTTATTTGACGACCGAGCTTAGAAACAACCATCTTTCCAGTTGTATTTCTCCAAATGAGATACACCAGTCACCCACACTTTAAACATTTCTGATTCTAGTGGAAGACAGGACAGTAGAACTTTTAACTCCTGTGAGAGGCGGACCAAGACCGAAGTCCTCCTTACAATATCAATACAAAAACAAGCAGACAAGTGATGAAAATAAAGGGAAATATCGATCAGGGGGTTATTAGTTGATTTAATACCAAATTCTTAGAACTAACGTCATAAAAATTGTAAGGCAGACAGTAAGGAGAATTTCTAATGAGATGTTTGGCTTGCTCTCACGAAAAAGTTCAGGCTTGACTCTGTCTCATATACTCTTGAAAAATTGTTGTTCAGATATGCTGTACTATTGTTGAAATTTGGTGGAAAGGAAATTAAAGCAAACGAGATTACTTCATGCATTATAAACTCTGAAATCTTTAGTGTTTGTATTGGCTGCCTCTCTGTGCTTACTCTAGTTTCATCGCTCAAAATCCTTAGTTGAGTTCCTTCTTACTGAAGTAAGCTCCTTAGTAATTCGCTTTCATTTCAATGGATATCCAAAAAGTCATTATTATCTAATTTTAATTTAGCAGCACGTAACAAATGTAAGGCATTTAAAGCGGTGAGGTAAACCACAGACGCTTTCGATCCAAAACATTTAGCGGGTTTACATTTATTGAGTTTCCTGAACATTTTTAAAGCATAAGGCCGTTTGGAACTTTCATGGGTCCGTTTTGGAGTCAGATGAAAAGTTCAGACAGTTCTCTGTACCTTTGGCTCATTCTGTTGGGTAAGTACCAATTTGTTGTAAGAAACAGAGAAAGAAAAATGTCACAATAACTGCGCTCCGAGAATAGAACTCAATAAAACTTTCTGACCAATCCATCTTCACGTGGTCGTGGGCCTGGTAAAATGTACACAAAATTGTTAAAGGAAATTCTATACCCATATGGTAACAGTGATTTTCTTCGAGAAGTAGGCAAGTGAAGTAATGGCATGACAACTAAGGAGTGCACCCTTATAAAAACAACGTTTCCATGAAGGAAAAAATCTAAAAGAAATTAAGCCTTTGTTGAAATGGACCACAATAAAGTTGAGGATCAAATATTCTCTCACAAGTGAGAGAATCTTTTGAGTAGAATTTTTCCAAAATGTTTTGAGATATTAAAAAAACATGTTTGCTACATTGCTTCCAAGGTTATAGCTCAATAATCATCCCGTGCACATTAACTCCGCCCCATCTGCGTCAAGAACTCAAATTGTTGGACAGAATATTATAACAAAAGATGCATTTTTTAGGCTTCGGCAAGCAGGTTTTTCAGTAGCAACACGGTTTACCCAGAAAACTTCAAAAGTTTTCATTATGTGAGGCTTTGAGCGTACGAAACGAGCGAAACGAGCTCGAAACGAGCTAGACGATTATCCTTTGTAAAAAGTTCATGAAATATTAAAAACTTTCCTAGATTTCGTCATTATATAGCTCTGATTTCAGGGGCCATAAAGGTTGATAGGACATCTTAAAATAAAAGAGCTTAGCATATAGTTGACCGAAGTATATGACCAAGGCCAACCTGAATATGCTCTCGCGGGACAAATTTTTGGAATAAAATATTTGGCTGTGGAGTGAAGTTCACCTGCATGGCGTCTGCGCATACAGCAAGGAATCGTTTACACGAGTAATAAGCAAATTAGATTTGACAATGGTATGCGAATTCCAACTCAAGCACTTTCAAACCAATAAAATCACAATTTAATTTATTTTAGCCGCCACGGAAAACAAAACGATGAACACTGTGTCGGTCACCGGGAAGATCCATTAAAATGTAGTGAACAAAGTGACTCAGGATTATTTCGTGTAAACACATAAAAAACTTGCCTGAAAAGAAAAAATCAGTTATTTTATTTTCTCGAGAATAAACAGGATTGTACAGATTTCCGTATAACTCTAGATTATTCAAAGCTGTAGTTCCAAAGGCAAGCTGTTTTTGCCATTGTTTTCTTTCTCCAAGAACTATAAGCATAATGAGATATAGAGCTGTGCGGAAATCTTGCCACACAATTAGATACGTTGAACAGTTTATAATCAAGTCAAATCCTCTATTGAAATATCGCAAAATGACAGTTGGGCGGCCTAAGCATCTACTAAAGAAGGAATGAAGACTTAAAACCATATAATCCCGAATACGCCTTTTTTAATCACTTTTGAGAGGAAAACCGTTCAAAACATCCCAGTAATCCAGTCTGGCGCGATTTCATTTGTGCTCTTTTTTTCTTTGTTCATTGTGGACAACATCATTATCATTTATTATTACTATTATTTGAGTCTAACATCTTTCGGCTGAGGTTTCACTTGTTAAAATCTCAACTCCATTGCTTTTTTTTTTTTTTTTTGCTAAATTTTTTAGTGTCATTAATTTGTTTTGTTAAATCGTTTCACTGAAGTATTAATTCTCTGACGCTTCTATACTCAAGATTTTATTGACGAGTTTGAGTAATCTATTAATGACTTCAATAAAGGCAAGATTTTGACGCAGAAATTGCGGCTTTAAATGTTCTCGCTATCTGAAGGGTCTCCAGGGGTGACAGCTTTTACGGTTGACGGTTAATTTCTTTCCGCGTCGATCAAAAGAAAATATTTTACGGTTAACTTTCTTGACGATTTACAGTTGACTGTTAATCGCATTGAGACCCTCTGTCTAGGTCACTTATCTGTCATTGGAATTGTTAAATTTTCAGCTAGATCTGAAAAGCAGAAACACCAGAATTACTGTGACTTTATGACACAAGACACTCCAAATTCCTGTCCCCCCCTCCCTCAAGCACATGCAAACAATCGCTAATAAATGTTTTTTCCACTTTTCGATTCTTTTCTAGTGTTCTTTCCCAAAGAGACACAGCCACTAAAAATACTATTGACTCCTCGCCGATCTTCACACTCAGTAAAGGTTGGTGAACATGTGACACTGATATGCACAACAGGGCCAAGTGTTAAAGCAACATACAAATGGCAGAATGATTTAGCTATAGGAACAGGAAAAGAGCCGAGTATGATAACAGGAAATGCTACATTGAAAATATGGAAGACAAAATTACATCACACTGGAGTCTACAGCTGTACAGAAACACGAAAGGGAGAAGAAATTCTACAACAAACCCGTTCGGTTTTGTTAACTATCGTAGGTAAGACTATTATTCTGTTACGATTTAAAGGTATTGTTTGTCTGGTAGGTTTAATGTCATTAGATACATAACTTACACAAGTTTTCCTTTGTTCTATGGTAATCGAATCAATAAGAAACTGCACCTAACAAAGATCTTGTTAATAGAGCACTTGCAGCCATTTTAACTTCTTGAAGCGAACAAAACCGCTTACTTTTTTTGCGAAGACCCCGAAGTTGTTCTGATAGCGAGAGCTAAAAGAAAATGGAAATCAAAGATATCCAGTTAATCACACTTTGAATTAAAGATAGTCCTTTGGGTCGAGGCCCACGCATGAAAGCGAGACGAGTGTCAGTCAGTCCTGGATGGAACCCGAACCCTGATATCGTATGACCTATAGATCAACGCGACACAAATAGTATAGGTTCTTCAAGCGTCAAACGTAACCAGAGATTTATATTGGAAGCTCCGATATGCTCACCTGGCGTGGGTTAGCGTTTATAAATGTGTAACAATGAACACTGACAGACTGCAATGTCAACACTACAAACCAAATATTCATAACATTTTCCAAACCAAACTTCTCTATACCACTAGCTTCTTCGCAGCACCTCGTGTGGAGAATGGCCAATTGACCTTAATTGTTATATACATGTTTTTAATTTTAGACATGTGCCATGAGGCCACAATTACGATCCAACCCACCCTAGCAAGAATTTATTCCGAAGGAACAGACCTCACATTATACTGTGAGTGTCCTAGCAATTCTAATGAAAAGACCATAACATGGATCAAGAACGGTGCCAAAGTTACACCACATAGCCGCCAGAGTATAACTTCGGACGGCAAAAAATTGATGCTCAAGAATGTAAAGTTTGCTGATAGTGGTAAATACGCTTGTAATGTTACAGTGGACAGGATGGTGACAGCGACATCAAAGGAACTTGAGCTTTGGGGTACGACCCACAACTTTTATAAGTGGAAGTGTATCTTTTCAAAAGACTAGTCATTTTACATTCACCAAAGAGAGGGGGGCGACTTTGGGGGTCACATGGTTTTCAGGGGAAACAGAGTGGGGGGAACAGTCATCGCCGACAGATATAAAGGGAAACTAGAGAAAATGACTGCCAGTTAACCGTTTATGAGAGGGGGTGGTGTTAAATAGACAGGGACAGTAGAATTAAAGATTTCAAGAAACTCACGGTAACTGGTTTGACGCGCGACTAACGCGCCTGCGCTCTGAGACATTTTAAAGTGGTTTTAACTAACTGTGCCTACATTATACCGCTGTTGATATGCGTCTAGTTAATGTTCTATGACGCACGTGCTCATGAGCGCTTGTAATCTCCCCTTTGAGTAAAACTTTGCTAGAACGCATGATGATGAGGCTTAGACGGGTTAATTCATAAATATACCAAAGAATAAGAATTTGGAGAACACTGAATACCTTACTTACATGACGTGAAAATCACAATATGTCTTTTTTTCCTTTTCAGTGGGAAACAAACCAGAAATCACTGATTATCCACCGGAAGTAACGCAATTTAAATTGTGGACACAGTATATTTTTTTGACTTGCATAGCAGAGGGAGTACCATACCCACGAGTAAAGTGGTACTACAATGGCGGGCCTAATGAGTCGCAAATTCCTGTGCCAAACGACGGAACTAATTTCACGGTCTTTGACAACGGGACCATGGCAATAAGGGAATTCAGATCATATCATGTAGCTGTCTACAAGTGCGTGGCTATTAATATCCTGGGGTCTACGAAGAGGATAATTCATATTCAAACCCCAAGTAAGTTTAACCCGCTGACAATGAAGGCGGCAGCGACGCGAAAGCGATTGGAGAGAGAGAGAGAGAGAGAGAGAGAGAGAGAGAGGAAGGGAGAGAGGGAGGGAGAAAGAGAGTGTGGAGCGAGTTCTCTAATCTGACCTAATCCTGGTGGAATGAGAGGTTACTCAGATACTTCCAAGAACAGTGTTCTATTTACAGAGTCATGTGATCTCCGAGCAGTTTTTTATGTGTGCACTAATGAATTTAGTTTTTCGTGTGCAGTAAAAATAGAAGTACAAAGAAAAGTATCAGCAGCTGAGGGAAAGTCGTTCAATTGGCGCTGCACAGTCGAAGGTCTTCCAAAACCAAACGTCTACTGGGCGGATGCAAAGAGAAATGAAATAAGAGAAGGCACTCGATTCATAACAAGGTTTGCGGAGGAATTACGAATACAAAATGTACGCATGGGTGACTCTGGGCGGTACTATTGTGTCGCTTACCGTAATGAAACTCGTGAATCCAAATGGACTGAATTGAGGATGGACGTTTATGGTAAGTAGTGTTGAGAATGTCCAGCTATAGCACCTATATCATTAAACAGGGGAAAAATAAAAAGTGCCACGTTACATTATGCAGCGTCAAGTCAAGTCAAGTCGTATAATGAGATTATGATAAAGATGATAATAAATCATAATAATAATAATGATGATGATGATGATGATGATGATGATGATAATAAGGATGATGATAATAAGATTGAGCTTAGCCTAAACTTCTAATGTTTTTTTCCCCTCCCTTGATAGGGCCCGTACCCTAATGAGTTTCTTTTAAAACTCTCCGCATTCAAACCCTACTTTAAGGACCTTTACGAAAATAAACTCTTAAAAAAAAAAGAATTCATCCGGCAGTAGCGGCTGAAAGCAAAACGCGAACTCGAGGTCTGGGCTGGTCTTTTCCTAAATTTTCTTTTTTTTTTTTTTTTTTTTTTTTACCACGTAAAAATCATACATAGCCATCCAATATTTGATTAAAATAAACTATATAACTATAGCAGCCTCAGAATGCCTACCCAAAAACGCAAATACTGTATTCTTATCATTATTATTATCATTACTAAAATCATTACTATTTTGAAAAAAAGCATTACCTATTTTATATATCGCCTTGTCGGGTTACATCATTCCGTGTGAATTAATTTTTTTTTCAATCCATGACTCTGTCTTATTTCTTATTTCTTGGCTCTTATACGTCACAATAGAATTTCATCACAACCATCACAATGCATGTTTCTGGCGAGCCGGGGAGAAAATATAATCATTTCTTGCCTGAATATTTGAGACCAAATCGTCAATTAAACTTCTTTCTTCTTCATTCAGAAAATGACAGCCTCACAATCAAGTCTTCTCCCAAGAATATAACACACGTGTTTACTGGAACAATGGTAACGCTTAGGTGTGAGTTTGACAGTAAAGCACCTTTTACCACCTGGTGGGGCATTAAAGGTTTGGAAGGGTTGCCAGATTACTATAGAATGAGAGATTATGGCTCCTGGTTAGAAATAGATGATGTGGGGGAGTCGGACAACAACGTTTATTACTGCCGCGCATCGAATGGTTTCAAAACCGTCACGGCTTACACTCATTTGTCAGTGTATAGTAAGTGGAGGACATGATTACTCAGCCTTATCAATTCACTATTGTCATTTTACCAAATAAGGTCACGAGAATGTGCAAAATATGCCACGGTATTACTCTGGGGAACAGGGCAAAAATACGAGACAACAAAATGGCTATACTGAACGATTCAAACTTTGATTTTCTTTTCCCTTTTTTAGGCTTACCTTTTAAAGAAACCAACTTTAAAGCGTAACAGATTCTTTGTTGGTCACAAAGAACACTTAAATGGTTACGTTGGTGTTGTTTCAGCTTGTTTTCGTCTTTTAAGTACTCTTTGTGGGATCGATACAATGCCCAGATAAGGCCTTAAGATGTATTTGGCAAACTAAAATCAAATACTAAAAAGTGAAACAATAGTGGAATAATAAATCCCTTAATCGATGTTTTAATATGTAATTCGAACGGACATTTTGTTCATAGCACCCCTTCGGGCTTCGGAAAAATACTGCTCAACTCGTAAAATATCCGAACTTATTATATATAAAACGATAAAAAAAATGTGTACATATTCAGTGAGGGGTCCTGTTTTTGTCTTTTGTTTGAAAATTCATTATGCTTCGCTGTGGTGTCAAGTCAGAAAATTCGTCAGGTATTGATGAGTCGATTAAGTTAAAAATAAGCTGAAAAATCAATAAATTTCTGTCCTCAGAGTCTACGGAATGGAAACCGAGCAACATAACAGTTCACGTCGGAGACTCAGTTTGGTTTCACTGTGATGCACGAAGGGTCCCTCGATTTCCATTCAAAGTCGCGTGGTTTAAACGTGGACAGGGTAGTAAAATGCTCGACAAGAAAAGGTTCCGTGTTATTGCGAACGGTTCGATCCACATAACTGATATTCGGCTCAATGACGAAGGAAAGTATTTCTGTATTACCAACAAAAACTTCAAACAGACCTTTGGAACGCGGTATCTTCTAGTTAGAGGTAAATCCTGTCAGAGTTACTTTGGAATATTTCTTAATGTTACAAAAGAACCACTAAACTTCGTGCAAGGTGTCACTAGCCGTCTAAGAAATCCTTATGCAGGTAAATTTGGGATAGGTTTTATAAAAGTGGTTAGTTCAAATCAATAATAATAATGCAAAACAAGAGAGAAAAAGTGATCCCATTATATTCTCCTGCATGAGACCAAATAAGAACGTCAGGGCCAAGATTTTTGGGTCAACTGACTGCCGCGTATATCAGCACATTATTTTTCGGTTGTTGACATTAAATATGGTCCTTCTAGTGAGAACGTTGGTACAAAATCAGGATCCGCTATTCCATTTTTTAAGTAGTAACACTTTTCTCCTCGGCACAAATAATGTTCAAACAAGCTAAACAAGAAACTTAGAATTTCAAAATTTAAATGAGCTGTTAAGTATTGGTCACGAAGTGAAAGTGGGCCGAACCCATGACGGCTGGTATAGTAACCATTATAACAGACATTTACACACATCTTCAAAACTTTTTAATTCATGTATCATATTTACTTTTACAGAAAAACTCAACGGAACCAAAGAAACACCACATCAACTTACGGCTGCGTGCAAGAAATATCGAAGTCATTTTCCTGTAGTGATTTTCGTGGTAGTAGTGATTTATGCTGTACTTCTTTGACATGCGCAATCAAACATTCTTATTGTTTTTTCTTTTATCGTTATTGTGGAAACAACAGCTGTCATTTAAATGTTATTACGGCCACACCATAGAGAGTGGCCGACAGTGTGCTGCTTGTTGCTGTTCTCATATCCCTCATGAGCTGAAATTTCAGTCTTCTTGAAATACAAATGTAATTATAGTTGGCCACGGAATCCTCTTTAAATGCTCAATAGTTACAGGTACTGTCCCACTCCGCGAGAATGTTGGAGATGAAGCACCGCCTTGTATTATTGTAAAATTCTGATAAAATCATTTACCGAGATCTTGTGGTGAAGGAAAAGAGCGTTCAACCAGCGGGGGTGATTTTTTTTTTGACATAAAACATGATTTAGATTTGAAAAATTCAGGTCATCAGGCAATAAATGATAACAAAGCAAACGAGAAATGAAGTCTTTGATTGAGGAATCAGTGAATCAATGAATCAGTGACACTATCATGAAATCGATGAATTAAGCAACTTAGCACACTCCCTTAACCACTAAACTATACATCAACCCACTCACTAACCGACTAATTAATCACTCACTATGGAATGACTGATCAATTCACTGACCAGCGCCTTTCAACTGCTACAACGCTTAACGTTGCACTGGTTGAATAAGGAAGAGCGTTACATCATCTCTCATAGATTTCACCGGTTTTCGCTGGGCTGCTGTCTAAACGTGACACAGGCGTATGTTCAAAGACGCTCTTGGCCATTCATTCAATGACATTTGCGCCGACTACTCGGAATCTTCGCGCGCTTTTCTCTGCCCCAGTTAATAAAAAGAAAACTCGATGCAATGGCGAGTCGGAGTATCAAAACATGATAAGTTTAAAGAAATGCGTAGTTTTCTGATGTTACTTATTAAAAGTGAACTGATTCATCCCGCCATGTTTAGCAAGTTTTTGGCTCAAAAAAAAAAACATTTGATCATTTAGTCTGATCGTCCATGTGAGAATAGTTTTGTAAAAGACTAATTATGGTCGCACGGAGACAAACCTACGTATGCTGAGCAGAAGTAATCATTAGAGTCAAGTCATTATTCAGAGTAACTCGACCCTGATGATGACTTATGTTCAGGCCGTTAAAACGTCAGGACCACACTAACCCAGAGGTCAGACTGAACGATCAACTATTGCCCGGGAGGGGGCCCTCCTGACTGCTGTTACACGAGTGCTGAAATTTTAGCCGTGAGAGGTCTCTAAGGGGTCTGGGTAAGGCAGATCCCTCACAATCCTTTAGCGCACTAACATATACCGTGAACAGTGCTTATTTTCAATCGAACCCTGCCATAGCATATGGCCAGGGGATATAAAAAAAGGGAGCCATTTAAACTTTGAATATATTTATTTTCCACATTATATGTATTAATGTACCGTAACTGCTGCCAGCGATTTACAGAATAGTTTGAAATAACTGCTGCCACCTTCGGTTGCATTAAAATTGATTTCTTTAGGTAGGAAACTGATTGTGTTAAAGTGCACGAGTCAAAGAGATGAATACCGCGCGACCAGGAAGACTGAAGTGCCTCTCTAGAAAGGGAAAGACCATAAATATAGCAAGTGTAACGAAAATGTCCTGGCAGCTCGTCTCCACCATGTTGGGTGAGAAGAGGAGAGACCGTGGGAACGAGGTTGTGTCATTATTTGAAGTCACTCAGGAGTAAAGTGAAAGCCGTTCAGTTAGTTTTGAGTAATAACCGAAAGACTTAAGTACTCCAAAACTGCTTGCAATACCCATTTTACCTGTTTCATCCCGTTTTCCATACGTATTTTCGGTTAAAACCTAGCAAAATTTTCGAGAGATGAGGGAGGCCTTGATGAGGAAATATAACCAAAATACGGTTGCCTTTTTAGAAAACAATGATTCAACAGGTTGATTCTAAAATTTGCATAATGTGGCACCGATGCAAATTGGAAATTGAAAGACTCGCTCATGGTCAGATCTTTAGATCCGATGTTCACGTTAACTAATAAAGCACCCAGTCAACAATATATTCTGAGTAATCCTAATTTAAAATATCCTGCCTTCTTTGATTTGATATTTGTCATTAGGTATCAATATCGTAACACTTTTCTGTAGGGGGTTTACGAAACAAAAGCAACAGGTCTATTATTAAGGAAACATTCGAAACAAAAAACTCGAGATGTTAATCACCTGAAAAAAATAGCAGATTTCATAAAGGAAGGATTAAAATTCGTAACTACTGAGAAATTCGATTGAAAAAATGGATCGTCAAATCTATTGAATGGAACAACGACAAGCTTTGAAATCTCCTGTTATTGTTGAAAATTTATGCTTGCTTGCGCGCAAAAGAAATATGATCAAATCACTCGCGCGCTCGTGTTTCGTTATGCAAATCCAAGATCTTTTGTTGTTGATGACAAATGACGTGTACAACTTTAACAAAACAATATTTTCTCAGCTGATGAACACGCAATAACACAACGGCAGCGCCGCTTATTCTTGACGTCAACATCTAGAAAACTGAAGCCGTCGAAATTTTGAAATCCCTCGGCAGTTAAGGTAAACACAAGTTTAAGTGACTTGACCATGGGTTACGGCCTAAACAAATTTGTGAACCACGTGGATCAAAATCTGCTCTGTAGTATTTGCGCCGGTGTTTTACAGGAAGCGGTTATAACACCTTGTGGACACTCGTTCTGTGATGAATGCTTGCATATATGGCTAAGCAGACCCAACACAACGACTTGTCCTTCCTGCCGCTCCGACGTTCCACCTTACGATGTCATTCCCGTGTTGGCGTTGAGAGGAGTCGTAGAGGGCCTGGCGGTACACTGTGATAATGATGAACACGGTTGTAAAATGGTTTTAAAACTGGAAAAACTACCAGCCCATCTACAAGAGTGCGAGTTTGCGTTGATTGAGTGCGGCGCGTGTGGGAAAAGCGTGAAACGGTTCGAGTTACCAGACCATCACGAAGAGTGTGAGATTATAAAAAATTTGGTTGCAAAACACAAGAAGACACAGAAAGAAGAACTCACCATCGATAACCTTACAAAACAGATTGCACTGCTGGAAGTGGATTTAAACAAGACTAAAACAGCTTTGAGAGAATCAGAGGGGGATGTGCGCCGGGTCAAACGGGAACTGAGAGAATTACAATTTCAGTTGGAGGTGAGAATGTCAGAGGAGCAAGAATTTGATCAAGACTGGGACCCGGAATATAACTATGGGTATTCTCCCTCAAGCATCGCCCAACTTGCTAGTTTGGTGTCTCGATATCTGTTGAACAAACCGTATTATGTTGACAGGAATCGCATTTTTAACGCGATCAAACGCTGTTATGATTACTACCACGGGTACGCTGGTTATTCACAAGATGTACACATGTTACTTGCTGCGAGTTATGCAAGTAATTGGTTCACGGAGAACCAACGATCAAACTTCGATTCGTGGCTGCAAAATCTTGCGCGAGCGCGGTTTTTGATTTCAAACTAATGACTTGATCGCGAAAGATCGCTTTTGTTTTCAACGTCAGGCGATAAATTTGCATTTTCCAGCATGACTTAAACATTGATATTGAAAATGTTCGCCGCATTTCATGTAATATTCCAGATCAAAGAAGTGCTGTCGTAAAACTTAAGGTTAATATTTGTTGTAAGATTTTTAAATTACTTAAAATCTTTGTCAAAGAGACTAATTAATCTGTGACAGCAGGTTGAACTCAGAGATCTTTACAAATTGTTCAAACAAGTGATATTGCGGCGGTTATGGATTGTTAATAAAGCGAAATGATGCGAAATTGTTTCCAAAACATGTATGTGAGTATTGTGTTCCTACAATGTCAAAACAAAAAAAGAATGAACGCCCGATAAATTTTGAATGAAAGGGAATTTTATATATCGTTCTTAATGGAGTTTTAGCAAGTTCCGCCAATGATATTCCCATGCAAAATTTATTTGTGTTGAATCTTTCTAAGAAAACAAACAACTTCATAACCTGAGGCAGCCTAGTCTCTTTAGAAACGATAGCAGATCTCTGAAAAATCCACCGCTAAATTAATGAAAAGGGGAAATGAAATTAAAGTTTTCGATCAAATTGAATGAGATCCATTTCCCTCACACGTCCATTAAATTCAATTCCTTTTATCGAACGCGAAGAAAAAAAACTTCATCTGAATAGCAATCAAGTCTACAGCTATTAAGCTGATAGGATTTTCTATACAAAGAAGGAAAAAGAAAGAAAGAGTGATAAGAGTGTAATGTTTCACATAAGCTGGGCAAACTACTGTTCCCGCAGTCACTTTTCCTCGTGGCCTGCAAACGTGTGCTACTGACCAATATCAAAATCCGAACCGTATAAGTACAGCTAAAACTGCAAGTTATTGAACAAGGAAAGACCTTTCATTGATAAGAGTACTGTTTTATCCGATAATTAATCAGATAAACATATCTTTCAGCGGTAAGGAAGAGATTATTTGCAAATTCATAATCTCAACTTTAATACTCGTTTGTTATTTCCTTAGAACAACCGTATCAGCTTCTGGTTTCCCTGATTTCCTCAGTTCTTTATGTTAGCATATGATATTGTGTTTTCATCCTTGACCTTCTTTCGGGCTAATTCGTTTGTTTCCTTCGTGACCTTCATAACATGATAATTAAAAAATCCCATGATTTCTTCTAGAATGATTTGTTTGCGTATTAACAGGAAACTAATCTTCACTGTCGGGTTTTCGAGAAAGACTCCGAAAGAGAGGCCGCTCCTTTATAGAACCGCTTCACCACAATTCTAGTATTAAAAAAGACAAAACGGAAATAAGTTACTCAAATCGAGTCTTAACACTTAATTATAACTGATAGTATTTTGTAAACAAGCACAAGAAGAGACACTTGAATTCTTGCCTCTGAGGGTCACTTCACGCCAAACCCAACCTTTAACTCCCAAGATGTGATTACTAATTCTTCTAACTAGTTGCCTCCTTTCATGTTAGTTTAAAGATTTGGTTCTATCAAGATAATTGTTCTGTCCTTAGCTTTCCTTGACTCATTCAGTCTCCTATCCAAATGACTATGACTGTACCACTGACACAAATGGTTTAGGTGAGCTATTATCTTCCAAGAAGATAATAGCTCACAGTATCTTTTTCGATATCATCCAAGAAGACACAAACCTTCAGATGCCCTAACTTCTCTGCTACGTACAGAAAACATGCTGGCAAATCAAGCCATACACAAGGTATATGTGTCATAACCATCCCGTGTACTACTAGCTTCTTCAGCCGCTTTGAATAACCTCTAAATTTTTGAGACAAAATCAGGTTCAGATTTGATTGAGTTTTTCAGGGTGTCGCCGTGGTGAGTACTCTGTATTTTCACTCTTTGATCAATAATAACAATCCTATTATCTCGGCCAGAACCAGAACAATCTGGGGTCGTGGTCTCACAGGGTTTATCAGCACTCTATCCCACGACTGCACCTTAGGAAAGAGGTCTGGAGCGAGCATCTCGACCCTTGGAGTATAACAAGAATAGCTCACCGGACAAGTTTGTACAAAGTGGGTTTCATTTTTGAGAGTCACGGTACAAACAGAGCAGAAATTGGCATAGCCTTGGCAAACGTCAACAGCATTTTGTCTTCAGACACTCTACTTAAAATATGACGACGACAGCAAATGGAGAGGTTTCAATCTCTTTAATTGGAACGCTATAGATTTTTTACAGGATTGATAACGTCTACTGCATGTAAGAAACTAAAATACATACAGAGGACAAACTAAAACATGTTCCAATCTTGTTGACCTCCATTGATATCAAAAGGAGTTCGAATTGTTTACAATTGCGATTTATATAATTTGAAATGTGGCTCCAAACGAATACATCGGCTCATTCATCTCTTAGTGGTCTTTACTGGTTTAAAGGCCTTGTGCCAACTACTAGTTTACAACCTTAAAATTGGAGATAAAAATACGAGACTGTTGGCTATTAATTAAAGAGCCCAAACACTTAAGTGGTACAACTTCCTCTTTCAGTTTCTATGATTCAATTTGCATTTTGTAAAATTCGAAAACTTCAAGGTAGGATTTTGTGTTTCAAGGCGCTTGGCGTAACATGGGAAAGAGATACGCGACATAACAAATTTCGGCTGCCTACTAAAATAGTTCATGCTCTCAGATCTGAGTGGTGATAAAAAATGACTAAAATGCTACTAATTTTGACATATCAACTCCACTGGAGATAACAAACCCAAATAACTAGTTTCAACTAAAAATTTAAAATTCTTCAAATAAGAGGAAAGTCCATTTTTAATCACCAGGTAACAATAACTGACGATAAAACGTTAGTGAGCGAAAAATGTCTCTTTCTTCTCTGACACGAAGTCTATTTACAGATTTATTTTGCAGTGTTTTTCTTTCCAAGAAGTTTCCTGAGCCTTTCATATCGCCCTGATACTGGTTGAAGATTGCCATAGATTGGATCTAGCCACATGACTCTGTCCTCAAAACTCATTTTCTGCAATACAGTGCTGTTGGTGTAGAATCTTGAAAGAGCATCCAAAGGCAGCAGTACAGACGGTCTAGGGGGAGGAGACAGCTTAGGCTGTGTTTCTGACACAGAATCTAAAGGTTCTCCCAGCCACCAGCCAGGTATCACCTTAGGATAATCATCAACAACTTCCTCCTCATTCCCCTTGTCCTCAACCTCATCCTCATCAACAAGCTCCCCCTCCCCCTCTTCATCAGAGACAACTTCTCCTTCTTCCACACTCCTCCTGACCTTCTTTCTTATCTTCTTAGGTTCACTATTGATAGAATCACTGCTTGCTTCTCCATGTAGTTCCTTCAGGGCAAAATGAGTGGGTTTGCTTTCAGAGTATTTCCTGTAATGCTGGAGAAGTTCTTGTTCTTGTGATCCATACTGAACACCAGGGTGGGAGGGAGAATAGCCACCACTGTTATCCACACCAACATCTCCTTGCGTGTCATACTTTGTTCTCTTGGCGGCAGCAGGATTATGTGGTGGGACTGTCGAGCCCAGCTCTATTGAAGGATTTGCGCCACCTAACACAAACAGCAAACAGTTTTTGAACAAAATTAACTTTTAAATGACCTTACAAAAATAATTTACAAAATAATTTGATGAAGTCAATTTAATATTGATAAGTATTAAGTATTTCATTAACTCAGTCCAAGACATACAATAATTTTTGTTTTCATATGTCAGAACTGAATGACTGAAAAATCAGATCTTCCTCATCACATTGTAAACATAGTAACAAAACAATTAAAGTTGCTGAAAACTCTTTGATGGTGTCAAAAATTACACCAGTAGAAAACTGAAAGAAGATGGAAATTCTTAAATCTTTGTTTAACACATACCTAAAATTTATTCAAGAGTTTATCTTCTATTTTCCTTCAAATTACCAGACTTACATTCCAGCCATGAAATTGGTTTAGTAATGCTTATCCTCAGGGAAGTTCCTTCTCATTCATACAAATTATTTTATAAGTTCAACAAATACCTTACACGATTTTGAGCATTTTTGTCACTAACTGTAAACAATCCTGCTCATGAGCCAATTGGCAAACACTGCAGAAGACTTATCTTGATTTAGTAGCATAAGGTGACTATGTGGCATGCCTAAAAAGGAGAATTTCATAACATACACAACACACTTGTACAGGAAACTAACATTCTTTCCTTCTAATTATTATACTATGAACAT